CTCCCTGCCCAGTCTGAATCGACGGACAAGCTGGAGTATGTCGTCCACCCTGTGAACAGATGGACGGGCCATCATGGTAGCAGAGTCCAGATGCATCCCAAGAAAGGTGGTTGTCTGAGATGGAACCAGACAACTCTTTGCCAAGTTGACTTTGAGGCCTAACATTGACACATGAAGTAGAAGCTGGGACGTATCCCGAGAGGCAGCTACCTGAGAGGGAGCACAAAGAAGCCAATCGTCCAGGTATGGCAGAATCCTGACTCCGGAGGCCTGTAGAGGAGAGAGGGCTGCTTTCACGCATCGAGTAAACACCCTCGGGGAAAGGGAGAGCCCGAATGGGAGCACCCGGAATTGCCAATGGCGCCCCCGATAGGCGAACCTGAGAAAACGGCGATGTTCTGCCGCAATAGGCACGTGAAAGTAGGCGTCTGTCAGATCTACTGATGTAAACCAATCTCCCGCCACAATGGTCTGAAGGACCTCTGTTATGGTGAGCATGTGGAAGGGAAGGACCTTCAGGTACCGATTCAGTCCCCTTAGATCTAAAATGGGGCGAAAACCGCCGGTCTTCTTGGCCACAAGGAAGTATGTGGAGTAGTAGCCTCTGGGTTGCTGCAGAGGATCTACAGACTCGATTGCCCCCTTGCCAAGGAGGGCGGAAAGCTCCTGGTCTAGTGCCTGAGATTTCACCGGGTCTGTGATGACAGTCATCTTGACCCGGTGTGAGAGGGGGGGCCGCCGTCGGAACTGGAGCCTGTAGCCATTGGTTAAGGTAGCAACCACCCATGGATCTACGGCATGAGCAGCCCAGAAATTCAGCTGCTGATGGGAAAAATGTCCGACGGCTGGCCCGGTGGCATCATCTTCTATCCCCACGGCCCCTGGGGGCTCTGGGGGGAGGGCGTCCAGGATTTGAGGCCCGGGTCTGTCTAACAGGGCGGCAGACTGGCTCACGAAAGTCCCTTCTCGGTCTCTGCCGCACATCATGGGGATAGGAACCAACAGGTCTGCCACCGGTCTGAGGTCGTGGCTGAACGCTGGGGGTAGTGGCAGGGCGGCCCGAACGCTGGGGAAAGGCAGGTATGCTCCTGCGAAGGCCGGAAAGCTGCTGGCTAGTCTGACGTGCCTGAGCAGTCCGTTCCAGCGCCTCCAAGGCAGCTGATCCAAACAGCTCCCCTGGTACAACCGGGACACCCCTGAGGGTCCTACGGCATGCTTCAGTCAGAGGAGACTGTGCCAACCAGACCTGTCTACGAGCTTGGACAAGGAAAGACATGACCCGTCCAAGCTCTCTGGTCATCAGCGCGAAGGCCTGCAGCGCTGCGTCACTATAACCAATCGCCGCACTTGCACCACCAGTGTCCTGAACAGATGCAGACAGGGCAAACATGAGGTGCGCCAGGGAATTGCCAAGGCGGCCAGCACGCGCTCCTGCATTGTACGCCTTACAGAGGAGGTCATCTGTAACCCGACATTGAGTCCGCGGGCACCGGACATCAGGACGCAGGGCTTCATCTGGTGACACAATCAGTGAAGCAACAGCTGGTTCAATTGCTGGCATACGGTCCAGGCCGGCCTTCACTGACTCATGCATGGCAGCTAATACACGACCATCCGAGGAGAGACGCGACAGCGCTCTCGGTTCCCGCCAACAGGCGTGTAACTCCTTCAGGTACTCCTCTGATGGAGGTACAGAAAAAGGAGTAGGAGCCCTTCCACGTCTGAAAAAAGCACTGCCAGAGCTGGATGCCTCTCCTTGTGGGAGTTCCAGCTGCAGCTGCTTCAGGGCCATAGACATGACCTCCCGCATGGAACCGTCACCGGCCTCTCCAACCGCACTCTGAGATGAAAATGAACCAGCCTCAGAGGCTTGAGAGGACCCTGCCTCCTCCTCATCTCTAAAATGAGAAGCGGAGGCAGCCAGAGAGATAACGTCATCCTCTACAACCAGCTCGGGCATTGGTGGGGAAGAGAGCCCAACCACTGGGAGCGAGGGATCACTGCATGGGGCATAAAGCTGCAGTTCATACAGGGGTTCTCAGACAGCGCCTCCAAAAGGTGCTCATGTCCAAGGCAGGTAGGGCACAGGTCGTGGCCATCCTCTGCCTGCAGGGCAGCCCCACAATCTATGCAGCTGTGAGAGCCATCCATGTCGAAGGCCGACAAGGCTTAAAGAACAGAAAGTTATCGAAAATCGGGAGAGGGGGCGCAAACGCAGCCGTCACCAATTACAGCAGAGAAACGAAAGAGGCTGCGAGCACAAGGCAGCCGATACTGGGAGAGGGGGCGAGAACCGCTACCGTCACCAGGTATAAAACCAATAAACCAAAAAAGCTAACAACGTTAGCTGTATGGAAACTTAAGTTGGAAGTAGGAGCGAACAACGCTGCCGTCACCAATTATAGCGGATAAAACAAGAGAGGCTGCGGACACAAGGCGGCCGATACCGGGAGAGGGGGCGAGAACCGCTACCGTCACCAGGTATAAAAGCAATAAACAAAAAAAGCTAACAACGTTAGCTGTATGGCAACTTAAGTAGGGAGTAGGAGCGATAAACGCTGCCGTCACCAATTAAGAGAGCAGACCAACGAAAAGGCTGCAAAAAAAGGTTGATATTGGGAGAGGGGGCGAAAACGCTGCCGTCACCATTTATAATTAAGCAGACCGATGAAGAAGGCTGCAAACAAACCAAAAAAGGCTAACAACGTTAGCCGTCTCCAACTTCGGCAACGAAGTAGACCACACTTGGTTGGGAGAGGGGGCGAAAACCGCGGCCGTCAGTAATTATAGCAGCGCAGACCGGTGAAAAAAAGGATGCAAAAGTAGGGAATATACTGGGAGAGGGGGCGAAAACCGCTGCCGTCACCAGGTATAACACCAACAAACTAAAGAAGCTAACTACGTTAGCCGTATATAACTTCGGCAGTGAAGTTATTCACACTGGGAGTAGGGGCGAAAATGCTGCCGTCACCAGTTCGGAACAAAACAGCACGAAGCTGTAGGTAAAAAGCTAAAGTCGTGAGCCGGGAGAGGGGGCGCGGACGCTACCATCACCAGCAAACAACTCACTTACCTTCCGTAATCTTCAGAATCGACCCGTTGCAGCCCTGGGAGGGCGGAGAATAACCGCAACTCCGGTCAAGAGACAGGGGCTTCAGACAACGGGGAAGTTAGCGAACCGCTTGCGAGAAGAAAAAAGGAGCAGAGCAAAGGATGACACCAGGCTATATAGCTTCTGAGTGGTCATCCGGTGTCACAGGTGTGACTCTGTTGGTATAATTACTCGAACTGCGCATGCCCGAAGGGAACATTCAGTGCTTTCAGCACCGCCCTCTGGCGGTCAGTAGGGATGAAATAGAACTTTGGAGAACAGCAGGAAGAAAGATATAGAGAAAAAATCTTCAGCCGGGCATAGACTGTTTTTGCCGTTTTTCAGGCCGATTCTTCAGGCGTGCGAGAATCTTTTGGATTGGGCCGAGTTTCAACCTCATCATGCATCCAGCACTGAGTAGTATACAGGGGGTAGCGTTGAGTGACAGCGTCTCACGACGGCCTCCTGATCAGGAATCGGAAGGTTGAGGAGAAAATCAAACTGTTGGGAATTCAGTCGCCCCTCATGAGGTGTTCGTGGGCAAATCCTGCTGTTGCTCTCTCGGCTCTGAGTCTGAAGTGATGTGAGCATTTAGATCACATCGGCGCATCAGGCCGTACAGATTAAGAACAAACATTGTGAGCTGGGAACTTTTAAATCGTGCAGTTTCATTATACAGTTTGAGCTGTAGCTGAGTGCAACGATTGAAAATATGGTACAGTGTATGCCCGCCTTAAAACACAACCATTTTTTAAGAGCTGTTTTCAGTCCACCATCTGAAAAGACAAAGAATACACTTCAGCTGCTGATACACCAAGGTGTTGTTACAGCTTAAACTGCAGGACAAACGAGGAGAGCGCTGATTAGAGAAGAGGCCAAGAGACCCAGCATTAAACTGGGAGAAAAGAAGGGCAGAGTCAAATAGAGGAACATCCCAGATGAAAACGTTTCAACAATCTGTGAAAGGACTTTAAATTTGCTGTTCACAGATCTTCTCCATACAGAAAGATTTCAGTTTCTAATTTAGGAAAGCTGGTAGAGGCCAAACTGAAAAGCCCTGACCTGCTTCAAAAGGTGATGCTTTGCTGCTCTCAGAAGTGTTAACTGAATATTCAATACACTTAATTTCTATAGCGCCAGTTCGCAACACGTCATCTCAAGGCACTTTACATTTCACCAGATCATCCAGTCACATTGATTAAAAGTTTTCTATCTAAGGGAAACCAGTTGATTGCATCGACTCATTGATTGTAATGCAATCCCTCACACTAAGCATGCTTGTAGCGACAGTGGAGAGGAAAAACTCCCTTTTAACAGGAAGAAACCTCCAGCAGAACCAGGCTCAGTGTGATCGGTCATCACAGCCAAACAGGAACAGATGAGGCAAAGCTACTATGAGAAAAATCAGAGAGAGCATAATGTTAGAGATTGAACTAACAGATTCTGCAGAATAGGAGAACAGGGAGAGAATAAAGCAGAATGATGAAATAGGGGTCCCTCCAGTCTAAGCCTATAGCAGCACAACTATAGAGATAGCTCAGGATAGTGAATATGAATAGAAACCACTGCTAGACACTCCCTTCATTAATAAACAACTGTGTGTTTATGTAACATATGAAATTAACAAGCGTGAGAAGGACAGGCACTGCATTTGGGGAAAGTAAAAAGTAATATATCATTTTATTCTATAAAGGTTTTTGTTTTTATTACTTTTATTTTCATTCATTTTCATTCATTGCAGAAGGTTTAGCGCTTCTCTTTGTTTTCTTTTAAGTAAATTACATTATATGTAGGAATCCAGCAAAACCTTATAATGTAAAAAAAAAAATGGCACTATATCTGTTGGTTTCTTTTTAAACATAGTCTAGCTGATGAATGAAATCTATATCTATCCTTTGGTTCCCTACAGTTCCCACCATCTTCCTGGGGAAGAAGCCCAAAGAAAAGGACATGGACTCAAAGAGCCAGGTGATCGAAGGCATCAGCCGCCTCATCTGCTCCGCCAAGCAGCAACAGACCATCCTGAAAGGTGACCTGACCTTTAAACCCTGCTCACCATCGCCAAAACTCTCTGCATTTACTCACCACCTCCTCCTTATGCCTCCAGTGTCCATAGACGGCGTGGAGTGGAACGACGTGAAGTTCTTCCAGCTGGCGGCGCAGTGGCCAACTCACGTCAAATACCTGCCGGTCGGACTTTTCGGCTACAGCAAGCCCCCGTCGTAGGGCAGAGCTTTAACTCCTCTGCTCCCCTGACTTTGTTCTCTCCTCACCGACTTCTCCTTTTTTTTTTTTTTTTTTTTTTTTTTTTTTTTTTTTTTTTTTTTTTGCACAGAAGATGCAGATCAAGCAGCCGGATCATTTTCCTTTCTTTTCATCCAACAAAAAAAACTACATTCATCCCGTTTCTCCTTGTAGGAGGAGGAGGGAGCTGGAGTTCAACGCTGTTACTAGTCACTTTAAAGCTTTTTTATGTGTGTGTGTGGATTAAGTGTGCATGCACACGTGAATGTACATTATGTTTGTGTGTGTGGGCGTGCGAGTTTACAAGCATATCACAGCACAAGTTTATTAGCCAGTCACCGTCTATGTTTCTGATTTTAAGGAATTTAGCAGCATGTAAAAACAATCCAGTTATAGCCCTTACCGTCTAAACCAGCCGCTTTAGCCCCCATCACACCACCCGATACTCTGATACTCAATGTGCCACAAATGGTCACTTGTGCTTCAGTTTGCATGCACGACCACAAACGCTCCCTAACCCAAACAGGCATGAAAGGCAGTTTCTACATCGACAAAGCTGCAATAAATCCACTAATGTACTTTTTTATTTCAAGGGCTTCCATTACGCAGTTTTTTTCCTTTAAAAAAAAAACACAATTTAGATGTTCATATGCCAAAAAAAGAAGAAAAAAAAACAATATACATAGATATAAAGGAGGAAGTGTCTTTTATTTTAGAACAGCGTTCTTGTGAAAAGCAAACCCTCGCCCCCTTCTTAAAACCGTTTTGTGAAGCATAGTGGTAAATGTAACGCCATTTGTTTTCTTTGTGTTCAAACGCTATGCACTTTTGAACACACTTGGACCATTCGAATGATTTCAATATGACATCCTGATGAAACATCCGTCAGGTAGCGCCGTATAGCAAAACGCACACCCCGAACGCAGCAGCATGGAAGGAAAAAAAAAAAAAAGGTGCTTATGTTGCTTTCCTCTGTATCCGTTTTTAGATAGAAGCACAAACGCTTTATTGACCGAACCGGCCTGCGGAACGAAGGTGGTCTGTGAGCAGCACTGAGACTTCCTGAAGACAATCAGGATCAGGGGGAAGAGCCAGTGTTTGGGTTCATTCTGTGATTTCGGTGCAGGTCTGCTCCTTTTTTTTAGCTTGTTGTGAGGTGATTAGTCAGTACAGTAAGGGGTAACAAACAGCGTATGTGTACGTCACAAATTAAACTAAATGTGGACAAAAACTTTAAATGAAAAAAAATGAAAAGTATGATAAATAGTTTTCTATAAAGTGATGGGAGATATGTAGTGTGTGTGTGTGTGTGTGTGTGTGTGTGTGTGTGTGTGTGTTGGCACTCTGCATCCATGATGAGGTGATTATCAACATCACTGATTGTCAGATTAGGGCTGCAGTCTTCATCCTGTTCATTTTGTAGCTGCACAAGGCAAATAATCAAGGTCATTTTTTCTGGTGAAACGAATTACGTAAAAAAAAAAACAATCCTGCAAATATAATTAAATATTTGTCTATATTTGAGGAAAAGCTCTGCCTTGTGTCTTCTACAATGTAACACATCACCACTGAAGTATTACAGCATTGTTTTTTTTTTAAGTGTTATTGCTCATCTCTTTTAGTTTGAGAATAGAGGGCATTTCTTGTTAGCCTGTTGGTGTTACAGTATTACCTTTGTGATTTCAGCAGCATTTTTCTTTTCTCCTGTTTGGCTCCATCTGATACTCCAGGTTTTTATGCAGTGAGCAGATCAATGCTGGGCCAAACGCTCATCATGTCCAAATCTTCTTACTGAGTTTTAGAAATGAAATACCCCACAGATGAGAAGATTTGGTAAGGCGGACGTCCTGAACTTGTGTTGACTTTGGACTGAGTGAGAGAATCATCTGTGATTGATTTTTGTCCCTGAACATTAGTGACAGTTTTTAGTTTTGGTGATTTAACAAAAATGTTTACTGGGACTAAACGTTTCCTTCCAAAGGTGAAGCTGAAGGCAATCTACATTTAAAACGGATGAAAATTAACTAAATTTTAAATTCTGTAGAAAATTCGTGAGAAGAAATTTAGATCCCCAAACACTCAACAGGGTCTACTTTATTTAGAAACACATTGTAGTGTTTTGTTTTTTGCAGTACAGCAACCCAATTCTACAAGACAATCTATTTAAAAAAGAGATATATAGATATCCTCGACTTTACACATTCAGCTAAATGACTTAATGAATTCATAGTTTATTTCCTGATTTGTTGCAGTGCTAAGCTGACGTTAGCATCTTTACTCCCTCGATAGATTGGTAGGTAAAAGCTTTTCACTGTGGTTCTAGTCATTTTAAAAAGTCGGCCTTTGCTTTAGAAGCTGGTTGCTTTGCTTTGAAACATCATCAGTTTTAATGGCTAATGTTTTAGCTGCCCTCTATAACCCCCAGCTGTCTAGAAACGGCCCTTCCCACTGACTGAAAGGAAGCTGCATCAGCCAACGCAGTCTCTTCTTCACCCTAATCAGTGAAGCACTTGGTGTTTTATTGAAAACTTGGATTAGACTGAAAAAAGAATTTAAATTGCCTGTTACGCTGCTTTTTTTTTTCAATGCACACATGAAAACTGGTCATGATTATATATAAAAAAAAGGCTGAACAAATTTTAGCCACACAGATATAATTACACCAGAGTCTGTATTTAGTGACGTGCATTTTAAAAAATTACCTCTAACAGAAGGAAAAAAAAAGACCAAATTGTGTGTTATATAGCATTTAAAGCTCTGCATATTAAAAAAGTTAATATACACAATGTGACCACAGTTTATAAATCATTATGAGTCTAGGACTGCAGCTTTATTCTTTGTATACAAGCTAAAAATGAATTAGACCCAAATTGAATCAAATGGGTGAATTAGTGGATCCTTCCTCCTCAGGAATTATTATTCTATCTGTTAATTCAATATACACACAACTTAACCTTATAAATCTCTCTGTTATAAAACTGGTCTTTACAGAACACACACACACACACAAAAAAAAAAACATGTTTAAAAGGAATGTGCAGCTTCTTTATTCCTCCCCCGTAAAGGCCAGTAAATTCTAGCAGCACAATGAAGTGATTCCCTGCTGTTTAAAACTGCAAATGTTAAACTTGTTAATTTGACAAATGGGACAAAAATGATGCATCTAGAATAAAATTTTGTTTTGTATAATTTTTTTCAAGAATATTGCCCCGTTCTGAACTTAAACCCAGTGTTTGTGAGCAACTATCTCTACTCAGTCTGAACAATGACATGTATTGGCTCCTCAGAAAGAGGCCAGAGGTCCTTTATAAACCACATTATTTAGGAAAAAAATCCCCTGAATCCTGCTACAAAGTCACGTTTTAAATATTCATAGTGATATTGAATGTGTTTGTTATTGTTGACTAAGAACCAGAGGCATCTCTATCCTCAACAGGCTAAATTATAATTTCAATGAACAGCGATTTGCCTCAGCAGTTCATGTTTCCCAGAGCGGTTCTGTGTGGAAGTCGTCAGCTTGTTACTGCGTGTCATTCCTTTACCTCTGTATTTGTGTCAACCAGTGATTGTCACCGTGGTTCCTCTCTCTGTGGTTGGAGATTAGCAGCTGTTCTGTCCGTCTGTAATCTCTCCGTAAACAGCTGTGTCTACACGTCTTTTTCAATTGGCCTCCACAAGCTCACCATTCTGGGGGAAAATAATAAAGAAACAAATCACGCTGTCCTCTGTTCCCTCGCAGCTTGTAAATCGCCCATCGGTTCTCGGAGGAACTGTTTATTTTCCGGTTGTTTTTGCTTATTGAAAAGCAGCCGATTGCTGCCTACCGAGGTTCTGCTGGGAGCGGAGCCTCCGGAGCTTGTGGACTTGTGAAGAGTATTTTGCACATACCATTTTTTTTCTTCAGCAAGAAGTTTTATCTGTATTTTTTTTTTTCTATTTGTTTTGCCTTTTGCCTATAACAGCAGTTCTAATAAACCAACTATTATGCTTGTACATACAAGATAGTACTTGATATATATTTTTGTTTAGTTATTTTTTGTTCGTTCGACATGTTTTTTTGTAGTACTGCTTTTTCATGATTGCGTCTGTCTGTAGAACAGATGTCAGGTCAACAGTGAAAGTGCTTATTGTATGTTTTTTTTTAAATAAAGATATTCCTCGTTTTGTAGCTGTGCCTTTCTGCTTACAGTCATTTTCACTGAGTACTGCGCAGTTTTAAATATTCAAAGAAATATATCTTTTGATATTATCTCTAGAACATGTTAGCACTGCAGTCTAATATTTCAGGGTATGGCTGTAAATCAGTTTTAATGGCCAGGAATTAGACTTTGGTTCCACTTTTAAATCTAAAGACATTTTAAGTATAAAGAAGTGTGTTTAGGATCAGTACGTTGTCTGTGTGAGGACAATAGGCAAAGGCTACTACCAAACCAAAGTAATACACAGCAAACACCATAATGCTGAGTGAAAGGATCTGGTTTTAAACACTGTTTCACACAAAGTGGCATCGTGTTTATATTCCAGCCCCTTTGAGTAGAATTACAAAACTTCCAAGTTGAAGTATGTCCCTACAAGGTTTGCATCTGGAGACAGAAAGTCTTTTTTTTGCAAAATCTTTCAGCAGGGGGCGGATGTAGATCAAATAAACCGGGTTAGGGCAATATTTCATCATTAAAAGTCAGAGATGCAATTTTTTTCATCTAAAGGATTCATTTATAAAAAGAAAAAGTTCCAGGGAGCATCTAGATTAGTACAAAATAAATATTTTTTACTCCATGTCTTTTAATCAAGAATGACCGACATTAAGGACAGACCTTAGATGGTATGGGGTATTGCAGTCTAACAAAAGAAGCCAAATGACCTCCATTCCAAATGGCTGGACCCCTTCGTCTGTTCCAATTTGCACGTTTTCAAAACAAAAACAAGGCTTTGTTGGGCTACTGTATAAAACCTGGAACTCAATGCTATTCCTGACAAGCGAAACGAGCAAAAACATCAAGCTTTAAGAGTTGGTGATGACTTAAGGAAGCAAACAGGCTCAGAAGCACGTATAGAAAATCATTAAAGCATTCAGTTTGTCTATTTTACTGTGAAAAGTTATGATGATCATTTACTGACAGCAAGTTTTAAGGTTTTTGGGGAAATGCAGTGATTGTAAAAAAGAGCATTGATGAGGTTTTGTTAGAAATATTCAGGATCACCCCAGAAATTAATTCTATAATACTCACAAATATACAAGGTCGTTATATGATAATCACAGACAACAAATAGAAATCAACAGTTTTTGTACCTTTGTGGGGCCTCATTTTGCTTTGCAAACATCTAGTTCAGAGATGGAGACACTGATTCTTGGAAACCAGCCCTCTGACTATCCACTTGAAGAATAGAGCCCTTGGTGAAAGCCTGTGGTTTAAAACTTAGAAATATTAGTCTTTCATTTTTATTTTAACTGCCTGTCATGGCAGGGGAAAAAACAAGTCTACAGACTTAATTATTCTGACTTGCCTTTCAGGGCTTCCATATAAAACCAATTTATACAAAGATGTTTTCATTTACATGCGTCACACCGCGTACTGTAGATGTCACTGTTGTGCACGGCGTCTAATAGACCTTTGATTGGAAGCATCCTGCTTCCTCTTTCTACCTCCCTACTCACTGACAGCCCTATTTGAACTTATAATGGTGACCCCTGACCTCTGGTTCAGCTTAAGTGTCCTCACTAATATATACAATTTAAACTGGAAATGCATCAGTGGATTTGGTGTGGAAGAACCTCAAATGACCTGTGCAGATTGGTGCCCTTTAAAGTATCATAGCACAGTTCTTCTCGCAGTCTGTCTGCATTGCTCATATTCTCAAAGTAAGAGAATAGTGGAGCTACAATACATGGCTAAAACCAAAGCTCAATGGATACATAAACCCTGGAGGAGTTCATGCACAGTGGGAGGAAACTAGCCAGAATGAGCATGCACAATAACATCAGGTGAACGTGGGATGTGTGATATCCAGTAGAGGATCCCTTCAACGATAGAGCCTTATAGGACACTGCAAAACGTAGTGGAGGTACATTAATGGCCATTTTTTTGTGGTACTGTTACATTTCTTCTGCCTATAAGCTTTCTATTGTTTTACGTCCTAGTCACGTGACTTTAAAGATTCCAGCTGGGAGAAGAAAAAATATATATATAGATGTCCGACATTCGCTCATTTTTTTGTGGAAAGATTAATAACTTGAGTTTGTTTTTGCATTAAAATAATGAGCGAATGTCGGACATATATATATATATTTTTTTCTTCTCCCAGCTGGAATCTTGAAAGTCACGTGACTAGGACGTAAAACAATAGAAAGCGTATAGGCAGAAGAAATGTAACAGTACCACAAAAAAATGGCCATTAATGTACCTCCACTACGTTTTGCAGTGTGGACCAACATAGTGGGGGTACATTTTCCCATGAGACTGGGTTGTTATAGGCCTGCATTTAATTCAATACACAGACTAGCAGCCGAGCCTTTTAATCCAACATTAGTGTCTGACCTCATAAATGTAATTCTTAAAGAGTTATATTTCCCATAATGTCCCTCATAAACCATGTGGAAAGCTTTCCTAGAAAAGTTAAATTGGTGGGCTGACATCCTAATAACCCCCATCATTTAACAATGGTTTGCGGTTCTGTGAATGATTTTGCATCAAACACTCCTAAATGGTTTCATCATCACTTGGGATTGTGGGAAGGGTTAAACCCAGCTATGTGAAAGGATATTATCTGAAAAAAAAACAAAAGAGCACCAGTGTACACAATAGCTGCAAAACAAAGCAAGTGTTGGCTGCTGTAGTTTCACACACTCCTGCTCTCCCACACCTAGAAGCATGGGCGGTTCTAGACAGGGGCCAATGGGGGCCAGTGCCCCTGTAGATCATGCCCTGAAGAAATAATACTCAAATAAATTGTAATGATGGTATGTGCTGGAACAGACATGGTTATTGATAGGTCTTTTGGATTTTTTTCTTCTTTTAAAATTCTGTTTTACTAACTATTTAAAAACAATAAGGTGATAGCTTTAGTGGTATTAAGTTAAGTTAATTAAGTCAAAAATATGTAAAATTCCTAAATTCTGAATGTATATTGACCTAATAAAACATAGAATTTTAATCATAATTGAGTAATTTCACTTCATGCAGCTATCTTAAAGCTGAAGTCTGTAAGTTTTTAAAAATCACTTTTTTGTCATATTGGCTAAAACTGTCCCTATGCCCAGACAGCAGTACATGTGATATGTAACCTGTGAAAAAAACTGCTCCAATTGGTCCCGCCTACTGCCTGTATTTCAATCTGGAAAGAATAATTCGGGACGAGTGAAAACAACCAATCACAGCCAGAGGAGCGTCTGATGGAGTGTCAATCACAGCTCACACACGCTGAATCCCCCCCCCCCCCCCCCTTCTGGTCGCATGCGGTAGCCGCGCAGATGCTGTGAGAGGGGTGGAGCTTGGAGGTGGGGCATGAGTGAAGCAGAGAGGGTGGGGGAGTGGCGTGAAACCTGTTTTTCTTCAAATTTTCAGTCGAAGTCTGCTCCCTCCTCAATGTTACAGACTGCTGCTTTAATATATTTAAATCCCTTGCCCTGTTTTTTTATTTTTCTGCTTTTCTGTGCCCCCCATGAAAACATGCTGGCCCCCTTCTGCCCCCTTGGTACATTTGGTCTAGAACCGCCACTGCCTAGCAGAAAGACAAAGGTGGTGTTTTCCTTTCTATTTGGATTAATATTTTGAAAGAAACAAACAAAACAAAAAAACTGCCATGTTCCCCCAAACTATTATCAATTCAGAAAAAAAGGGGGGAGAGCTCTTCTAAAAGCATTATTCTTAGTTTTCAATAAGATATAATTAGTCAGTTTGACTGGGGATATAAAGGACCATGAACAGAGCAGCTGTTTGCTTTTTGATTTTCAGCTTCACTGATTGTAATCACCTTAATTAAATCTGGTGGCTTTATAGAAACATGCTGATGTAATGTGTGTGGGTGCAATCTAAAATATCAGTAACAGCATCACATTGATAACATTGTGGTGAGAGCAATACTTTTAGATTTACTCTATTATGCACTGCTGATGTTTGGTCAAAAGTTCAGCTGTTTGGTGGTGTTGCTGGGAAGCACCTCAGGTAACTAAAACTGGAGATATTTACTCAGGCTAATTTGTGCTTTCTGCACATTCAAAATTACAAAATAACATCATTGTCTTTATATTTGTTTTTACAGGCCATGAGAAGAATGACCCATAACAAAATGCAATGAACATCTACAGAGCCAACCATAGGCGGTTGAGAATGTTAGGTTTATTCTTCATTGTGTGTATTGTTAATCTGTAAACCAGATTAGATGAAGTAGAAGTCCATCCTTCACATGGTGGATTACACTGTGTGTACAGAGGCCATCTAATGAGGACAGTCTTCTTGTCTTTGGAAGATACACAGGATAAGGACACATCCTAGAGCCGCACTGATAGAGGAGAGCGATCTGTAATTCTGAAGTATGAAGGTCAGGGCATGGATGGGGTGTCAGTTTCTGAACTGAACAGCTTAACATCCATCCAACATACGTTTCGCCACCTCTCCAGGAAGCTTTCTCAATTCAAATGTCTGGATCCGCAGTGAGTTTGAGTCTTTATATAGACTAGGCCTTGTATTGCCTGGAAACATGCAAATGGTAACCGAAGAGCAGGTCGTTTGGTTCCATTGTTAGCCTGTAATATCTGAAACCCGTCTATGATTCTGAAGGTCTAACAACAATCCCCCCCCTTTAACCTGTCCTGTCTTTATAGTCCTTTTAATATGGTTTTACTCAATTTGAGTTAAGAATAATTATTCTAGGTAACTTGCTCCCAGGAAAATAACTGGAAGGGCAGCTCAGAGGTGGAAACACCTTCAGGGGGGCATAACTTCCTTATTTAACAAGAATAAGAGGGATGGAAAGCTGAGGACCATCAGATACAAGTGTTACCAGCTTTATACTATAAATGTTTTTAGCCAATATACATCCATTATTAGTTCAGCAGGTCACGAAAACACAGTTTGATGCAAACAGCAAAATTAGAAACTTTATTTTGTCATACACTGTAAAACTCAAATATATAAAATATTCAAAAAATAAATAGTAATAAAAAAAAAGTGTTCCTTTCCACTTTGGTTTCTCTGAAGGCAATGCAGACATTTGGCCTACAGATCTTTGGTGAGCTGGTGTTGTGATCGCCTCTTGTATGGTGCTGCGCATACGGTGGGAGTTTCCAGAAACACTGGGGCAGTATGTCAGGTTCAGACCCCCCCTCCACTTAACCGTGACACGTGCTCAGCCACAGCATCCTCTCTGGAAGGTCTGGGAAGCTGAGCACGCAAGTCCTGGGGAACAGGAATCCGCTGGACAGCATCCACGTAACGAAGGGGGTCATGGACGATCTCTTTGAACACTAGTCCCATCAGGTTACTGACATAGCCTGTTGGGTGTGAAATCATAAGTTATTGTTAGTATCTATGCATTACACGTGTTGCACAATTGTTTATACTTAGAAATATATAGATTTTAAACTTACAAATTGTTGGCTTTGTCTTCATTTTTTTGACTGTGTAACCTCCCCTTTTGGCCTTTGGAAACACAAGCCTGTTCATTAGTTTCCCCTTGGCCGTCTTCCGTCTGGGGCGCTGAGCATTCTCATTGAAATGCAAAGCTGTAAGGTACAACCTAAATGAAACAGCAGAAATGTTGTAACAACTGTCATTTTGTAAGCATACACCAAGAAAATAATCCTACTAAAGGCTGATTTATACTTCGAAACCAGGTCCTTTGCGTAGGTGTCGCAGTGAACAAAAAGACGTCTCCGCCCCCTTCCACAGACACTCTGCTGCACCTCTTCCAAATTGTAGTCGACCGCAGACGGTGCCGCAGACAGGAGGTTGGCTTGTTTTGTTTTTATGACCGCAATTGCGGAAAACAACTTGTTAAGTTGGACCAGCTAGAGGAACGCTGGGACCCTTTTTCCACCTGGATCGCTGCTCTTTTTCACCGCCATGTCTCTTTGTTGTCGGACTAAACTCGCCCCGACTTTTCTCCGCCTCGGCCGTATCTAGACCCACAGCGTGAAAGCGCAGACCACACTTCAAAAATCTCTGCGTCAAGCTTACTGCAACACACTGCTGCAGGAGTATAACCAGCCCTTAACTCACAGCAAAAGCACTGGCTAAACCTGTAGGCTGTGCCAAAGCTGTACCCTAACCAGTGTTGTTACAGATAACCTTTCAGTCAGAGCTTCCTAAAACTGTAATGATTTGCATTTTGACGCCCGGCAATTAGGCCCGATCTCACACTTTCACTGAACAAAACCAGTTTCTGTACACAATTTGTCTCCAATTCCCATTTGCCATGACTTGGCTTAAATATGAAGAGATTCATAGGGAGTGTTCATACCTGCATAGCATTCCAATGAAGGGGAAAGCCACATTTTTTGGGGCAAACCGCTGGATGACACTATGGAACGACTCCACAGTCGATGTCTGGTAATGATGGCTGAGCTTTTCAACATCAGTAAGGAACCTCTTGTTTGTTAGGACCTTGTCAAGCCTATTCAGTGCTGATGAACCTAAGAGATAGTCAATTTACAATGTGATTTAAAACCATGTATACTGATGAGGATGCATGTGTAACCATTGTTTAAAAAAACTGACCTGGTTGAAACCACTTGCTACGGTCCTTCGAAGCCTTCGGTGGATGTACACACTTAGGGAAAGCGGGATCAGAATGATTGTGCACACCTTGCATGTGGTTCAACACAGACTTCCATTTGGCCACCTTCTCTGCTCCGCAGACGGAGCTTGTGGCACACCAGTACAGGTGGTTGACTATGCTTTTATGCCACTTCTTCACCAAAGCACAGCCTTTGTCTTTGCCAACCTGTTCCAACTTCTTTGACAACCCTAATCATTGAAACGCAAGTTTAGATGGCCACTTTTGTTTAGTTATCTAAATTTTTACATCATGTTAAAAAATATATATAAATAAAAGGTTACATTACCTTTTGCTACACGCCGGACGTCATAATAGTGCGTCATTTTACGTTCTCTTAGGATCTTCTGGATCTGAGGGTGACGATTGGTGATAACACCGTCCAGCTTTACACCACTTTGATGTAGGAGGTCCAGGCTTCTAATTAGACCTTCCTTTTCCATGCATGAGCGTCCCCCCACCTCATTGCTCTGTGCAGAGACAAACACAATAATATAATCCAATAGGTAGCCGATTAGTATTTTTATATTTTGTATCAAAACACTGGATTATTTATAATCATTTTTCTGACCATTTTGACCATATAATGCTTATATGGCCTCATAATGATTTTGTCAGTACTACTTGTGCATATGCATACAATACATTATGCCAGTCCTGATGATTTCAAATACCTGCACCAGCTGTAGGTCTACAATTTCATTGGTCTTCACATCTATCATTGTGTAGCTTCCATACTTTGCAGAATGTCCTACAATGCAGAAGATTTTACATTGTCAGTCAAAAAACATGAGATGTAAGCACCAATAGGCAAAACTAGGCAGTTGCCTAGGGATCCAAGTTCCTGGGGGGTCCCATAAAACTCTGTTTACATTCATGGTTAATACAGCTATTACTGATTTGTGCACATTGTGTTTTTGACAAAAATCATTTTGCTAAAATGCCATCAGAACAAGTGTGTTAACCCCACTCCCCTTCAGTGTCCGCCACATTGGCTCAGTCCATTTGCTGCACATGTTCTGAAAGGTCCAAACAGACAGCAGCAAACCAATTGAATGTTGAATGTTGTTGCGAACTTAGTGTTTTGCCGCTATATTAAGCGACTTTTCAGACCTCTCTAGCACTTTTATATAAAAAAAAAAGAGGCTAGTAACACACCTAGTGACTTTTTTCTGTTACTGGAGACTTTTGGCGACAACATATAAAAGCAGCAAACTCTGCTCTCCAGAGCGAGTAGATTCGTAACCCCGCCTCCTGCTTTCCTCTATCTTGTCTGCTGTGATGACTGATGCAGGGCAGGCTGCCCACACGCTGCGCTGCAGCAAAGAGGAAGAACCTTTAACCTTAGAGTCCAGATTGCAAATGAAATGCACTGGTTTAAAGCACTCACTAATATCGTTCAAGATTACAAAATTATTTATAAAACCATTTTTATAAAAAGTTAACTGGTGCTTTTTAAACTTTCTCCCCCTTTCTGCTCCTCCTGTCTCTGCACCGCTTTCTGCTTCTTATTGCGGGTTTTTTAATTGGTTGGCAAACAACTAATGGAGAATTACTGACAATAACTGGCATGGAGTGAAATTAGATGGCTGAATTATATGGATTTTATTTACCGTATTTTCACGACCATAAGGCGCACGGTACTAAAAGGCGCAGTCTCAGTTATGTGTCCCATTTCTGTATTTAACACACACATAAGGCGCACCGGACTATAGGGCGCGTTTTTTATATACAGGTACATGTCCTCTACTACCTTTAAATACCTCTACTGCGTATTTAAAAATACAGCGGGGGCAAAACTGAGTATGACTGTGCTTTATTCATGTATTTATTACAAAGTATTAATCAAACCTGGGAGCTGGCCGTGAGACAGAGACATCGCAGATGACACAGCGCTGTGGTCACTCCTAAATTAACTTAAAATCCTGAAACCTGCCGACGGAATATGTTCGCTTTTATTACCGGTATTCTGGTGCCTGCAGCTGAAATTATTTAGATGAAAAACACCTGCCAGCCACCGCGTGAACCCGGAGGCTGCCCAGCCTAGAGGCTGATGTTGAAAGGATTTCTGCTGTCGGTGCACCGCTGGTATGTGGGGTTCTGAGCGCCTCCGACAGAAATAGATAATCTGGATGAACTGACTGCAATTAATAAGTTTTCAGGTGGCCTTTCTCACTTAAAAACATATTAAAACTACTTTATTCCCACTGATCACAGCAAATATAGCTGCAAGATTTAGATTATTTAGATGAAAAAACACCTGCCAGCCACCGCGGTGAAGAGGAGGAGACCGGCCCAGAGGCTGCTGTTGAATTAAGTTTTCAGGTAGAAAAATAGAGCGGGAGCAAAACTGAGTATGATTGTGCTTTATTCATGTATTTATTACAAAGTATTAATCAAACCCATCAAAGTCATCATCCTCTGTTTCTGAATTAAACAGCTGCGCTAAATCAGACATGCCAATTTCCCCTTCTGCGCTGTCAGTCACTTTCCGTGCAGCGCAGCTCCTCAGAAATAATGCCGGCTTTTGCAAAAGCTCGAACAACAGAGCCAGCAGACACGTTAGTCCAAGCATCTACAATCCATCCGCTAAAGGTGGCGTAACTTGCCCGGCGCTGCCTTCCACTTATCCTGAAACTGTGGTCTCCGTCTGTCATCCATCGCTCCCACGCCGCTCGCAGCCTTACTTTGAACGGCCGCTTCACACCGATGTTGAGCGGTTGAAGTTCCTGTGTCAGACCCCCGGGATAACGGCGAGCACAGCATCCATTTGATTCACCATGTTTTTCACATCAGCTGTGAGATCGGCACACATGGAGTCACAGATTAACTGCGATGGGGATGCGTGGAAAAAAAACACCTGTTCTCCTCACATACACCTGCCTCAGCCACGCTTTCATCATCTCCTCATCCATCCAGCCTTTTTCATTTGCGTTAATATCATATGTCATCAGAGCGCTGTGTCTGTCTCGCTGTCAGCTCCCAGATCAGCTTCTCTGATTGGTTGATGCGGCGCGTCCAGCAGCAAAACTTCAATTTTTCCATCTGAGCAGCAGCAGCGCGTTGGCAGATGCTTGTGTTCTGAGTTGTCTTCTCATTTCAGAGGGCCCCATTCCTGTCTTTGCCTAGGGACCCAAATTTCCTAAATCCGCCCCTGGATGTATGAAAAGACCTCACCTGGAATTGCTGGTGTAATGCACATTAAATCAGAAAGGGAAAATAAAAAAGTACCTGGTGAATCTGCTCGCATATCAAGAGTGACGCCGTTTTCCTGACTGAGTGTTCGAAGCTTTGTAGATTGCCATTCATTCCAGCTGTGGATTATAGCCGGTTCCAGGTATGTTCTGGCATGTCTTCTGAAGGCATCATACGAGTGTGTTCTCAGCTGCAATGCATCAAACATCTACAAAATAATTAAAAGTAGATCAGTTGTGAAGTCATCAGTGAAAGATAAACACATTCCTGCAGGGAAACAATGATAACAACGATGATCACTACCTTTTTCATCTTTGAAAATGAAGCTCCACAAAAGTAAACGGCAGCAGACAGCTGAAGGTCGCCCACAGGGGTGCTCCCAATAACTGGCTGACTCTTCCACTGTCTGAAGAACCGGCAGTGAGGGCATTGTTGATCGATCGCTAGGAAAGATCCTCTTCTGCGTGGCAGGACTGTACAGGCTCTTCTGCACACAGGGCAGTTCTCAAACAGGCTGAAGAGGCATTGCTCAAAAACAATGAATTTTGCATCGCCATATGATGTCACTGGGGATGTGCTACAAGAGATAATGACAAAACAACATTGTTCATCTCAGTTAAAAAACATTTACACTGACTGACATCAGTCTCAATGTATATAAACAGCACTGCTAAATTGTGGGAGTTTTAACTTTACTTACAAAAGCTGGGATGATTCTGCCTCCATTGTGACGGACTGTGCAGGATCGTATGTGGAATGTTGAGGATCAGTGCATGCAGAGGAAACACCTTCCACCCACTCCTCCTCAAATTCAAGGCGAGGTCTCTTTGCTGGCCTCTGACCCTTCCAAGGAGCCGTTGTTCCTACTGCCACACTCTGGCATTCTGCTGTTGCCTGTATGCCTTCAAAGGGGGAGACTATTTAGTGGGGTGTCTTATGGATTGCTCTGCGCCCAACTGCCGTGATACAACATAAAATTGACTAATCAGTCATATCTTTTCTATACAGACCCAACAAATAACTTTAACCAGCCTCCTCCACAAAAGTAAATGTAGGTCATTCAGTCATAATACAGATGAATACTTTTTTAATTTGTTGTGAACGGCTCACAAATGTACCCAGTCATCAAGTTAAGTTATTGGAAAACACCGCTCTGCTAAATGCTACCCAGTAATAATGCTACACATGTTTGGACACACAAACACCATAAAACATCTGATAATATTCATGATAACAAGAATTATTAGAACGTTTAGAAGGTAATAATGATCAGATTATGAGTGGGTAAAACTATGGAGTACCAACTCTGCCAAATTTAAAAATAAATACAGACATAAATACATGATCAATAAATAAATAAACACACAATTAATTGTCCCCCAAAAATACAATAAACAAATAAAATGTAGGTAGAAATTAAATTATACAGTGATACATAAATGTATATACACGTCTTAATTATCTTCTTTATTTATTTATTGTCAGTTATAATCTTGAACTTTATTTATTTATTACTTATTTTTTAAGCATCTATTTATGCACATGATATAATATTTGTCTGTTTTAATCTTCCTTTTTTTTACCCCCTTTATTTCTAAAACACTATTTATTGCTGCATGTTTTTAAATTTCTGTATGCATTTCTGATGCAAACAAGATATATCCACATTTATGTCTCACTGCATAATTTAATTTCTACCTACATTTATTTGTTTTATTGTATTTTGGGGGGGGGAATTAATTGTATGCTTCTTTATCTATTGAGCATTTATTTATTTCAGTATTTATCTTTAAATAAGGCAGACTTGGTCATCCATACATACCTATTGACATGACAATTTATAGGGAGAAAAAACAATGATAAATGTGAAGAATGTGGAGAAAAAGAAAATGTAGAACCCCTACTAATGAAACTTATGAACATGAAAGGGAGAAAATGAGAAGAATGGTTGGAAGGTCAGGCCAAGAATGGAGTATTAAAGGAATACTGGAAAAAAGAAGGAAATATAAAGGACATTCACAGATTAAGGAAAGCTTTATTTATTTATCTACAGAATATAAAATAAAAAATAGAATTATATGTAAAGTAATGTTGCTACACACTCATGTACAGTATACATGTATGTGCAGCAGTATGTGAGGAAAAACAGCGACGTGGGAGGTGTGCTGCAGAGCATGCACATGGAGAGTGTGGGAAGGAAGTTAAAATTAAATGCCGTAACTGTAGTAGAGAACATACTGCTGCTTATCGCGGGTGTGAAGTGAGCAAAAGATCTGAGGAGATAAGAAATGTGAAATTAGAGCTTGGAATAACTTATGCAGAAGTGTCCTAAAATTGCAGAAAATTAATTGATTGTAAAAAAGAAAGATTTTGTACTTTTCATGGTAGAAGTAATCAACTGTAGTGCTCAGACAACAATGAAAACAAAAACATAAATAAATAAAGGCAGAAAGGTATCTTGCAGTTAGAGATTTAAATTGGGAAATGGTTGAAAGTATGGAAAAGGAGTAGGACCATCGAAAACTGGCAGACAGTATAATTGACAATAATTTAATTAGAAATTTACGGAGCCCCTCTGATGACATGGTCAAAAAAAAATTTAATTGTGGCCACGAAGTAGTATTTCGTGGCCACGCAATAAGTATAACGTGTGCACGAAATACTACTTCGTGGCCACGCAATAAGTTTAACGTGCGCACGAAATACTATTTCGTGGCCACGCAATAAGTTTAACGTGCGCACCAAATACTTATTAATAATATTATCATTCCTGGACAACTGGGTAAGCAAATCGAGCGCGCCTTCTCTAAGGTCTAAGGCGCGCTCGATTTGCTTACCCAGTTGGTCTCCGCCAGTCACGTGACATTTGTTGCTGAGACGCCATTTGAGGTGGAAAAGGCGTAGGGTTAACAACCGCAGCATAGCTAAACGAAGGACTAAAGGCCCTTTTACATACAGTAACAGCCTGTCCAAGATAAGTCATTACAGTTAACATAAGCCTGAAAACAGGGGCGGATTTATTGATATTAATAAGTATTTCGTGCAAACGTTAAACTTATTGCGTGGCCACGAAGTAGTATTTCGTGCGCACGTTATACTTATTGCGTGGCCACGAAGTAGTATTTCGTGCGCACGTTATACTTATTGCGTGGCCGCGAAATACTACTTTGTGGCCACAATAAAAAATTTTTTTTGTCCATGTCATCAGAGGGGCTCCGTAGAAATTAGACATTTTGAGGACAAATTTAATTAAGTGTTTATCGTGTTTGGTTAAGTTAAACAGTTCGAAAAATATTTTTTATTTTATTTTTTCTGGGGGTGAGTCTTGTTTCCTTGTTTTAACTCCTTATCAGCTGGTGGCGGTGATGTACTTTCAACTAGTGTGCCAACCGCCAATAAACCGTAGAAGAAGAAGCAGGTTTACCTTTACTTCGTTGCTGAGGTCTCAATGCAGTGAAAGAAAGCTGCGTCCTGTGAGATGCCACATTAGGAGGATCTCTTCGGCACGCTGCAACTTTTTGATCATGAGATGTGCTCTGAAATCATTTTGCACGATAATATGTTAACGTTACTCCTTGTTTCCACTTCTAAAACCCGACCGACTGAGCTGGCTAGCATTGTAGCTTAGCTTCTAGCAACCAAGCTAACGTGATTCTACTCTGCTTTAGCCATCCTGCTGGAATAGACTAACAAACTAACACGACGAAGACCTGGACAAACATGCAGAAAGTGTTATTTATTCGAACTAAATACAGTCAGGGGAATTAAATAATGTGTAACACATTCTGCATGCTGCTACATTCGCTATGCTAGCATTGCTATCAACAGCTTAGCAGCAGAATCATGCTTACAGTTTGTGGTTGTGATGGCCTTATGGTGGGAACAGCCCCTCGTTTCAGTAAAAGAAGTTTAGCAAATCCTGCTTTGAACTGTCCAAGGTTCTGAAAACTGTCTTCTGTAAAATGCTTGGAGCAAATAAACAGCTGAGCATCAAACTTTGCAGGGATCTTCTGATGGACAAATAGAATCCATGCCTGTCGAGTCTTTGGATCCTTGGGAAGACTGTGAAAAACTTCCCCTTTCTCCATGCAGCCTGGAACACTGCATTTCCGCCCATGGTCCATTTTCAATAGATAAACTGACTGCTTCCTGTAGAAGTAAACCCAACTGTAGGCTAAACAGCTAAACTGGTGTCTTCCATCTACCTCTATCTTGGCCCAGTGAACCAGTGGGCTGGTCTGCATGTCAATTTCAGAACCAAAAAAGGCAACACGCCCGAGTTGACGTCATCTCGGGACTGCTGCTTCTTTCTCTTCTTCTGGAATAGAGTGTGGATCGAGATGCTATATATAAATATTCCACAATAAAAATAATTAAAATTATAAGGATTAAGTTAATAAATCTTCTATTCTTTTTATCAATTTAGTTTTCTTAAGGTAATTCATTAAATAAAAAAAAAGTATTTAGAAGTAAAAAGTTTTTCCAAAATATCTTGTATATTTAATTGCATTTTATTTTCTTGTAATCAAATAACTAATTCCCTTCTCTCAACAGAATATTTGGAACAGACTAAAATCACAATTTCAATCACAATTTTCTAAAATCACAATTTGCTGTTGGATGATTTCCCATTTTAAATAATGTACTATTAAACCTTATATGATCAAAATGTAATCTGGATATAATGGTTTCCTGTTTTCCATTTTTTCCTGTTCTCCTGATTGCATCAACTTTTCTTTGAATTCTGTAAAGCAGCGGTCCCCAACCTTTTTTGCACCACGGACCACTATATGTCAGACTATATTTTCACGGACCGGCCGGCGGTGGGAGGGGGGGGATAAGAGTAAAATAATACGACTGGCGTAAAATCAAATACAAACAACATAAAAATAAAACAACAAGCCGGTCCCATCTAGGCGTAATTGGAGACAATGACAGACGAAGTGTGCTCTTGATTTCCAGTCTGCTCCGTAGCTTTGTTTTGGTCGCTGTAACCGCAGAAAATCCCGCTTCACAAAGATAGGATGTTATAGATAGGATGCGTCTTGAACTGAATTAATCTGTGTCAAGAGGCACAGATGCACCGACTGATGTAATTGGGAGAGAATACTGCAATTTTTTATATTTTTCTAAATAAAACATCACTCAGACTCTGATCGTTGATAAATTACATATATATATATATATATATATATATATATTTTTTTTTTTTTTTTTTTTTCTGTGTGGCCCGGTACCAAATGACCCACGGACCGGTACCGGTCCGCGGACTGGTGTTGGGGGGCCGCCTCTGTAAAGCAACCTTCCAGTTCTAGCTTCTTCTCAACTCAGTACTGCTGCTGTTACTTTTTTTTCTATTATGACGGATCGAAAGCAACTTTAAGGTGCATACCGCCACCTACTGTACATGAGTGCATAGCAACATTACATTAAATTTTATTTTTCTTATTTTATACTCTGTAGATAAATAAATAATGCTTTCCTTAATCTGTGAATATCCTTTATGTTTTCTTTGATTTTTCAATATCCCTTTAATATTCCATTCTTGGCCTGTCCTTCCAAACATTGTTCCTAATTTCTCCCTCTCATGTTCATAAGTTTTACAGTTCATCAGTAGGTTTTCTACATTTTCTTTTTCTCCACGATTCACATTTATTATAATTTTTCCTCCCTATTAAATATAAATTGTCATTTAAATAGGTATGACCAGCTCTTAATCTGATGATTATGAGTTCTTCCCTTCTGTTTCTCTCATTAACGATTCTATTTCATACTGATTTTGTACCTTATATAATCCGCTTCCTTTCTTATCTTCGTTCCATTTCTTTTGCCATTTTTCTATTTCTTAACTCTCAAAAAGTGACTTACCTTTCCCAAAAAGAATTGTAATTGTTCCCTCTAAAGCCCTTTTTGTTAATATATCTGCTTTTTCGTTGCCTTTTGCACCTTCATGTGCTGGAACCCAACATAACCAAATATCAATGCCACCCCTATCTATATAATGACTGCTTCTTCTTCAGAATAAGCAGAACATGGAGGATTTTATTCAGTTGTTGTGTTTTAACGACATTTTATGTGATGTGTCAGATGAAGGAGAACTACATTTTAACAAGCTCCTCATTTAATGATTTTTAGCTGACACTTGTTTTACGTCAATTGTTCATATGTTTGAATTGTGTAAATAAAGTGTTGTTAAAAGTAAAAAAAGTCTTATTTTTTCTTCTTCATCAAATAACAAATTTCAACCATTACCCAGTTTAAATCCCTAACTTTAAGATACTTTTCTGCAGCTTTCACTTTTATTTTTGATTTTTTTTCCCGGTTTTCTTTGTTGTCTGAGCATTACAATTGATCACATCTACCATGAAAAGTACAAAATCTTTTATTACAATCAATGAATCTTCCGCAATTCTATGACACTGCTCCAGAGGTTTTGAACTTCTCATTTTCTGAACTGTTGGTTTGGGTTTTTCTGACTTGGATGGGATCCTTTTTTGCAGCTAAACTCGTGACTTTGTTTGGATTCACCCGTTTTATGGTGGGAGTTTAGAATTGTGAGATTTGCAGAGAAAGGAGATGTCAATGAGGTTTGAACTTCTCTGTACATCCATTTCACCCACTGAACTATCGTTATTCATCTATGATACTGTGAACTCGGTTTTGCATTCTATGACCCCTTTAGCTATCACCTTCAATGTCAGCATGGATGTTAAAATCCCCCACTATGATGACCATGTATGTATTAACACCAAATCAAAAAGGAACTCATGTAAAAATTCAGAGTAAGGACCTGGTTGAAGATACAAAGTAACAAAATAAGAGTTTTTCTTGCTTTCCAATTTGGATGAGGGAAACTAAGGGTTAAACGTTCAAAAGAGTTGTAATTATTAACTGCCTTGGGAGTAATCAGTAAGTCAGACTGAAAGACTGCCGCCACTCCTCCTCCTCGACCAGCCCTTCTGGGTATGTGAAAATATAAATAACCAGAAGTTATTAAACAACTATTTCACAGTGGATGTTCCGTACGAAAAAGGGATTAGTGCCAATGAAAAAAATAAAAAAAAAGTTTACAATCTTTACGTTTTATTTCAGTGTGATATGAGAAAAAAAAATCTGAATTCTGACTTTAATCTCAGAATTCTGACTTTTCTCTCAGAATTCTGACTTTAATCTCAGAATTCGGGCATTTTTCTCAGAATACTGACATTAATCTCAGAATTGTTACGTTTTTCTCAGAATTCTGACTTTAATCTCAGAATTCTGATGTTTTTCTCAGAATTCTGACTTTAATCTCAGAAATCTGACCTTTCTCTCAGAATTCTGAAATTTTTCTCAGAATACTGACATTAATCTCAGAATTGTTACGTTTTTCTCAGAATTCTGACTTTAATCTCAGAATTCTGATGTTTTTCTCAGAATACTGACTTTAATCTCGGAATTCTGACTTAAATCTCAGAATTCTGACCTTTTTCTCAGAATTCTGACTTTAATCTCAGAATACTGACTTTAATCTCGGAATTCTGACTTAAATCTCAGAATTCTGACTTTTCTCTCAGACTTCTGACTTTAATCTCAGAATTCTTATGTTTTTTCTCAGAATACTGACCTTTTTCTCAGAATTCTGACTTTAATCTCAGAATTCTTATGTTTTTTCTCAGAATTATGACTTTAATCTCAGAATTTTGACGTTTTTCTCAGAATTCTGACTTTAATCTCAGAATTCTGACTTTTCTCTCAGACTTCTGACTTTAATCTCAGAATTCTTATGTTTTTTCTCAGAATTCTGACTTTACAGTTTTTTTGGATTGCTTACACACTAAAGTTAAAAGTAGTACACTATTAGCAAAACCTTACACTCAAGAAGCAAAACATCAGCCCATATTTGCACAACTATAAGCACATTGTCAACCTCACACTTGTTGCAAAACTCTACACACAGTGATTTGCAAAACACTAAACACACTTAACATACATTACACACAAAAATCTATTATGAAGTCACTTCCTTGCAATACCAAAGCACTGACTGTCAAATTACCGCACCTTCCAACCAATTGATTCAACACAGTCATCAGGTGTGCAAACACTTGTTTGCTTAATTGTAGACACACCAATCAGGTGTATAAGCACTATAAAAAGCAGCAGGTGAGTTCATCGGTCTTCAAGTACAATGGAAAGAGTCAGAGAAATAGTAAGACGAGGGGGAGGAGAAGGAGGAGGACAAGGACAAGGACAAGGAGGAGGACGGCCTCCTATGTTCACAGAACAGCAAGAGAGGGAGATAGTAAACATGGTTTTGGCCAACAATGCTATAACCCTCAATCAGCTCCAAGCTAACATTGTCAATAACCACGTCGGTTTCAACAATATTCATCAGGTCTCAACATCAACACTGGCACGCATCCTAACAAAAAACCATATTCAAATGAAGAAAATTTATCGAGTGCCTTTCGAGCGCAATTCCGAAAGGGTGAAACGACTGCGGCATGATTATGCAGAGGTATGTATTCACCTAAGCATTGTGATCTTGCCTACTGTCTCATAATCTTTTACTGTACTGTGATATGTATACTAGATCTACACTGAACACAATTTCGCCTGACACTGTTCTTCAGAGAGTTTTACAAATGGATGGAGAGGAGATCCAGCATGAGTTCATTTACATAGATGAGGCTGGGTTCAACCTGACGAAAACACGAAGGAGGGGAAGAAACATCATTGGCCACAGAGCTATAGTCAATGTCCCAGGGCAACGTGGGGGTAATACAACACTCTGTGCAGCCATTACACAGAATGGGGTCCTCCACCGCCATGCCCATATGGGCCCTTACAACACAGCACTCATACTTATATTCTTGGACCAATTGCACAACATAACAGCAGCAAATCAAATCGATCATATGCAATACATTGTTGTCTCGGACAATGTGTCTTTCCACCGCTCTGCTCTGGTTCAGAACTGGTTTCAGCAACATCCACATTTCACCGTCCTATATCTTCCACCATACTCTCCATTTCTCAACCCTATAGAAGAGTTTTTCTCGGCATGGCGGTGGAAGGTATATGATCTCCGTCTCCAGGCTGAGGTACCCCTCATCCAGGCCATGGAGGAGGCCTGTGACCAGATGGAGGTAGCAGCAATGCAAGGATGGATTCATCATTCAAGACGTTTCTTTCCAAGGTGTCTTGCTAATGACAACATTGCCTGCGATGTTGATGAAATTCTCTGGCCAGATCCAGCTAGGCAAAGAGACAATGTCTAGTTTTTGTTTTTTGTTTTTTTACAGTAAACTTACAGTACAATACGTAAAGTGAAATTTTTTTACAGTATTATGAATCTCCATGTCAACATTTTGGGCATGTTGAGAAATAAATGAGTTTCTTCAGTCTGCAACATTGGTCTTGTGTAGTGTTTAGTGAATTTACATTATATTTGTACTTTGTTGATGGTAGCCAACTCTAATCATAGGGAAGTAGAAGTGCTAAAAGTGTTTTAGATTTATCACAGCAGAGTGTAACTCGTGCAAACAGAGTATAGTAATGTGAAACATGTGTGTTTCATATGGTAACAAAGTGTGGTTTTTAAACAGAAGTGTATAGTTTTTACAAGAGTGTTTAATTATGCAAAGGATCTGTAGTGTTTTGCTAATTGGGTGTGTGGTTGTGCTATTTGCGTGTAGTGTTTTGAAGACACGGGCGCCCTGTTTTGAAAATTGTGCTTAAGCAATCCAAAAAAACTGTAATCTCAGAATTTTGACGTTTTTCTAAGAATTCTGACTTTAATCTCAGAATTCTGACGTTTTTCTCAGAATTCTGACTATAATCTTAGACTTCTGTTTAAATTCTGACAGCTAACAAACATGTTAGCATCAAGCCGTAGCCATGTCTGTTTTAGAAACTAAACTAGCTCTCTTGTTTTAATCACCTTTAGCTCTTCCATTAATGAAATAGCATCATCGGGGACCCCTTGGGCACGTAAAAAGTCACCTAGTTCCGTTATTTTCCACCATTGTGTTACCGTTCCTCCCAACAACTCACATCTTTGTCAGTGAAGCTGAATGCTCCCACATTCCTTCCTTCATGGTGACCATCTATATTAAAATCCTAAATTCGGAGATTAAAGTCAGATATTATATTAAACTGAAATGGTATCTAAAAATCAGTAAACTTTTTTTTTTTTCCAGTGGCCCTAATCGTCTTCCGTAGGTTTTGGTACTTGTGGCATTGCAGACTTTTAAACAAACAACGCTTTTCCTTTAGATAAGTTTCAACATGTCCTGTTTGTTGTCTTTATTCAGGTAAAAAACAAAAAAGTAGCCTTTACAGAATTTCTTCAACTGAGAGAGAGAGAGAGAGAGAGCGAGAGAGAGAGAGAAACAGTATTCAGTAAAAAGGCTAAACAGATACTAACTGATCTGTAAACTACCCATGATCAAAACTGGTTTATTATTTTACAAAAATGTAAAATTGCTCAGAATTTTAAATGATATGCAAATTATGTTGTTTCAAGAATAAGATAGAAACATGCATATAACATATAGTAGTTACACACAAAAAATGGTGGGATGAGCGCTTCAATTTTCCTCTTTGTTTTGTTATAACACAAAATCAATAGTGAGAGTATATAGAATAGGTTTAATTACAGTATCATGTTTACTGGATTTCACCCAACCTTCAAATGACTCATCATACTCAGCAGATGGAAAAGAACATTTAACTAATAAGCCTTGAGCACAAATGGTGCATATTTGTTTAGATCAAGCATGTTCAGTAAAGTTACTCACAATGGATGGATTAAACAGACATTTTAGACAAGTAAGAGTAGAGATAATTTTGCTCAAATAAAAGTTAAAAGTACAAAGCTTTAAAAAATATTCCTAAGGTCATTAAATAAGTTACCCAAGTAACTGTAACTGAATTAAATGTAACTAATAACTACCCACCTCTGAGTTGCTGCCACCACCCTAAAACCATTACAGACTCTTATTTTGAAAATCGCCACCGGAAGTTGTTTTGCATCAGTTAGCTTGCCTCGTGCGCTGGTGGAGCATCACAACATCAACTCAGCCGCTGCGAAGTCGGGAAGCGTTGCTCTTACTTCGATGAAGGTAATAAAAAATCTCTTCCTGGTTGCAGTGTGTACATGTATGTAAATAAATAGTTTTAAACCGATAGTTTGTTTATATTCACTGAATCCAAACGGCGATGTTAGCGAATCTGCTGCTAATGAATCATCTGCTTTTACATCGCCTCTGTTTTATCCCTATAGTGATGTTATATCCTGTATCTATTGTTCCTCGTAGCATATTTTCTACCAAGCATCGTTAAACTTAGAAGCTCAGAGGGTCAGGCCTTCGGTGTTTACATCAGCTTTAGGGTTTGGGTCTGTTGTCGGTCACCTCCACTGGTCTGCTGCTGGAGACAAACGCTGCAGGCCTCCATCTTCCCTCCTCCCTCCCTCCCTCCATCCATCCATCCCTCCATCCTCCCATTGGGCTCAAAAAGATCCAAACATGAAGCGACGGCCACCATGATGCGGATTTCTTCGTTTTTTTAAGGGATCCGATGGGTTTAAGGAGGTTTATGAGTTTAAAAATTTTAAACTCCACTATTCACTCTCCCCACCTTAAGCTTTATATTTAATATAAAGCTTAAGGTGGGGAGAGTGAATAGTGGTGCATTGCAGTCAGGTGTGGAGGCGGAAGGGAGGGAGAGGGAGGGAGGATGGAGGAGACAGACTGAGGGAGGGAGGGAAGATGGAGGAGACAGACTGAGGGAAGGAAGGAGGGAGGGAGGGAGGAGAGAGGCTGGGGGATGGAAGCGAGGGAGGGAGGGAGAGGAAGGATGGAGGAGACAGACAGAGGGAAGGAAGGAAGCGAGGGAGGGAGGGCGGAGGAGACAGACTGGGGGGAAGGAAGCGAGGGAGGGAGTTAGGGAGGGAGGAGGAAACAGACTGAGGGAAGGAAGCGAGGGAGGAAGGGAGGGAGGAGGAGACAAACTGAGGGAAGGAAGCGATGGAGGGAGGGAGGGAGGGAGGAGACAGACTGAGGGAAGGAAGAGTGGGAGGGAGGGAAGGATGGAGGAGACAGACAGAGGGATGGAAGCAAGGGAGGGAGGAGAAGACAGACTGAGGAAAGGAAGCGATGGAGGGAGGGAGGGAGGGAGGAGACAGACTGAGGGAAGGAAGAGTGGGAGGGAGGGAAGGATGGAGGAGACAGACAGAGGGATGGAAGCAAGGGAGGGAGGAGAAGACAGACTGAGGAAAGGAAGCGAGGGAGGGAGGGCGGAGGAGACAGGCTGAGGGAAGGAAGAGAGGGAGGGAGGAGGAGACAGACTGAGGGGAGGAAGGGAGGGAGGGAAGGGAAGGATGGAGGAGACGGACAGAGGGAAGGAAGCGAGTGAGGGAGGAAGAGGAAGAATAGAGGAGACAGATTGAGGGAAGGAAGCGAGGGAGGGAGGAGGGAGGAGACAGCCAGATGGAAGGAAGGTAGGGAGGGAGAACAGGTGCGCCTCCAGCATCTGAGCTGGAATAGAGAAAAGTCACGATGCTGCTTGGTTTGATCCTGATCCAGTCAGATTATCTGTTGGATACAAACATAAAGAGCAGCTAAGTTTAGCTAGACATAACAGGGATTAGAAAAGTTTATTTTCTGATTGAATAAACACTTACTGGTAATAGTGTTTATTTTACAACATGCAGCTGCTCTATTTTGATCTTATATGTTTTTTCAGTCTTTTTCCTTTTTCATACAATAACAAAATAAAATTATAAATATAGAAGGTAGAGTTCCTGATAACACAACAATTTAAAGTAGTGATGCTGGTGATGGTAAGAGGAAGCCTCATGAGGCGTTGAACCTTTTCGCCAAATTGCTTTAATAATACCAACAGTTCATGAGGCTCCATCTGAACATGGCTCCACCTACTGGTGGAGTGCAGAACTACAGTGTAAAATGTCTTAGAACAATCATTTAAGGTGCACCGTTTTTCTGTTGTTTTAGTGAAATAAACTCAGACAGACAGTGAAAGTGTGCAAATTGGGCAATGATGAGCAAAATTAAAGTTGTTAGTCATTTTTATTCAAACATAATAGTTTTCCCACATCTTTTGGTTTTAATCGGGTTGGAAGTTGTGTTCAACCAATCTTTTGGCTAAACCGACCTAATTTGTCAGCGTTTTTACCCAATCTATATTTTTACTAGGGAAACCAATGCAAATTAGTCTCATTGACCATCAATTTTGGCCCCTCCTCTAAATGAATCACGCCTCGTCACGCGCTTCGGGGAACCGCCCCCTGCATTACTCGACACACGCCTCGAAGCCTCGGCTCATCTCATAACATCACTAATTTGAAGTGTTTCTATGAGCTGAAATAGATCTTATGTTAATTGTTATTGCAATCTAAGCCCTTATTGATGTTTTTAGTGAATTAGCTGATGCATACATTTTTAGATCAAGCAAGTGGAGGCAAATGAAATATACCCTGTAAAGTAGTTTGCTCGAGGATCAGCAAGGTGAAGAAAAAAACTGCTTTATCCACCGGTTCCAGATTTCTCTTTTGTCTTTTATTCTGCACTTTTCACTCTGACAACCCTCCCTTGAGCTCCTAAGAGCTCAGTGCTTATCTAACCAATTGGCAACACACCTGCCCCACGAGTTGGACCAAGCCACAATTAAACAGGTAGAAAAAAAACAAACTCTAAACAGAGAAACAACATTAAAATTATATTACATAAAAGAATGAACGAATCTGCAAAATAAACAATGTGATACAAGATAACTCAAAAAGTGACTTTAAAGAAAAACAAACAAAGCATTATTCCAACGGAAACCCTTTAAATGGTAATCAATGACATCATCTAGCTAATTTAGCAAGAAATACTTGGACAATGATGAGTAAAAAGGAAAACAAATACCATGAATATACTTAAAACTAAATAAACAATTTCCACCAATAATCCAGAAGTAATAGCTTTAACCTAAACATATAGATAGATGGAAACCACAACATAATGCTAACACAAACAAACCCGGGATTGTATGTGAAGCAAAGTGGCAAACTGATGTTTAAATTTAAGCACTACAAATCAGAAAAAAGAAAAAGGGACAAGTGGTGAAAACAAACTGAAGCACTTTGTCAGATACCTACCCCCGCAGCTAAGTACCATTCCTGGGCGTAGCCCTCCTCTCAGCCAGTATTCATTAGGGATGGGCATCAGCTGTAAACCTCGTGGTGATGAGGGTAGGGCTCTCGTCAGAGGTTTGAAAATAGACAAATCTGCTGTTTTTGAACAATTTCAATACATTAAAATAAAAAATAAAAAAGCATCTATAATATCTCAAAGAGAGAGGGATTTGTTTTATCCAGTAGCACACACATTGTGGGGTAATCTTGTAATTACTGTAAAAAAATAAAACAAAAATGAGTCTGCAGCAATATTTTTTTTTGACTATCTTTATATTAAGTATTGAAATAAAATATTACTTGTGCAAAAATCAGCTGAACCAATTAAAACTTGATTGGTTTCAATATAAGATTTAAAAAACCAAAAAATTATGTATTTGTTTTTTTCTTTTCTTTCTTGGACCATATTGGAAGTATTAACATCAGGACTGGAGGAAGGGAAGAAGGACTTGTTGTTTTGTACTTAAAAAAAACAAACAATTTTTAACAGTCTTCTTGGTATTTTAGGTTTGCAATTGGAGTTTTAGCCCAATAAAAACAGCTGTTTCTACATACCAAACCTTTAGCTTATAAATCTTTAAATATTAAATATTCGCTTTCTAAAAAAGATTCAGCGAACATTTTAATTCCAACACGCCCTACTGTATGAAGGAAGCTAAAAAACAGAGCAGCTTCGCTCTGCTCCTCTCAGCCTTCTTGTTATCCACAAAAAGTTCAGTTCTCACTTATAATCTGAAGAAACCAGAGATCAAAGCTTTTTTTTTTTTTTTTTTAGTTGCTCCTGCATCTATTTCGACTGTTTCTTAAAACGGCCTTTTTACCCTCTATAAAGCCTATTGCTGCAAACATGAGCTGGTTCTACCTGATCGATTTCTATGTCCGTTCATTTCTCTTCAGTATTAGGATTGGGAAACAGGTTTGTTTGAGGTGAATTGTTTTGTTTGGATGGGAACATTGCCCTCTCGCTCCGTATCCGTCTTCTTTCCTCAGAGTGGATCTGTCAGGAGATCAGTTCTCACTTTAATTGGATTTCTTTGTCCCTGACAGATGCTGTGTTAGTTTCTGACCCTCAGGAGCTGAGTAATCTAAATCCAGTTTGCCAACAGTGAACTAATGCTTCCTAGCTCAGACACTTTTCATCTTCTGTTCAGTGCAACCCAGGAGACATTTTAGGCTTTGATGAAATCCAAATACAATGAACCCTTCTAGCTTTTTTTTTTTTTTTTTTTATCCATTTTACAATCTACAACAAACCAAACCATACATTTTAATGCTAGTTAATAGGGAGGTCCTGATACAGCTTTTTCATTTCCGATACAATGCAGATATTGTAGATTTGAGAATTGCCTGATGGTGATATTGACCTGATACCATATCAGCATGACTCACACAAGCCTTTATTATTTATTTTATACTGTGCGATGTTAGAAAAGGCTTGATCGAGTAATATTACTGAAACAGGGAACAAAAGTCAACAAAATGTAAGAAAACAATTGAACCATGCTTTACTTTTTTCTCTTCTTTGCAGCTCTAACGTGCATCTGTATGATTTAATACATCTGCAGCTCATCCTTAAAAGATACTCTGTGTTGAATATACATTTTCTATAAATGATCTGTCTTCTAGAATATTGTTGAAGTTTATTTTTTACCTATATTCTTCCTCCTCCTCTGTATGCAGCTGCATTTAGTTTTCCTGCTGGCTACAGCTTCTAATGCCAAAAACAAACCAAACATCTGATTTCTCTTTTCATTTAAAACATAATTTTCTTTTTGATCACATGAAATTTCCCAAACCATCTCTGTCTGTCTCTTTCTCTAGGAATTTAAAACTTAAACCATTTAATCTAATTTAGCGTACACTGCGATACTACATTTCTTCTAAATCTTTTATTATTTTTTTTTTAAATCTCAAATTATAAGTTTGTATAAAAAAGGAAAAAAGTACTGTTTAGTTCTGTAAAATTTGTGTTATAACCATCTCAGTGCTGCCCCCTAGGGTTGAACAGAGGCTATTGCAGTTTAATTTTTCTATTTGTTTAATAGTACAGGTTCGTCAGAGCTCTGTTCTTAATTCAGGTTTGAAAACAGCTCACGCTATGCACAAAGCGTCCATCAAGATCTGGTGTCTAGGTTTTTAAAAAATCTTTTATTTCAACAGATCTATGCATGAAATAAAGGCTAAGCTAGGCTAGGCTAATCTTTCTGCTACTTTCTCATCCTGATTGCACCCTCACTAAAGGCCACTTTATGCTTCTGACGCATAGCCTCTGCAACCATCAAATCTAAAAAAAATCCTGACTGTGATTGGTCCTTGGTATGCCTTTCCGGCCATCTGTGTGGTCGTCCTTCTCGATTCAGTGCCGGGGCGTGCCATTTTTAAAAACCGAGGAACAACTACAATGGACAAGTATGACGAAAGGTTAATCGACGAGGTTCGGAAGTACAACCGCCAAAGTTCTTGCTAGTTCTCGAATAGGCTCCCCCTTGCCTCTTTGGCGGGAAAATGCTGTGCATCCCTAAAAATTCCAGACCGACGCTGCAGAAGCATACCAGCAAAACTGGTTCGCGACCAGACGCAAGCGACATTTGATGCGTGCGGTTGCAGAAGTATAATCCGTCCTAAAACCCTCACTTCTCATCCCAACCCCCAAGGTCTCCTGGCACCGATGACCTTGGCAGCTATTTTCAAAATTCGCCTAAGGGCGAGGTTAATCTTTTACAATAGCATGAGTTATGCTTTAAGATTAACAACATTCATGCAACTCAAAATTTACTAGCTTTAAATACAATAAAACAATCGTGTTTGCATGCCACAGTGTCTACTCAACTACGCCGTTCTGTAATTTGCAGCTTTTCACATTAGAAGCCAAATGCTTTTTGTTTTTTGTTGTTCAGTTTTTCACTTCTACTTTTTCAGACAGAGTAAATAATCATACACACACAAAAGTAGGCAAACATATAAATATGTAAACATGCTCCTGCCTGATCTGCATAATGATTTCTTTTTCAAACACATGCTTATATAATTCTTTCTTTTGCCCAAAAACAGGCTGAAGTAAAAAATGCTTATGTGCACCTATCCTCTTGCATTCGCTTCTTCCAACATAATAAATCAATTAAGCAACTGAAGTAGTTTTTTGCCACATCTGGCATCAATTTTTGTGCTAAATTGTCGTCTTGTCTGATCTAATGTTTGCGTGTGGATTAGCATCAGTGCAAAACAAGTAGTTGCACTGTATTTTGATAACGCTCCTAAATTATGCAAATCCATTTCCTGTTCATTGTGGGAAAAAAAGTTAAAATGGTTGTTTTGCTGCTTTTTTAAACTAAAGGGGGTCGCTATGAATGTAATAAAATTTAATTACTAGAATTGTGCTTGCTTTCTGCTGAGCTTTTTTTCTTAAAAAAAAGACGTTGTTAAAACATGGATCCGATAATCTTTATCGCCTAGTCTGCAGTTTTCTAGTAGTTTCACATTAGAATAGGTTTTTATTAAATGGCTCTGAATATCATGTATTAATGGAAAAAAGGAATAAAGTTCTTTAAATGTCAAGATGAAAACATCCATCGTTTTTTTTCTCGTTTTTTTTATTTAGCTAATGAATCGTTAAGAAGTCAGATCGATATTGTTTAACAAAGTAGCCAGGTATAAATAATCAGAGTTTACAGTAAACATATATAAATATATATTTTATATATATTTATAACATATATAATATATATTTTAAACAGTGTGCATAAAACCAGGCGATGTCCACCATGGTGTATCCGCGCGATGAAGCCCTGGAGCGCCTGACCCAGGATGAGATTGTCCTCAACACTAAGGCCGTCATGCAGGGCCTGGAGACGCTGCGTGGCGAACACACCCAGCTCCTCCACTCGCTCCTGGACTGTACCCAGCCTCCCATCGCCCAGGAGAAGTCCGGCCTCCTCAGGAAGAATCTGGAAGACATCGAGCTGGGCCTGGGAGAGGCGCAGGTCGGCTTTGGTTTAACCTGCAGCTCTTCAGCTTCGCTCCTACATCATCTGATCATGTTCTCCTTTTTTCCCCCTCAGGTTATCATTGCTCTGTCCAACCATCTCAGCGCTGTGGAGTCAGAGAAGCAGAAGCTGCGCGCCCAGGTGCGTCGGCTCTGCCAGGAGAACCAGTGGCTGCGGGACGAGCTGGCGGAAACACAGCACAAGCTGCAGCGCAGCGAGCAGTGCGTCGCTCAGCTGGAGGAGGAGAAGAAGCACCTGGAGTTCATGAATCAGATCAAGAAGATTGACGACGACGTTTCTCTGTCGGAGGAGAAGGGCCAGAGCTCCGGAGGGAAAGGAGCAGCAGCAGGAGGAGGAGGAGACTCTTCAAAGGACAGCCTGGATGACCTGTTCCCCAACGATGACGACCAAGGAACAGGTGACTTTGATCTGGATCGTCTTTTACGAGATAAACCGTCTCATCTGACCGTCTGTATGTTACAGTGAGGCAGAGTATGCTCATAGCTAATTTGATATTGGCCAGAGATAGAAGGTTTACTTTATAAAATGATCAGGGAACTTATTAAGCAACATCATTATGTCCATATTTTAAAACTTTAACTGCAAAAATGATTTAAAAATAAATAAAAATAAAGCTTAAATAAGTTTTACTCTTAATTTAAGCAGTTTAACAAGATGATCTTCTAATAGTATGAGTATTTTTGCCCTTAAATTCAGATTCAGATATGCATTTAAAACAGGTTTTTTTTTATTTCAACGTCTTCTTCCTTTAGCAAAGTGTCTCACTTACCTCATTTTAAAAAAGCACTTATTTCAAGACATAATTGACTGACTTAGTTAAAAAAATTTTTGCAGTGCATTTAGTTACATCTCAAATTTACCTTCCTTTGTAGATTTTCATTTCATATTTTGTTAAAATAGTTTTGTTAAAGCAGTATAGGGGTGTTTCCTTGATATCGAGCTCCTGACTTGAGGTTTTTGCAGCTCTTGATTACATGCAGGAAGTGATGTTATCTTTGAAATGAGGCTTGCCGAGCAGGAAGAGGACTAAGAACCACTAGTTCATCTTTTACACTACTGCAGCAAATCAATACAAATATAGGATGTCGTATTTAATTTCATGAGTTACGGGTGAGGTATTTAGAAAAACTAATCCCTTATAAAAACTTTATTTCATAATTAGCATAGGTCTTAAATCTGATCCATAACAATCCTAAAAAGGTGTTAACATTTAACCTAAAGGTCTGACCCATAACTATACACACACATCAGTAAAGTCCAGTAATAATTTGGTGAACATGTTAAGGGTTTTATTTAAAAAGAAATGTTCAACGAAGTCATTTAGAATGTTTTTAGAGCATAAACAGTAGTGTATAGGATTTCCTAAAAGCGCGTTCACGAGTCTACGGAAACCGCGGCAGACCAAACCAGATGAAAGTGCGCATTCAGCGTCTGGTCTGCCGATAATGCAAGCGTAGAAGAAGAAATGTGCTGTTTACCTGTGCAAAGAAAGAAACAACGAAAGAAAAATGTCTGAGGACTTCAGTGTTGAGGAAGAGCAGGAGTTCTTTGCCGAGCTGAATGCGCTGGTTTGGTCTGCCGGCTTCCGTAGCGTCGTGAACGCGCAGGCGCGCGCTTTTAGGAAATCCTATACACTACTGTTTATGCTCTAAAAACATTCTAAATGACTTCGTTTCGAGTAAATTATGGACGCTACCCACTCAGGACACTTGGAATACATTGGACGAGCAGTATGGAGGAATATTGACACGTTTTTTGTGGACTTTTATGGACCTTTCTGTCTCGGGCGCCATAGACCTCCATTATTTGAATGTCAGCAGACAGCAAGAAGCCTCCCAGATCTCCAGATGCATTTGAGATATCAAAAAAAGTACTCCAGAGTGTTGTTCAGCATGGGGGTGAGTAGAAAATGAAGGCTAATCATGTTTTGGGTGTACTGTTCCTTTAAGCACATATTCTAATATATCTCCAGTTGGGGACTATAAATTTGATATCTGAGACATCAGTACTGCTGCTGAAGCTCCTCTACAATATTATTAGCACTCAGAACTACCTGTTTTTGGCGTCAAGTGTTATGGTTGCTAGGTGACGGAGCGTATGGGCAGTGAAAGCCGTAGAAGGCTGGACCAGTTTGAATCCAAAGCCAAAACTCTTCCGGCCTCCTTATTTTCATGCACCTCAAAGGACCCAGTCCAGGCAGACCGGGTCCTTAGATGATGCAGCCACTGAAACTAAACACCTCATGTTTCTTTTGTATTGCTCTATTTTAAGAAAAGCAAATTTTCTTTTGAATGAATTGATATAAAAACTGTAATTTTATTTTTTTTAAGTCTTTATATGTAAACAGAGATCCTATTTAAGTGTGACGGGCAGTAAAATTGAGCAACAGATTAAAAAGAGGTTCAGTTTATGCCAGTAGATGTTCCTTTACATTGCTCAGGGTTTTTGCAAATTTAAGCCCCTTTATTTTATTCCCTAAATGTTTAAAAGCTCTATGTCTTTAAAGAAATGTTTTAAGAATCGTCTAAAAAAAGGTTACTTAACACCTTTTCTTTTATGTCACCTTTGCTCCAACTGTTTCTTTTAGACCAGAAAGTTTTACCATTAATTACTCATACTGAACTTTAACCCTATAACTACAGGATAGTCTAACAAGGGTTTTAACTACTGGAAGACACAGATTTAATCACTAAAAACTAAACCAACACCAAGCTTTCCTGTTTTATTCATTGCCTTGTGATTTCTGGGCCTAAAAGGAAGTGATGTGACTCTGTGTGATGGGTTTGTTTCAGCCCAGCCCAGTGGGGAGGCAGCAGCCCAGCAGGGGGGCTACGAGGTCCCCAACCGTCTCAGGACGCTGCACAACCTGGTGATCCAGTACGCCTCCCAGGGCCGGTACGAAGTGGCCGTGCCACTCTGCAAGCAGGCCTTGGAGGATCTAGAGAAGTCGTCCGGACACGACCACCCCGACGTGGCCACCATGCTCAACATCCTGGCCTTGGTGTACAGGTGGGGCGCTGCCTTCTCTAACACGGTCAATACTAATGAAGATTTTTTTTTTTACTACTCTGGGGCTTTTTCGTGTTTCCAGGGACCAAAACAAATATAAAGAAGCAACTCACCTTCTGAATGACGCCCTAGCTATCAGAGAGAAAACCCTGGGCAAGGACCACCCAGCTGTGGCTGCAACCCTAAACAACCTGGCTGTGCTGTTCGGAAAGAGGGGCAAATACAAAGAGGCCGAGCCCCTCTGCAAGAGGGCCCTGGGGATCAGAGAGAAAGTGAGAGGCTCCCAGCGCCAACGGAAACCACAGCATTTGAATGAAAAGCCCAATGCAAAGCATTTTTGCAAATCCGTCTCCCAAACGCTCATGAGGCTGTCTCCTTTCTGCCCTCAGGTGCTGGGCAGATCTCATCCTGATGTAGCCAAGCAGCTGAACAACCTGGCCCTGCTGTGCCTGAACCAGGCCAAGTACGACGAGGTGGAGTACTACTACAAACGGGCCCTGGAGATCTTTGAGTCCAAACTGGGAGCCGATGACCCCAGTGTAGCCAGGACCAAAAATAACCTGGTGGGAACCCAGCGTCTGCTTTCTCTGATACCTCTTAGTCACATTTGGACCCACTTTATTACGCTTCTTTTTGTGAAAAGTCATATCTTTAAACTCGGATTTATGTTGTTGTTCTTTTAGGCCACATGCTACCTGAAGCAGGGCAAGTTTAAAGATGCAGAAGCTCTGTACAAAGAGATCCTGACCAGAGCTCATGAGAAGGAGTTTGGATCTGTCAACAGTGAGTAAAGCCGTCAGTGGAGAGGCTCAGACAGGAGCGAACTGCGTCCGCCGGGTTTTTCTTTATGCCCCAAACCTGTGATCATCGCTGCATCGCCCTCTTCTGGTCAGATGATGATAACGCCCAGCTTTTGAAGAAAATCTGAATTATTATGACCCAGATGAGCGTCTGTTTTTTGCTGGGATTAGAGAGTGAAAAGTCAATGGGAAGAGGCACAAAGAGGAAAGTCTAGCGTCATTCGTTGTTCCCACATCATTAAGAAACAGTTCAGGTAGCTTTAATCAAGTAAATGGCGCATCACTACATGGTTGCTGGAATACTGAGTCAGCCGACATCTTTCACTACTTTTCTGGATTAAAGAGGATAACCACCATAGTTGCTGTGTGCAAAAAAAAAAAAATTCCAGCAGAGGCTGGACTTTGATCTGATCAACCAGTTGGGAGTGTGCAGTAAACTAATGTTCACCATGGTTGAAGCTGTCCTACTGTATAAAACTTTGAACTCAATGCTATTCCTAACATTTTGTATTGCAAAAGCTTCATAGATGGGAAGTGAAAAACATCGTTAAAACTTGGAAACAAAGTCCAGTGGACTTTGTTTTACTTTTTTCGAATGACAATGACTGAGAATCTTCACCAGCAGGTCGTCAAATCCTAAAATCATGCCTTTTATTTTCTGCTCTGCTTCACCTGTATCTGATTTTTTTACTGCTTTGTGGTTTTGTCGGCTGCTAGCGGCTCCGACATGGACAGTGCTGAACCCTAAAGTTTTACTCGGCTATTTGATGACAGCTGACCTTCCTCGGCTCTCTGATAGCGATTGAAAGTTATATGAAGAAACATGCGATTCTTTACAGCTGCTTATTTACAGCCCCAGTAGCAGCAGTCAGTTTACAAGTCGAGAGTCACTTTATACGGCGTGATAGAGAACAAAGAAATCAAACAATATTCATCTGGAAGACCTTTTTGGGGGGATTTTAACCACATCTGTCATACTTTTCTTATTTGAACATTAATTTCAACAATATTTTATTATTGTGTTATGTGAATCAAGAGATATGTACAGAAGGGCCAGGGGGAAAAAAAAAGTTAAATTATTTTTTAATTTTATTTCAGTTTAATATGGGAAAAAAGTCAGAATTGTGACTTTAATCTCAGAATTCTGACTTAAATCTCAGAATTCTGACTTTTCCCATATTAAAACAAAATAAAATTTAAAAATCAGTTAACTTTTTTTTTTTTTTTTCAGTGGCCCTAATCCTCTTCCGTAGATATTTGATGTTATAATTAGGATTATTTATTAAAAGTCAAACAGAAAGGTCAGGAATGTTTTATGATTTCATTTTCCGTCTCATTTTTTAGATGATAACAAGCCCATCTGGATGCATGCAGAGGAGAGGGAAGAGAGCAAGGTCAGTTGTTAAAGTTTTATTCACCTGCCATTACATTAGCAAATTGACTGAAAAGGTCAATGGAGACATTTTCACTTCCTGTAGTCTTACCAGGCCCTTGTTTTACACTCAGCTTTTTTCACTCTCTGTTAATTTTCATTCCTCTCTGTCTGCCTCTTCCTGCCTGAATTAGAGTAAACAGAAGGACTCTGGGCCGTATGTGGAATATGGCAGCTGGTACAAGGCCTGCAAGGTGGACAGGTAATCTCCATGTTTCTGGTACATGAAGGAAAAATCAGTAAACACTACAAATATTTAAATCTAAGTAAGCCGATTTCCCTTAAAATAACTATATTTCTCCCTGATTTCAGCAGATAAATAAGATCATTTGCCTATAGAATAAAATAGTTTACCTTTTAAAATAAGAAAATACAACTTAATATTTTACTCAAGTGCATAATATCTAATTATCTATTTTAAGGTCAAAAATACTCATTTAATTTGCAGATACTCATATTTAACTGCTCAATTTAAAGAGAAACACACTTATACTATTTTTTTTACTTGTGTCTAGATCAGTTTTTGTAGTGAACAAGGCCTCATCTTACTCTACACTGGAAAAACAACCTAGAAATCAGTAAAATGTCTTAAATTAAAGGGATAGTTCGGGATTTTTGACATGAATCTGTATGGCATCCCCATCACCAGTGTCATGCAATCACACTGACTTACCCCTAGAGCTGGGCGATATGGCGATATATATCGTGAGGACGAGAGAAACATGTCTATCGTGACCTTTCTCCTCTATTTTTTCTATCGTGATAAACTTTTTTATTATTATTATTACTGCTAATATACATTTTAATATAATTTGTTAATATAACATTTTGCGTTTTTGCTATGCAAACTCTAAGTGTATATAACGAAAAAAAAAAGAGAATAAAAAGATAATGTGAAGAGAACGTGGTTTTGCGACACTACACCGCTTTACGTCACGCGGCTTTGCACCATACGTTTGCGACATTACTGACGGAGAGAGCCCGCGAAATTTCGTTCTGGCTTGAAAAAAAATGAATGATGGACACCCAAGAAGATGTTACCACAGCAGCGGTTACAGAGTCCGAAACAGTTGCCAGGTCACAGAAACAACAAACACCACTTTTGCCCAAAAGGGGAGGCAGCTCGGTTGTTTGGTTATATTTCGGATTTCAGCCATCTGATAAAGAACAAACGCAGCCGATATGTAAACTGTGCAGCAAAGCCGTTCCAGCGGCTGATGCAAATACTTCCGGCCTCTTTTACCACCTAAAGAAAAATCATGAACAAGAACACGGGAAACTACAACCACTCCGATCAAAACAAACAAGGGATGAAAATACAGGAAGCACTGGAAAGAAATTCTCACAGCCGAAGCTTAAGGAAGCATTCGCCTAAGGATCACAATATGAGAAGACGTCTCAGCGACACAAGCAGATCACAGGTGCTATTTCACGCTATATCTGTAAAGGCATGGCCCCCGTTTACATAGTCGAGAAAGACAGCTTTCGGGACCTCGTCCGTACCATCGATCCCAGATATGTGATGCCTAGTCGAAAACATTTCAGTAAAGTGGAGCTGCCTGGCTTATATGCTAGTTGTCGGGCTGAAGTGGAGAGAGAGGTACGCAGTGGTGCGACGCATTATGCGTTGACTACGGACATGTGGATGAGTAGAGCAACACAGCCTTATATGAGTCTCACCATCCATTTCATCAAGGACTGGACCCTCCTAGTGGAAAACAAGGTAAGTGAAAGACAAGAGAAAAACCTGGCCTTGGAATTTTATAAAATGTCAATAACAAACGAATATTAAATGATTAATTACTGCAGCGCAATAGCCAAGATTCTATACTGTTCACTGTCATGGCCGCAAATTGCATAACTGGTGTTCTTGGTTTGGGGTTGGGATTCTCATATTAGGAAACAAGATGATGGGTAAAAAATAGGCGATGAAAGATTTTTTTCAACCCTGTCCATCTGACGGACTATGAAAACATAAAATGCAACATCAGTTGTGGTATATCGTGATATATATCGTTATCGTGATATAAAATAATCCATATCGTGATATAGTTTTTTTTCCATATCGCCCAGCCCTACTTACCCCTGGCAGCATCCTGTGAGCAGAGTTCTCGTCCAGCTTTGGTCAAGCCGAAAGTAGTCCGGCAGGTTTGCTAGACCCAGCGAAATAAAACGTTTCTCTTCCCAAAACATTATGTGTTCAAAAGAGTGATATTTTTGCATCCCAAAAACATTGTAGTGGAAAAAGTCACACGTCGTTATCACTTGGTCCTATTTTCTCTCTGTTCGTATCAGTGCGCACGACACCATGACCTGACAGCTAGGGCCTACTAACCTGACAACAGCCAGATGCATGTCTCGCTCCGCCTAGCTCCTAGCTAGGCGGAGCGAGACATGCATCTGGCTGTTGTTGAGCTCGCTGTCAGAATGACGGCGCGCACTGATAGGAACAGAGAGAAAATAGGACCAAGTGATAACGACGTGTGACTTTTTCCACTACAATGTTTTTGGGATGCAAAAAATATCACTCTTTTAAACACATAATGTTTTGGGAAGAGAAACGTTTTATTTCGCTGGGTCTAGCAAACCTGCCGGACTACTTTCGGCTTGACCAAAGCTGGACGAGAACTCTGCTCACAGGATGCTGCCAGGGGTAAGTCAGTGTGATTGCATGACACTGGTGATGGGGATGCCATACAGATTCATGTCAAAAATCCCGAACTATCCCTTTAAGTGTACTTAGCCTTAATTTGAGTAGGTAAATCAGACGATTTGCCAATTGAATGAGTATTTTTCCTTTAAAATAAGATATTTAGATAAAATGCTCTTGAAATTAGATGATGCAATTGTGTTTTCTTATTTTAAATGTAAATTGTCTTGTTCCATTGGCAAAATGTCTCTTTTACCTCGTCAATTCAAGAACATACGCAATTATTTTAAGAAAAAAATTACTTATCTAGATTTTGATTTTACAGTCATTGTTTTTTTTAATCAGTTGAAAGTGACATAGTATTAATGGTTGAATTTTAGCCCATTAAATATGAGCAAAGCTTCTTCCTGCTCTTTGTGCGATGGCTCACATGAAATCTTCCGAACCACAGAAAATAATTTATTGGCTTTAAGCTCTATAGAACACAATCCTGACTGATTCTGCTCCTTTTGGTCCATCTAGTCCCACTGTGAACACAACCCTGAAAAGCTTGGGAGCGTTGTACCGTCGTCAGGGGAAGCTGGAGGCAGCAGAGACGCTGGAGGAGTGCGCCAGCAAGTCCCGCAAACAGGTTCAACACTTTTTATAAAAAAGCCCTGATGCTGTGTGAGTTACTGCTGTTAGATTAGCTGTTGGGGCTCTGCACCAAAGTTACATCACCTGATTAGTTCGGAAGGCATTTCAGCTTAGATTTATAATCTCCTAAAATGAGCCAAGATTTATAATCAGGCAGCAGCTTTGTGTTTTAATCCCTCTGGTCCAAAGCAGTTTAACATTGTCTGCAGGGTGTGTGCTGTGCTCTTTATGTTTTATATTATCCGCTCCTTATCTTTTTTTAGGGGATCGATGCCATAAATCAGAGTAAGGTGGTGGAGCTGCTGAAGGACGGACCAGGGGGAGGGGCAAACAGGCGGCATAGCAGGGACGGACCAGGGGGACGAGGAGATGGCGAGGGCGACGACGCTGCCGAGTGGAACGGGGTAACATCCTGGCTGTTCATATGCTGATGATGGAGAGGTCTTCCTTTTTTTTTATTTTGTACCTTGTTGGTAATTTCCTCGCTCTGTTTTTAGGAAGGAAACGGGTCTCTGCGTCGCAGCGGGTCCTTTGGAAAGATCCGTGATGCTCTGAGGAGGAGCAGTGAGATGCTGGTGAAGAAGCTGCAGGGCAGCGGACCTCAGGAACCCCGAAACCCAGGGTAAAAAAACAAGAAACAATCAGGAACCCCGAAACCCAGGGTAAAAAAAACAAGAAAAAAAACAATTAGGAACCCCGAAACCCAGGGTAAAAAAAAACAAGAAAAAAAAACCATTTAGAACCCTGAAACCCAGGGTAAAAAAACAAACAAACAATCAGGAACCCCGAAACCCAGGGTAAAACAACAAGAAATAAAACCATTAAGAACCCCGAAACCCAAGGTAAAAAAACAAGAAAAAAACCCATTAAGAACCCCGAAACCCAGGGTAAAAAAACAAACAAACAATCAGGAACCCCGAAACCCAGGGTAAAAAAACAAGAAAAAAAACAATCACGAAACCCGAAACCCAGGGTAAAAAAACAAACAATCAGGAACCCCGAAACCCAGGGTAAAAAAACAAGGAAAAAAACAATCACGAACCCCGAAACCCAGGGTAAAAAAACAAGACAAAAAACAATTAGGAACCGCGAAACCCAGGGTAAAAAAACAAGAAATAAAACCATTAAGAACCCCGAAACCCAGGGTAAAAGAACAAGAAATAAAACCATTAAGAACCCCGAAACCCAGGGTAAAAAAACAAGAAAAAAAAACAATTAGGAACCCCGAAACCCAGGGTAAAAAAACAAGAAAAAAAACAATTAGGAACGCCGAAACCCAGGGTAAAAAAAGAAGGAAAAAAAATAATTAGGAACCCCGAAACCCAGGGTAAAAAAACAAGAAATAAAACCATTAAGAACCCCGAAACCCAGGGTAAAAGAACAAGAAATAAAACCATTAAGAACCCCGAAACCCAGGGTAAAAAAACAAGAAATAAAACCATTAAGAACCCCGAAACCCAGGGTAAAAGAACAAGAAATAAAACCATTAAGAACCCCGAAACCCAGGGTAAGAAAACAAGAAAAAAACCCATTAAGAACCCCGAAACCCAGGGTAAAAAAACAAGAAATAAAACCATTAGGAACCCCGAAACCCAGGGTAAAAAAACAAGAAATAAAACCATTAAGAACCCCGAAACCCAGGGTAAAAAAAAAAGAAATAAAACCATTAAGAACCCCGAAACCCAGGGTAAAAAAACAAGAAAAAAAAACAATTAGGAACCCCGAAACCCAGGGTAAAAAAACAAGAAAAAAAAACAATTAGGAACGCCGAAACCCAGGGTAAAAAAAGAAGGAAAAAAAATAATTAGGAACCCCGAAACCCAGGGTAAAAAAACAAGAAATAAAACCATTAAGAACCCCGAAACCCAGGGTAAAAAAACAAGAAATAAAACCATTAAGAACCCCGAAACGCAGGGTAAAAGAAAGAGAAATAAAACCATTAAGAACCCCGAAACCCAGGGTAAAAAAACAAGAAAAAAAAACAATTAGGAACCCCGAAACCCAGGGTAAAAAAACAAGAAAAAAAAAACAATTAGGAACGCCGAAACCCAGGGTAAAAAAAGAAGGAAAAAAAATTATTAGGAACCCCGAAACCCAGGGTAAAAAAACAAGAAATAAAACCATTAAGAACCCCGAAACCCAGGGTAAAAAAACAAGAAATAAAACCATTAAGAACCCCGAAACCCAGGGTAAAAAAACAAGAAATAAAACCATTAAGAACCCCGAAACGCAGGGTAAAAAAACAAGAAATAAAACCATTAAGAACCCCGAAACCCAGGTTAAAAAAACAAGAAAAAAACCCATTAAGAACCCCGAAACCCAGGGTAAAAAAACAAGAAAAAAAAAACAATTAGGAACCCCGAAACCCAGGGTAAAAAAACAAGAAATAAACCCATTAAGAACCCCGAAACCCAGGGTAAAAAAACAAGAAATAAAACCATTAAGAACCCCGAAACCCAGGGTAAAAAAACAAGAAAAATAAACAATTAGGAACCCCGAAACCCAGGGTAAAAAAACAAGAAAAAAAAACAATTAGGAACGCCGAAACCCAGGGTAAAAAAAGAAGGAAAAAAAATAATTAAGAACCCCGAAACCCAGCGTAAAAAAACAAGAAAAAAAGCAATTAGGAACGCCGAAACCCAGGGTAAAAAAACAAGAAATAAAACCATTAGGAACCCCGAAACCCAGGAAAACAAGAAATAAAACCATTAAGAACCCCGAAACCCAGGGTAAAAAAACAAGAAAAAAAAACAATTAGGAACCCCGAAACCCAGGGTAAAAAAACAAGAAAAAAAAACAATTAGGAACGCCGAAACCCAGGGTAAAAAAAGAAGGAAAAAAAATAATTAGGAACCCCGAAACCCAGGGTAAAAAAACAAGAAATAAAACCATTAAGAACCCCGAAACCCAGGGTAAAAAAACAAGAAATAAAACCATTAAGAACCCCGAAACGCAGGGTAAAAGAACAAGAAATAAAACCATTAAGAACCCCGAAACCCAGGGTAAAAAAACAAGAAAAAAAAACAATTAGGAACCCCGAAACCCAGGGTAAAAAAACAAGAAAAAAAAAACAATTAGGAACGCCGAAACCCAGGGTAAAAAAAGAAGGAAAAAAAATTATTAGGAACCCCGAAACCCAGGGTAAAAAAACAAGAAATAAAACCATTAAGAACCCCGAAACCCAGGGTAAAAAAACAAGAAATAAAACCATTAAGAACCCCGAAACCCAGGGTAAAAAAACAAGAAATAAAACCATTAAGAACCCCGAAACGCAGGGTAAAAAAACAAGAAATAAAACCATTAAGAACCCCGAAACCCAGGTTAAAAAAACAAGAAAAAAACCCATTAAGAACCCCGAAACCCAGGGTAAAAAAACAAGAAAAAAAAACAATTAGGAACCCCGAAACCCAGGGTAAAAAAACAAGAAATAAACCCATTAAGAACCCCGAAACCCAGGGTAAAAAAACAAGAAATAAAACCATTAAGAACCCCGAAACCCAGGGTAAAAAAACAAGAAAAAAAAACAATTAGGAACCCCGAAACCCAGGGTAAAAAAACAAGAAAAAAAAACAATTAGGAACGCCGAAACCCAGGGTAAAAAAAGAAGGAAAAAAAATAATTAAGAACCCCGAAACCCAGCGTAAAAAAACAAGAAAAAAAGCAATTAGGAACGCCGAAACCCAGGGTAAAAAAACAAGAAATAAAACCATTAGGAACCCCGAAACCCAGGAAAACAAGAAATAAAACCATTAAGAACCCCGAAACCCAGGGTAAAAAAACAAGAAAAAAAAACAATTAGGAACCCCGAAACCCAGGGTAAAAAAACAAGAAATAAAACCATTAAGAACCCCGAAACCCAGGGTAAAAAAACAAGAAAAAAACCCATTAAGAACCCCGAAATCATGGGTAAAAAAAACAAACAAAAACAATCAGGAACGCCAAAGCCCAGGGTAAAAAATAAACAAATAAATAATCAGGAATCCGTGAATTTTTACGTTTGATTTTAGAAAAATCACACACATGTAAAAGAAATGGTTAATACCATTGGATAATTAATATATCATTAATACCAAATCAGAGGTCTAAAATAAGTGGATCCTTTTATTGAATAATTTTTCTTGGTTGTGATCATTTACAACCTTATGCTGCCCCCTGGATTGTTGCTAGATCTGAGATTTCAGTCTCACAATAAATCCATTGAAAGACTCTCACTAGTACGTCTGTCTTGTAACAACCAGCGAGTTGGACCAATGACATGCCAGCAGTATTTTTGAGGCGGGACATGAAAGAATGACGATAGTCGATAGCACTTTATCGTGGCATTACAAACATAGCAATGCTGGAGGACTCGCCTGTCAATTGACTCGATTTTACCTAAAATAGCATGAATTTCTTGTTTAAAAAAGGAGCACAGAGAAGCACTTTATTTATTTGTAGATGGAAAGATGTCTGTGCTTTTCTTCCAAAGGATTTGGAAAAAGTTTGATTTATCAGCAAACGAAATGTTGCGATTCGCTGCTATGATTGGCTACGTTTACACCTTAAGCAGCAGGAGCAGCAAAAACGCATGTGCTGCCTCATTTTTGATGCTTGTACAAGTTCAGTTCTGACGCGCGGCTGAAGCAGCTTTGCTGCTGTAGCTGCATGGTGCTAAAGTGGGTCTAATGCGCATTGGGCGGAGCTACTCTATCCTATCTTTGCCTGTAACAATGGCAGCTATATATGCTGTGATCTGTGGGAATAAAGTAGTTTAAATATGTTTTTCAGTGAGAAAGTCCACCTGAAAACTTAATCTGTGCAATCAGTTCATCCAGATTACCATCCTGCCTTCAAATATTATTTCTCTGTCCGAGCCGCTCAGACCCCCACATAGCAGCGGTGCGCTGTCATTGGAAATCCCATTCAACAGCAGCCTATGGCCCGATCGCCTCTTCTCGGCTAGAAGGCGTTTTAATGTACGTAATCCAAACTGCAGGCACCAGGATAATAAAAGCGAACATGTTTTGCCAGCAGATTTTGGCATTTTAGGTTAATTTAGGCGTTAATAAACTGTTTCAGAGGAGTGATCATAGCGCTCTGCATCAGCAGTGATGGGTCTGTCTCGCTGCCAGCCCCCAGATCAGCTTCCCTGATTGGTTTATGTGGCACATTGAGCAGCAAAAGTTCAATTTTCCCAACTCCAGCAGCAGCAGCATTTGCAGAGCGTCAGATGCTTAAGCGTGCTGTTCCTGCTGCTCCAAACACACTGCGGGACATTTTGCTGCGCCAAGATGTGCGTCAACCATTTACTTTGCATGTAAACTAGCAGCTCCTGCTGCCTTTGCTGCTTTAGGTGTGAACGTAGCATTTCAGAATGAACAGCAGCGATCCCAGGTCGATAACATAGAACCCAACTCATATCAATCTAGCTAGTGCCCAGTTAGATCATTTATCATCATTTGTTGAAACATCAACCTGTTCCTCAGCATTAATAAAAGTGTCATTTTTTTTTTCCACTTTCAAAAATGTCGACCTACGAATTGATTGAACGAATGAACTAATTATGCTGGAAGACTTTTTTTATGCACAGAATGTTTTTATATCGTTCATGGGCAAATAGATAACATCACTTTTTATTATTTCATTTATCTCTTGAGATTTCTTTGAGCAGAATTTTCTGTCAGGCGACATAAATCTGAGCTCTACTGAGAGATGGAGCTTTATTATTCATGGATGTAAGAAAATGATTTTAGTTTCCGTTTGAAAGTCTCTCCCTTCAGAACCTCCTGCTGCAGCGTTTTGGGCCTGCAGACTGAACTTGTCTGAATGTACACTGCAAAAATGACCTACACATGAGCAAAAATGTCTGAAATTAAGTGTATTTATCCTTAATTTGATATGATTAATAAGATGGTCTGCAAATGGAATGAGTATTATTACACTAAAAATAAGATAATATGCACTTGAAATAAGACAATGCAATTGTTTTTTTCTTATTCTAAATGTTGTTGTTTCGTTCCATTTGCAAAATGTCTCACCTCCTCAATTCAAGAACAAATGTAGTTATTTTAAGAAAAATATGACTTATTGAGATTTCAGTGTTTTGCAGTGAAGGGAACAGGATCCTGCAAGTTTTCAAGAAGAGAAAAAAAACAAACTACATGTTTTTTAATGTAAGCTGGCCTGTTTGCTGGTTAATCAGGGCTGAGAGGAGTCATAAAGCAGCAGCTGCTTGACTCAGATAGACTCAGTACATTAGTCATGGATTCAAGCAAAGATGGTGAGCCATTGGTTTGGAGCCCTATCTAAGCCTCTCTATGGTGTGAGAGGATTATTTTTATGATACAAGGTCATTAGTTTAGTACAGTATGTTTGGAGCTGGGATTTGGAGTTGTTAGTTCTGGATGTGACTGGTGTTCAGCTCCTTCAAATAAAGAAGTTTCTCTTTTTCCACATAGTGACACTTTATTTTATTTATTTTTATTTTTTTTGCACAGAATGAAAAGAGCGAGCTCCCTGAACTTCCTGAACAAAAGCAATGAGGAAACCACACAGGTAAAGATGTTTTTTTGCCAGGGTTCCTACAGTCTGGGCAGGGCTACCGTATTTTCTGTACTATAAGGCGCACTAGATTAATGTTAAATTCTCTATTTCCATTTTTTACTGCGTAGACTTGAGTTTGAAGTCTGTGCAGTAAGCGCCGCCATTTGCCAGGTGCCATTGTAGCGTCCTAAAACGCACTGTTATAATCTGGTGAAGAACGAAGCTGCAGTGTTTTGGCTTTGTAGTTGACCAAAGTCAGACTAAAACATTTTGACAGAGAGGCGTGTACCACACCAAATAGCTTTGAGGTCAGTAAGCAGCCAGACTCAATCCCTGTCTAAATCGATCTGGATTATAAGGTGCACTGTCACTTTAAGAAGGCTTTTAAGTGCGCCTTATAGTCTGGAAATACGGTAAAATCAGATAAAGGACTTCTGAGGTATGGAGAAAAAAAATGAAAGCATGGGAATACATTTATATTTCTAGTTCTCTAGCAGATTGTCTTAATGTTGTGTCCTTCCTCATGTTTACTTCCTTGTATTTATATTCCTTTCACCCTCCCTTTATTTGATTCCTGCTAATCAAACACACAGTCTCATAAATTCTGTGAGGAAAGGTTGTTGAACTTTATAAATCAGGCAAGGGATACAAAAGATATCCAAGGAATTGATGATGCCTGTCAGCACTGTTTAAACTGGGATTAACAAGTGGAAAATCAGGCACAGTTAGGTCAGGAAAATAGTCCAGAATGCAAAGAAAACCCCAGAAATAGCCGCACCACTAGCTCTAAAAGCTAGTGGTGCGGCTATTTCAAGATGCACAATAAGGAGGCACCTGAAGAAAAACGGGCTGCACGGTAATTACTGCATAAATACAACAAACAGCATAGAGACCTAAAAGCACTAAAATCCTGGAACAAGTTGATTTGGAGAGAAGAAACCAGAATTAAACATTTTGGCCACAATCATAAATGCTACATTTGGAGAGGTGTCAACAAGGAACACCATTCATACTGTAAATCATGGAGGTCTTGGGAATATTTGAGCTACAAACGAAAACAATTGCTGGAGGCAAACTTGTGCTCATCAGCCCTTGAAGCTGCGCATTGGACATACTTGGATGTTCCAACAGGACCATCCAAACCATATGATTAAATTATTAAAGGTGTTTTTAGGAACCGGTAACATTTTGGTCCTGATCAGCTTCCTTTCATACAGGATTTATTAAAAACAGCCTGTGATATTAAAGGGGAATTTCTCTTCTTTTTTTTCTTTTTTTTACATTGGGTCCTTGATTTTACATTATTACATCATGTTCTACTCACCCATATGAGTTTTGTGTCATTTGGAGCCGTTCTGAAGATATTCCATTATCTTATATCCAAGTAACGTCTTCCTATGGGCAACGACTTGAAGGCACAAACTAAACTGTTCAGGATTTATTATCTATGGTACGCCAGCATTCATAACATGTAGGCGACTCACTGTCCCCCAGACATCCTCAGTTTTATTTTTTATATTTATATGTTTTAAAAACAAAGCAGTGCGTGTATGACGTCATCCTTGTGCCGGACTGGAGTTTTTTTTTTCTTTTTTCAAAAAAAAAACTTTTATTTAACCAATGTACATTACACCAGGTGGCTACGCTCTACCCCTTCTATTCATTCGGCTAGCTAATCTGAATCGTTCAATTCCATTTGGAGAGCGAGATCATCTGTGGTAGCAGCACTAGACATCATCCAGGCATGTGAGTAAAACTAGCAGCAGTTCAGTGGACAGGATGAATGAATGGTAGCCGGCGCACGGATGACGTCATACACACGCCGCTTTGTTTTTAAAAGATATAACCGCGGATGTCTGGGGGACAGTGATTTGCCTACACGTTATGAATGCTGGCGTACCATAAAGAATAAATTATGAACAGTTTAGTTTGTGCCTTCAAGTCGTTGCCCATAGGAAGACGTTACTTGGATATAACCTAACGGAATATCTTCAGAACAGATCCAAATGACACAAAACTCATATGGGTGAGTAGAACATGATGTAATAACGTAAAATCAAGGGCCCAATGTAAAAAAAAAATGCCGTTCCCCTATAAAGGATTGATGGTGAAAGCGAGGGGCTCAGTGGTAGAGGATCTGCAAGCAGTTTGTTGACCTTTAACCCCATGACGGGGCGTTTCTAAATAAACTACAGGAAGAGGAGTGAAAGTAAGATGCTTTAAAACATATTTCCTCTGAATCCTGGAGGTTTTACTGTTTTTCTTTAAGAGTAGATGGATGCAAACTGAGGTAATATGTCTAAACAGGGTGCTAAAAATAGGTTTTGATTGGCTGCTGTTACCCAGGATCCCTCCTCCCTCTTTTCTCCTCTCGTCTCGGTCAACATGCAGGATAACAGAAATCACTCTTTTCTCTTTTTAAATCCAGGATGCCAACTCCGGCCTCTCAGACAGCAGGGGGCTCAGCGCCAGCAACGTGGACCTAACCAGACGCAACTCCCTGATTGGTTAGACACGCAGCCAAGAGGTGGGACAGAGAGAAAGGGTCTGCTTACCTCGGTTTGAGCAGCAGCCTCATTTGATTTTATTCTATTTTAAGGAAAACTAAAAAGAATACAAAAAACTTGATGTCACTACCGCTGCTACCGCTGTACAATCCGCCGCCGTCGACCAGAATACTGAATAGTTTCGTCCACATTTAGGAGCATGCTGCTGAACCAGAGAGAGGAACGTCTGCACCTGAACGCCTCGTGTTTTAAACCCGTAGCAGTTCAGTCTCATCCTGTTCCCTCTGTCTCCACTCTCCTTTGAAGAACACTACACTTTTGGTTTTCAATATTTTCTTTTTTTTCCTTGCAGGTAAAGTCTGTGTAGCCAGTTTCAGGTCAGAGAGATGCATTGCACTTTGTATATTCCTCACGTAGCACGGCGTAACCGCTGACGACGGTACCGTCTCATCACAATCGACCTTCTAGGACTTTTAGGGAAACATGAGCTCTAACCATTTCAACCTCAAAACGTTGGCCTTTGTTTTTTATTTTTATGTATATAAACACTAAATTATTTGTCATTTGTGTGTGTGTAGCTTGATTTGACTTTTTTTGTTTACACTTTAGATGGGGGCTAAACTGGAGCTATATGATAGAAGGGACTAGGATTAGCTGGAGAATATGTGGGAAATTAAAGGAATTTAGTCAAATGTGATTTTTGGTTGATCTTGTTGTTTAACACTTAAAAAAAATGCTGATGAATCTAAAATCTTGATCACTGAAGTGAGTTCAAACTGGAAATATACACTTGAATGTTTGAAATATATAAGATGACAGGAGCTGTGAGTTAAATGCTGTTTTTCTTTTTCTTTTAAGTGTTTTTTTTTGTTAATTTGTGGTTTAATTCATGAGGACTATGGTTGATTTATTTAATTTAAAGAACAATGTATTACAACAACTGTTATTTTAATTCAAGCTCATCAGATCTGTATTTGGTCTTTAAACCTTCGTATAGGACTTGTTTAAAGCGGTGCATCAGCTGCAGTATCTGTACAGTCAATCTAATCATTTATAGAAACTGATACTTCGTCCTCCACTAGTGGAGATCTGTAAAAATCTTTCACTGCTGTCGCTTCATCAAACCCTGAAGAACTTTAGCAAACCTTGAATGTCAGTTAATTGAATCAGCTGGTAAATAATTACGTAATGCGTTCAGAAATGATTGTTTTGAACAAAAAACACTAGTGGCACAATTATTAGCCTCCCTGCTAATGCTGGTTTGAATTGTTTTGTGTTTTTTTTTTTTTGTCATAATTTCATTCCTTTTTAATTTTTCTGTCAGATTCCATCCGATTTTGAGCGAAAATATCACACCATTTGGAAAAGTTTGAAATAAAACTAGCCCACAGCATCACAGATATTCTACCATACATACCAGTGATTATTGTGAGAGAAGCTTTTCTGCATTGCTGTTGTTTTCATCTAAGTAAAGTGCGTAGTTTGCATTTTTTCATACCTAGGACAGAAATTATTTATTTTTTTTCCCATGTTTTCTTTTTCAAACATCCAGCAGGCGTATAGCTGGTGTCTCCAGATGCCGTTCTTTGCTGCTATTATTGAAGTTAAGTTATTGATAATCAATCAATTGTTCCTAATAACTCAGGTCAACCTAAAACTGTAAAAAATATATCATTATATATATATAATTGATATAAAAATCTTGTTGCATACATTTAGAAGGGAGTTGTATATTCTGCTGATAATTGTGCCTCTATTTATTTTTGTTAGACACTGCTGCAATATTTTTTTTTTTTTTTTTGTGGAATTTTAAACAGGGTTTGAAACAAATATTTCCACATCTGTATCTTTATTTTTCTGTATAATTTTACAGTAAACAACCCAAAGTGGCATCGTTCTCTCCTCTAAGAGAAAATAATCCCTCCTCTGTCAATTTACTTCATATATTTTGTCTTCATGTTACGGCTGTAAGCTTTTATTTTGAAGGTACACTCTACTGCTTATCTGAATGTTGTTTTGATGCCTTCCACTTTGATTGTTCAACTACACTAGATCAGAAAAACAAAAGAAACATCCACCAAAGAAGAATGTACATGTGGTGGGATATCATTTGTATTTCTGACATATCCTATCAGCTTCTGAATGTTTGGGCGGCTTTAGTTTGGTAGAAGAAAACAGAGGAATTCAGGAAGTGAATAAAAGTGATTTTTGGGACTAAAAAGCAAAGCAGCCAATAATAGACATAGCAGGTCTTGTTTATCACACCAGGCATTAGTCACATGCTCCTCTGCAGAGGCCTCATATATATCAACCAGTGTAGAATATTTGGTGTGATGATAGAAAACCGAAGCTGCAGCAGGTTTTAAATATTGATCTTTATCTGCTGCTGAGGGGTTTCGATGCAAAGCATCAAAGATGCTTTTCTCGTCGCCTTGGATGGAATTGTAGCTTTTAAGATGCTCCTGTAAATCTGTTTTATGGAAATGTTCAATAAAGACATGTTTCACTTTTAGATTATGATCCTCCGCCTCCTTTTTTTTTTTTTTTTTTTTATGTTTGAAACCAGTTCAAAGCATGTGTTTGTGTTCTAGTTTTGCAGCTTGGGCTGGAGGTGTTAACCCAGTGGTGCACTGATGCATCCTTCACAGGGGGAGGGGGGGTTCTCAGCTACTTCCTGTCTCATTGACAGACGAGCCCCACACAGAGGAAACCAGACCCACTGGCTCTTCATAGAATCAGCGCCACGATGACGGACTGACTGATCCGCTGCCTCGTCCAGATGTCGAACTCTGGAGCATGAATGAAGCAGGTCCAGAAAGTAAGAGCGTTTACCCAGAGAGGCTTTGAATGTGTTTTTATTTTCATTAAATGGATACTGAAGAGAGAGCAGTAATTAACCTCAATGTTTCATCCTTTCACCATACAGTGTAATTTATCGTACTAGCAGAAGTAGATAAAGGGAAGAGAGATGCTTGAAACGTCACTTGCTATTTAGGACCTATGCTGTGATGCCAAATTTAGATATTCTGAAACTTGATTCAAACGGGAGCTGCAGATTCATGGTTTTAGCTTTACTCTATCCGATGAACAGTTCTCAATGAATTGGAGCACTGTTTAAAAGCTTCACTAACTCAATTTAAAATCTAAAAAACATGATACAAATTACACATAAAGTGATGCAGAGCATCCAAAAAGTATCCCAGCACTGCTCATTTTATTCCAAAGTTTATTGAATCGGTCGCTTTACAGACAATCTATTGTTATAACAGTGCAGAAATTAATAACAGACAGAAAACTAAGAACACACTTTTACGTCAGTATTCAAAATCTTTGCTTAATGCTTTATAGATCCACAGCGATTACAGCCTAAGTTTATCACCTTTAGGCCGTTTCCTTCATTCTGAGCATATCAAGCTCCATCAGGCTGAATGGGAGACATCTGTGACCAGCTGAAAGGTCTGAGTGGTTCTAAGGTCTCTCCTCTTGAGTAGATTATCATCCAGGATTTCTCTCTGGGGACAATCGGATAATTTCATGATACTGCCACCACCATGCTTCGCTGTAGGGACACCAAATCCCCTGGTTTCCTTCAAAGATAAAACCTGGTATTCGTATTAAAGGGTTCAATCTTTGTCTCATTAGGTCAGAGAAGTTTGTTCCTATTATGAGAGTTCAACAGGTTCCTCACAGTCTGCCATACCTGACTGGTGAATTGCTTTCCTTCTGGAACGATCTTCTCTCTCCATAGAGGAACTCTGGGATTTCACTTTGGAGCTTCATGGCAAAGGCTATCAATATTTCATAAATTTTCATTATTTTTTCTATGCTTAATAACTTTTGCAAGATTATGAATAGAAAAAAACCCCATTATCATAAAGAGGAGCTCTGCATGCAATATTTGACAAGAGATTATTGAATACCATTGGGAATAAGGCTGTAACATAACTAAATGTGGAAAAACTGCTATGGACGGAACCCTTTCCAGATGTTTTGCATCTATTATGTTCATTTCTAAAAGTTTTCATAATGCTGGACAGCTAATGAAAACACAAACTCTTATGTCCACGATAGGGTCCAGAAAAAGGTTAAGCCACTGAAGATCATTGCTGAACAAGCCGGCCGCTCACAGATTGTTTTCTTCCAGGATATCAATGGAAAATTGAGTAGAAGGAAAAAATGTCAATTACTAGACAACAAAAAAGTTTTGCATCAATATATAGTCCAATATATATAGCACAGTTAAGACTTTGTGTTTTAGGAGCAGCTTATTAAAGTGATTTAGATAGATTGCTGGATATTCTTATGTGTGTTGGCCTTTGGAACCCTAACTACAGCACCTTGTGAATCTCCTCCACACTTCTTCATAATCTGCAGTCATTCCTGTTGCTTTGGCCTTTCTCTACTTTTCAATTCAGTTTATTTATAAAGCGCTAATTCACAACTAATTTCATCTCAAAGTATTTTACAGAGGCGATTAAAACAGATCATACAGGCAGATTGGTTCAAAGTTTTCTATCTGATGAAAACCAGCTGATTGCATCCACTCCCTCACACCAAGCATATATGTAGCGACTGTGGAGAGAAAAACTACCTTTTAACAGGAAGAAACCTCCAACCAGACTCGGTGTGGGCAGCCATCTACCGAGGCCAACTGGGGTTCAAGGAGACTGAAGCAGAGATACAGAAAGAAGCACTAAACTACTAAACTTTCCTGCTGTGAATGGATAGAGCACCATGTTCTCATTATTGAGAAAACTTGTTCGACAGTAACTTTTTGTGGCTTGCACCCTTCAGAGACCCTCAACGCAGTGGTTTTGTGACATATAGGTGTTACATCTGTCTTTCTTACACCGATGTGCAATAAGTTGGGATTAAGATCTCTTAAAGATCTCCTATCACTCTGTTTTGGTTAAATTTAAAGAATTTTCTATTTAGAAACAGCATCAAATAAATATTTAAACTTGTAATTATGTTATTAATTGAAGGCTAATTAAATTTTTCAAATGTAATCATTTTTATGATACTTTTATTTTTAGAATCAACTAATTCCTCCATGTTTTCCAACAGAACGTGCGTCCATGTCTGCAGAGACAGCCCCCCGCATCACCTCGTCGGCTGTGGTCCAGTTCCAACTGGGGCTGTTCAGGGACATGGTTCGAGTCCCGCCCGGAAACCTGAGCTACCGCCACGCTCGCAGACTGGCGGCCGAAGTCATAGAGAGGAAGGTGAGGAGAAGCAAACAGCAGCAGGGCCTCGATTCTGCAGCTCAGTCTTTGGATGGTGCACAATTTGGGATTTTGGTCAAGGTTTATACAATTTAATGTGGAAAAAAAAAGCTTAATTATATATCTTATGTAACAAATGTATAAATGAATCTGCTGTAAACATTAACACAGACCCACTTGAAGAACAAAAAATGTTTGTTTTTTTTAGCACGCAGACAGGAAGTGGACTCTTAAAGACCAGCTCATGTCGGTTAATGCAAAGTACGCCATCCCTTTTGACAGCTTCTGCTGCTCTGCAGCCTAATCTGCGGCTGATTTAATGTTTGTCCCGGATTTATGTCTCTTCTCGATTAAAACGCAAACAGCTTCAGTCCTTTTGAAGCATTTCTGTGATCTTCAGAAGTAGTACAGCGCATCAGCTGTGGCTTAGACCGAGCTGCTGCAGGTGTTGTATTGGCTCTGGCCTTCATGCAGCCTCAGTATCTGTGTGGTCTCTGAGAGTGCAGAAAACTTTCCAACCACAGCCTTTCCCCTCTGTCAAACACTCTCTAACACACACACACATAGGGTAGGTTGTGTGCCTCCTCTCAAACACAGAAATAAACCTGAGTTTCCGGGCATTGGGTCAGCAGGCTATGCAAGAAAGAAGGTAAATGTCATGCTTTGCAGACGAGTTACTAAAGGTGCTACTCTTCTGGTTTTGCATCGACCTTCCTGGAAATCAGCATTTTACAAATACTAGTTAATCCAATTGTCTAATTTGATCAGTTTGATAAAGCTGGTGTTTTTGTTTCATTAAATATTTAGAAAAGCTATAAATAAGGCATATATATATATATATATAAATTATAAGGCCATGAAACTAATAACTTTAATTACTTATTTCTGTTTAATAAAAAAGGACAGGAGCCTTTAGTCTTCCTAGCTTAGTTCCTTTAGCACAGGAAGCTTGCAGGGTCACTCACAGATACTTAGATGCTGTCCCACAATCCTTTGCATGACAGATGCATAGACAGCAGAGTTTACCATTAAAACAGTTTCTTTACCTGTACTCTGAATGACACATGCTAACGTAATCATATTCATATATTTTGGGTTTTATGAGGTAAAACTTCATCTGTTGGCTACATTTTTGCAAATTGTGTTTGTTTTTTGTAGCATCTGTAACATCTTCCATGTGTGGTTTGGTTGCATAGCGATGTCTACAGCGGTGTGGACTTCCTTTTTCTACCTATGATGGTGTTTTTACGTTTGACCTCAGGAAAGGTGAAGCAACAAAAGGCTACGATTAGATTAGTTTGGATACAGACTGAGTCCTTTACTCAGACAGTGAGGCGACAGTGGCAACGGCTGCAGGAGTTTGCCTTGCAATTGGCTGGTTGTCGGTTCGAGCCCCAGTGTTATTTAGTCTTTGGGTGAGAAAATTCACCTGCATTGGCTACTGATGGTGGTCAGAGGGATTGGCGGCACCAGTGTACAGCAGCCTCGCATCTGTCAGTGATCCACAGGGCCGCTGTGGCTGCAATTTATTTTACCACCATCAGTGTGTGCATGAATGACTAAATTACTGAATATACCGTAGTTTAAATCACTTTGGTTGATTCTCTTGACTCTCAAAAGCGCTATATAAGCCCATTTACCATTTACTTCATGAGGGAGTAATTTTTATCACTTTGTTTTCTGGAGAACTGTTATGTTACTGTTATGCGGAGATTTAAGTTGTTTATGTTGGTCTCACTGCCTCTCAATCTGAATAAAGTCCATCCTTGGACTAGGCCATGCTAAAACCTTTATTGAGTCACTCGTAGGGTAACATATCACTAAACTTTAGATAGCTTTTTTTGGTTTGTTCTGTTTTTTTTGTTTCATTTTCACTTTAAATTTTTGACGCTATTCAGATGATTATCACTTTTATGCAGCTCCAGGCTGTCTAATAGGTTCTGTTAAAGGTATTTATTTAGAAATTTGACCTACTTCCTGCTGTCATACAGGTTCTTTTTAAGTTTCTCTATGTTTTACAGAGGACAGGTTATTTTGGATCACTCTCTTTCTTTAATAAATGGCATCATTGGTTAAAAAAAGCTACTTTTGGTTTGATCAGGTTACCTTTGTGACTAAAAAATGCAACATTCAGGAGAATTCTATTATGAGAGCTATGACTACTTTATTTATGGCACCAAAAAGACCTCCATCGTTTTTCTTTACAATAAGGTTTTCATTATTTTAGAAACTTTATCTACTTTTGCACTATTTCAACTTACTCTGTGACTTTCTGTTGTCATAATATTTGAGGGGGGGTTTCACAAAGCTGGGGCCCAGGATCCCTGGGGGGTCTTAAGACACAAAGATGGGTTCTCAGGGGGTCACAAGACGGGTTTCACAATCAATACTATAGGATCTCTGAGGTAGACAGGAGGCCGGAATATATGAGAAGACAGATAAATGTAAATGCTCTATACAATAAGTACACATTTATTTGTTTATTTATTTATCTAATAAATAATTTAAATCTTAAATATTCCATTAATTTCTAAAAATTAACCAATTCATAATAAAAAAAACATTTAAAATGATAAATTATATAATTAAATGTCATTTTCAAAGAATTAATTTATTTGAAAATTTTAATAATTATTGCACTTTATATTTGCGAATAAATTTAAAGTGAAATTAATAAACTATATATTTATCTGTGTTTTTCAGGGGGTTGTTGTTGTTGTTGTCACACGCTGAAAGGTTTGGGAGCTTCTAATTTAGGGGAAGATTTATAGAGAATAAACTTGGCATTAGCGATCAATGCCTGTTAACACCATTAAAATCAATACTCAATACAAAAATATAAATCAATGTGGCCTTTTTTTTCTTTTTTAGACAGCATCAAGATACTTCAAGTTGTTTTGGCCACTTTTAAAAGAAATGATTGATTTACTTTGATCAGGTCTGCAATAGTTCCTGTAAAATCTTCCATTCATAATGTGGCTTCTTCTAAACTCCGGGAGAAACACCAACATTCTGCATGAAAGCAGCATGTCTATATATATATATATATATATATATATATATATATAGTCTTCTGTTTGCTGGATGCATCAGTAGGATTCTTCCGTGTCTGCAGGCTCCAGACTGCAGCGTGGTGGGCCCCGGTGAGAAGATCCTGCTGTTCAGACATCGACCCGCCTCTGAGCAGCTGCTGCAGCGGCTTACAGACGAGGACGAGCTGCAGGACGGAGACCTCATCGAGATCATTGTTGCAGGTTAGACATCAGATCTTTCAGATTACATCAGATGGGTGCAGAGATAGCTCTTGGGTTTACGATAACATCAAGATGGAAGATTACATCGTGAGTGTGTCTTATGACTAGTATAAGATGGCATAGAGATACATACAGATTGAACAACGTAGGTAAATAAAGACAAAACTTCTATGTTTAAATATAATTTTAACTCTGAGTCCTTTTTATCAGGATTTTTATTTACAATCTACAGCTTCCAAACTGTTTCTCAATCCATCAGATTGGGAGGTATTATTCCAGCTTTATTAAGGTGACCTCACAGAATCTCTGACAGATTGAGCTCTGTAATCTGGGTATTACGTTCTCATTAAAACATCCAGGTGGAGCAGTGATTAGCCCGCATGATCCATGTACAGAGGCCTTAGTCCTTGACGAGGTCGACCCGGGTTCGAATTTGGTCTGTGGTCCTTTGCATGTCTCTCTCTCTGTCATACCCCCTTTCCTGTCAGCCTACTTTCGGAAAAAGGAGTCACTAGTGCCGTAATAAACTAAAAAAAACAACCCATCGTTTCAGAACTACTCCTTCGTCTATTAGAACTTTTGCCTTGAGCTCAATGTGAAGCTAAAAAAGAAACCACTTTCATCTGCAGTCTTCTAGTACATTGATTTCCAAAGTTGGGGTTGTTGTGACTCCGATCTGGGTCACAGATTAACAAGCATGAAGTCTAGAAATTCACTGTAGAAATTAAGCTAAACTATAAAAATATAGTGATTATGCATATTTATGTGTTTAAAGATAATGAAACGTCACATAACTAAATACGTATGTTTTATCACCTTTATAGCATTAGCTCATAGTTAGTTTGTTTGTATTCCAACTAAAACATCATGAGTGCATTCTGGTTGACCTGAAACCTGAGGGTTTTTGTTCACTTCATTACTCAATATCTCATCCAGCTTTTCCCCCACCAGAAGAAGAATCCCGCATCATCATGCTGCCACTTCCATGCCTCATTATAAAAACCAGGGCTCAAGAATTAAGGATGATTTTATCAGATCAATATTCCTTTGTGAGGATTTTGGAAATATTTGATCTTTTCTTTGTCTGAAGGACTTAAACGAGACATATGAAGATTGGAAAACACAATAAAATAATTCTAGAATGTAAACTAGTGGAAACTTTTGCAGCTTCTTCAGAGGTTCCATCAACCTATTGGGAGCTTATCTGAATACGTACCTTCTTTTAATGCTACTGGTTCTGGAGGCATAATTTCAGTTTTTCCTCTTATCTGGTTTCTTAATATCATTATCTGCTCTATTTCCTTATGGAGATGATTTATTCTTCATGCTGTCAAATTAGATCTATTCAGGGTTTTTTCTTGATACCTCAGGTCAGACCTTGGTAAATATTTACCTTTAAAACAGGTATTTCTGTTTAATACTGTTTTTTAAAATAGTTTATTATCTGAAAAATCATTATTGTTTGAGGGAGTAAATCTGTTTTATGGTTTGCAAAATGTTAAGCACTTTTAACCATTTTTATCAACATCTTTTTAGATACTTTACAGGCAGCAAGATTCAGTTTTATGTCATAGGGGTTAGCATAATGTCTGATGCTACTCTGATGGTAACTTTTAATTAAAAGTCTATAATTAATGAAGGAAAATAAGGAATTTTGAGGAAATTTCTCCTGGGTCGCATACAGTATGAATAATGACAGGTTTGTAATCAGTGAGTGAGTTTCCTTATCCAATCAAATGATTATTGAACAATTATTTATTCCTTATATTTGGATTTATTTCCCTTAAACAGTTCTGATTTTGAGGAAAAGAAGTTAAATCTGTCATTTTAAAGGCAAGTGTAACCATTTAAAAGCCACTGTCGATAGAACTATGGAAAAAATGTTCTGGTTTAAATGGATAAATATGCATTGCCGTTACTTAAGGTACCTTTCTGCATTTTAATATTCACAGTTAAACAGTTAATGTGTGAGCTCCAGGCTCCTGTATTTACACTAACCACCTTTCCAAAGCCTCTAAATACCACCATGAGGCGCAGTTAAGCCTCTAAGTCAAAACAAACATCCATAAAGATAACAAGGACACCAACACTCTGCCACACTAAAGAGCTGTGCTTTGAGCTTAATCACTGGTGGGGGGAAAAAAAAGCATTTTAATGCACTTACTGTAAATACTTTGCTAATGCTGACTTGTTTTCTAAAGCGTTATGCTGGAAGGGGCTGGGAATTTAAGACTTGACGTTCATTTTGAGGTAATTTTAGGATGAAGGTCATTTTAGGAAGAAATGTCTTTTATCTGCAAGTCTTCTGTTTTGTATTGAAACCAGGATCGGCTTCTGTGGCTGAGATGAGGATGCGTCCTCACTGCCTGGTGGTCCAGTCGTACCGGACCCCCACCTTCTGTCACCACTGTGGGGAGATGCTGTGGGGCCTCGTGCGACAGGGATTGAAATGTGAAGGTAAAGCCACCGCCGCTCGTTCTGCAGAGCTCAGTTTAAACAACTACTGCACTTTGTTGAAGTGTTCAACCCTCTTGAACTTTTCCTCATGTCGTCACATTGAAAGAGATGGTTACATGTCTAACTCCTCACGGCCAGTAAATGGCGCACCTGCTTGCTCCGTTCCAACCTTTTTTGCAAATCTTCGCCAGCTGGTTGCTACGTCTACCAATGCTAACATTTAATGTACCTGTACATAAGCAAGCTTGCAACCTCTGATTGACTTTTGAGTGTTTTTGCTTCCTCTTCTTTCACTTTTTTTTTCTGAAAAATGTCAGAATGAGAAGTGCAATGAGGGTCTAGGATCTGGTAATGCTAGAGCTCCTTACTATTCCTATTGCTGCAAAAACCTTTAATTTTAACGTTGTGATAAAAAGTTAATATTTAAAGGAATAGTACACCCAAAACATGATTAGCCTTCATTTTCTACTCACCCCCATGCTGAACAACACTCTGGAGTACTTTTTTGATATCTCAAATGCATCTGGAGATCTGGGAGGCTTCTTGCTGTCTACTGACATTCAAATAATGGAGGTCTATGGTGCCCGAGACAGAAAGGTCTATAACAGTCCACAAAAAACGTGTCAATATTCCTCCATACTGCTCGTCCAATGTATTCCAAGTGTCCTGAGTGGGTAGCATCCAGAATTTACTCGAAACGAAGTCATTTAGAATGTTTTTAGAGCATAAACAGTAGTGTATAGGATTTCCTGAAAGCGCGCCGGCGCGTTCATGACGCTACGGTTTTTTTACGGAACTTTCAGGATGCGCTTTCAGGAAATCCTATACACTACTGTTTATGCTCTAAAAACATTCTAAATGACTTCGTTTCGAGTAAATTCTGGATGCTACCCACTCAGGACATTTGGAATACATTGGACGAGCAGTATGGAGGAATATTGACACGTTTTTTGTGGACTGTTATAGACCTTTCTGTCTCGGGCACCATAGACCTCCATTATTTGAATGTCAGCAGACAGCAAGAAGCCTCCCAGATCTCCAGATGCATTTGAGATATCAAAAAAGTACTCCAGAGTGTTGTTCAGCATGGGGGTGAGTAGAAAATGAAGGCTAATCATGTTTTGGGTGTACTATTCCTTTAAAGATTTTGGACCCGTTAAAATTTATAAAACAAATTTTAAATACTTTTTCTCTTCAGTAAAATTGCTGGTTAAGATTCTCAGTCGTCCAGTTCAATGTCATTCCAAAAAAGTAAAAAGAACAATCCACTGGACTTTGTTTCAAAGTTTGAAGACGTTTTGCTTCCCATCCAGGAAGCTTTTTCATTTCAAAATGTCAGAATTAGCGTTGAGTACCAACCTTTATAGAGTGGACCAATAGCATAGCCTTGTTTTGGCTTAGAAAACATGCAAATTGAACCGAACAAACAGGTCCGTCCTTTAGGAATGGGGAGTCGTTGAGATCTTTTTTTAGCCTGCTATACACGATACTGGTCTATGCCTCTGAAAGGGGAGTCGTTAGGGGCATTGTTGGCCTGGCTGACCAGGTGGGATGTTTTGTCCCCTTCATGGTGATGGGGGTTGAGATGATAGTAGGAAGGAATCTACTCTATTGCTGCATTGTAGGTTTTTGAGAGCTGAAATCTGAGTCCGCCCCCTTTAAGGTTGGTTTTTCTCTCTTAGCATAAATGGCTTCCTTCCTTCACTTTCAGTAAAATTGAAACTGTTTTCATCACCACTCCGGAAGTTATGAAGACATTATATTAATTATTTGATGAAAATAGTTGCAGCTTTGACCTTTAAAGCCACAAAATTGGTTGTTTGTGATACAGGAAGATGATGGAGATCCTGTATTCCAGCCTCAATTCTTTAGTTTCCGAATCATTGATGTTTGACTGTTTCCATTATTTGGCTCCATTCACTTACCAATCCTCTATGAACAGCATTATGCTGCCACCACCATGTTTCTTGTTGCAGAACAATCAAATCAGGGGGATGGTTTTATTCCACATATAGGGCCTGATCTTTATAGGGTCAAAATAATCATTTGCATAAAATTGAGTTTGCAGCCGGTTATCTGAAAAAGAGTGCATGTGCGTTCTGCTGTATTTAAATGAGTGAGTGTTGGAAGGGCCTTAAAGAAAATATGACTTTTTAAGCACTGAGATGAAGTAAATAATGATAATAATTAAAATAAGAATAACAATAAAAATAATGATGAATATTAGTTAGGGCTGGACTAAATATCAAGTGTTTATGCAGAATAGTTTATACAGCGATTTGACTTCTAAACTCTCTGTAGTGAGACTGTTTTTAAGCTGCTATTATTATTTTTTCTTATTCATTTTTTTTACTATTTTGTTTTTTTATTATTATTATTTTTGATCACCAAAGACCCTGTTTTTTTTTTGGGGTCTGTTTTTCTTCCGAGCTGCTCAAACGAATTGCCCCTGGTGGGAATAAAAAATTGGTCTAAGTTTATTTCTAAAGTTACTGAGATTTTTTTCAAAAGATAAGAAAAGACTATATGGTTCATATGGAGATGGTCTGCTTAGCATTATAATTATACTTTTATGTATGCAATAAGGTTATTTTGAGCTTTATCTACCGCTGTCTGTCAAAGAAACAAGTCCCTGTATGACATTTAGTATAAAACTTTTATTTAAAAGTTTAAAAACATATTGTACTAATTTCATCACTGGATTTTTGAAATACCAAAATATCATTTTCAATTGATGTTGCATAGCCTTAACATTAGTTGTAGTAAATTTTACATGAGTGTTTCAAAGTGCTGCAAAGAAAAATTTAAATGATTAAAAAAAAAAGATGAGAATAAAAGTTAGATTTAAAAAAGAGAAAAAACCATCCATCCATCCATCCATCCATCCATCCATCTCCCCAGCCACTTGGGCCAGCTCTTCCAGGGGAATCCCAAGACGCTCCCAGGCCAGCTGAAAAACATAGTCCCTCCAGCGCATCCTAGGTCTCCCCCTGGGCCTCCTCCCGGTGGGACGTGCCTGGAACATCTCATCAGGAAGCAAACAAAAGGCATCCTAACCAGATGCTTGAGCAGCCTCAACTGGCTCCTTTCGATCTGGAGGATCAGCAGCTCTACTCTGACTCCTCCCCAAATGACTGAGCTCCTCACCTTATCTCTAAGGGAGAGCCCAGACACACTACAGAGAAAACTCATGTCGCCTGCTTGTACCTGGGATCTCGTTCTTTCAGTCAGGACCCAGAGCTCATGACCATAGATGAGGGTAGGAAAGTAGATCGACCGTTAATTCAAGAGCTTTGCCTTTTGGCTCTCTCTTCACCATAAAGGACCGGTATATCGCCCGCTTCACAGCAAAAGTCACACCAATCTGCCTGTCCATCTCCCGCTTCATCTTCCCATTACTCATGAACAATTTAATAACATTTTGGAACAATAAAAATAACAATCTAATGATAAGAACCTGGTAGTGCTGAATTGGTCTGCTCCTTCCCAACCCCCTTGCTCTCCTTTTGGAGAGAGCGCCAGCTTTAGAATCCAGCAGTGGGAGATGTGGAGCATCTATTTGTTCTAGTGAATTCACAGTGAATTAAACTGTGCTGATTATATATTATTGCAAAGCAAAGTAGGCCTGTTATATTTCATTCAGCATAACTGTGGAGCAGTAAAGAAACACGAGGGAGGAAAAAAAGATCCCTCTTACCAGAAGTTAGAGATGTGCACACCCCCACAACCATCAAAGGCTCTCTGATAGATCTTCACTGGCGGTTTTTTTTTTTTTTTTATCTTTTGGTTTGTTAATAAATACGCCACAATATAGAAATTTAGTCAATATATATTTTTTTGTTGTTCATTAAGTTGTTCCATAAAGTTTCTTTTTCTTCTGCTGGATCAATCTGTCCCATGTTGATGTTTCTTTCCCCCCCAATTTTATACTAACATTATTATTTCTACATATGTTCCCAGACTCTCTCTCCATTGTTTCTCATTGTCCCAAAGCCTCCATTCTGGCAGCAATAACTGCAGAAACTCCCGCTTGAGTTTACGCCTCATCCTCAAACTTGTTAAATATAGACACAAAAACTGCTCCCCCAGTTTCAGGATAGATAACTTGCTAAATTTGGATTATAAGCATATAATCTACTTGTTCATAAAAGCACGTCTGCAAAAAAGTTTCCTCAGCTGTTCTGCTCACTTTACACATAAATTGATTTGCACATTCTTTGCAGATCATCTTTCCAGTTTGCATGTGTTTTTTTTGTTTGTTTGCATGCAAACCTTTCGAAGATCAAACCTGTTGCGTTTTGGACTCTTTTGACCACAGCAGCTTCCTATAGCTGCATCTATATTGAGATCGAGCAGCACAATAGTGGATTGTTCTAAAATAGATTGTCGATCTAAATTTAAATGTTGAAAACTGTTTTTTTTTCTTTCCGCTTTACCGTTTTAGACCTTATTTTTTCCTGGTATATCACCAGAATTTCCCCATTGTAGGACAAATAAAGGGATTTGCTATTCTATTCTATTCTATTCTATTCTATTCTATTCTATTCTATTCTATTCTATTCTATTCTATTCTATTCTATTCTATTCTATTCTATTCTATTTCAAACCCCAAATGAAATATCTCATAGATTGTGTCGTGACGTGACAAAAAATGTAGAAAATGATAAGTTTTGAAGGTTGGAGGGTAATAAATAAATGGCAGGTTTTCCGTCTGCTCTCCATCTCCCCAGGCTGTGGTTTAGACTTTCACAAACGTTGTGCCTTCCTGTTACCCAATGACTGCAGTCGAGTTCGACGGCAAGTCAGCACCAGCTTATCCTTGTTTCCGCCACGTAGACCACGTACGCATTCGCTGTCCAGTCAGGCTGGAGGCAGTCTGGAGGAGGTAAGATGACTACCTGCCTTTTTCTCCCATGCAGGTCTTGCTCATTTAAACCTTTAAAAAAAAACAACTTTCCACTAGATCAGCTTGTCGAAGCCCTCATCCAGGCCTCCGTCGTGGAACGAGCCACCTGTCTGGCTTGGGGACAAGAGCCGCCCTCAGGTCCCCCACACCTTCCACATCCACAGCTACACCAAACCCACAGTCTGCCAGTACTGCCACCGGCTGCTCAAAGGGCTCTTCAGACAGGGGCTGCAGTGCTCAGGTAGGAACAAGACTTATCACCTCAAAACCGCTAAAAAAATTGGTTTAGCAATGTAAATGTTATGGAAAGTACAAAATATAAAAATAAAGAATAATGACCTGATTTTTTTTTATAAATGTGACAGTTTTTACCCTGCAAAAATTATCTAGCAATAAGAAAAATGTCTTAAATTAGGTGTATTTAGCCTTTATTTGAGTAGGTAAATAAGATTTCTTGCAAATGTAATGAGTATTTTTACTCACAGAATAAGATGATTAGATAATATGCACTTGAAATATGACATTGCAATCAATGCATTTTTTTTTTATTTTAAATGTAAATTGTCTTGTTCCATTGGCAACATGTCTCACTTTCCTTCAAGAAAAATTCAAGAAAAAATGCACTTATAAAAAAAAAAGACTAATTGAGATTTCAGATTGCAGAGTGTTTAAATACTAAGATTTATCATAAGAGGAAGGTATTTAGAAGAAATATTTACTGGGTTGTAAATAAATAACATTTGCAGACGGTATTTTATACAAACTCATCCTGTGCATGAAATTTAAACTAATATGGGACTTTTTACAAATGATTAAAACTGTTTATTTTCAGGGTGGGAGAATTCTATAAAAAATAACCTCAGTGATAAAAAAAAAAAAAAAAAAAATAATAATTTTAGTGCACAAGTTAATTTATATGTTTGTTGAAATTCTCTAAATATAAACGGTCAAAAGTTTACATTAAGCTGTGAGAGACTGTCTCTGATCAAAGATTTAATTAAAAAATCAAAGGAAAAAGTCACAGAAAATCGAATTTCCATAGCGGTCAGTAAGGTGCTGCCATATTATTGACTGGATATTAGAGCACTCTCTATTTAATGGAGATAAATGGCTACAATCATAGATTTTGGATGAGATTTTAGACCTAATCCGTTATCGGTTGTCAGGCATATTGGTGGCAGCATCATGCTGGGGGTTGTTTTGCTGCCAGTGATGTTGACGCGTCAAACTAATCAGACGGAGAAAAGAAGAAGGACTACTTTCAACTTGTTGTCCTTAAATCAAGAGGCTTATGGTTGCCACTGGCACACAGCTGGGCGTTCAAAAAGGACGCCTGGATTTTTATGGGACGAAGCAATCTGACTTAATTACTGGTTTACACTTACAGCAAACTCTGTGAGTTGAGTTCAGCACATATTTAAAAACAGAGAACAATGCGTCAAAGGTAATGGAATTAAATCTAGTTTTTCAATAAATGGGTGTTCCACAGGATGGTATCAAAGCTGCTAAATGGAAGATGTATGCAGATGACGCCAGTATATTTGTACATGCAAAAAAATTTGCAGAGCTGCTAAACAGAGAATCACAGTTTGACTCTAAGCCAACAGTCTCATTAGGTTTTACAATCAGGCATAAAGTCTGTTTGGATGAGTTTAAATACCTGGATGTCCTTCTTGTTTCCCATGTAAATCTTTATGCTCACATTAGGAAAGTGTCCAAAATCTTTAAAACCAACCTAAGCTGTTTTCATCCTATATGATCATGTGTTATAACTGCTCAGTTATGCACAAAGGCCATGATGTTTTATCAAATGTCATACTGTGTCACTGTTTGGAGCCAATCAGCTCAATCTGTGTTAAAGCCTACGGTGCTGTTGTATAAACAAGCACTTCAAGTCCTAGATCAAACATCAATGAAGAGGCACACTGGAGCTTCTTAAGTTTTGATCATTTTAGACGTTTTTCCTTTTTAAAAGTAACTTTCAAATATATTAGCAGTCTTGTCTTGGAATCAGTGAGTAGAAGGATTCCCAAAGTCAGCAGTACAGGAGCTGGAAGTAGATAGGCTGTTAGCTCTCTGAGCTATCTCTATAATTATGCTGCTATAGGCTTAGACTTCTGGAGGACATAGGGACCCATATTTCATCATTCTGCTTCATTTTATCTTTATTCTTCCACTTTACAGAATCTGTTAGTTCAATCCCTACCATACTCTCTCTGCTTTTTCTCATAGTAGCTTTGCCTTGTCTGTTCCTTTTTGGTTGTGACACTATCCTGGAAAGAAATATCAGCTGTGCTGCTGCCATCAACACTTTTGTTTATAGATGATGGAGATCAGCCTGTTTTTCAGTGAAGTCCTGTTTCTCTGACTGTGACTGGCTGGATGTTCTCTCTTCATCCTCTGACATGGGAGCTGGCTCGGAGCTTGTCTACCTGGCTGTGTGTTTCCCGGACGGGGCCACCTTTTACAGTTGCCTTTTGTATATCTGCTTCTGTGCTTCTCTGCTATCTCTGCTTCTTCTTGAACCCCAGTCGGCCTCGGCAGATGGCCGCTCACACTGAGCCTGGTTCTGCTGGAGGTTTCTTTCTGTTAAAAGGGAGGCTTTCCTCTCCACTGTCGCTACAAGCATGCTTAGTGTGAGGGATTGCATCTGAGTCAATGAGTCGACGCAATCAACTGGTTTTCCTTAGGTAGAAAATTTTGAATCAATTTGACTGTATGATCTCGTGAACTGTAAAGTGCCTTGAGATGACGTATTGTTAATTGATGCTATATAAATAAACTGAATTGAATTGAATTAATGGAAACGGTAAACTTGCAAAATATAAAACATGATTTGGTCAAGGTTCCTTCTCATTTACAAGGCCTCATAACAGTTTACCACCTGCAATAAAAACAGTGACTGAATTTAGACTCTTCAGCCTGTGGCAGACCAATGGTTGTTTGTTTATTTCTATATATGACAATGTTTGATGTGCCATCCTTGATAAACTTAATTTTCAATCAAATTAAAGGTTTCTCCATTTTCCAGAGAAGACTGATCAAATATCCAAACAGAATTACGGCACAATTAATGTGTGTATGTATCTGACCCTGCAGCTCTACCTCATCCCCATGTCCAGTCATGCTCATGATGAGTAAATGTAAACCATTGGACATGCAGGCAGTAGAAGCTTCTTGCTGTCCCTCTTCTGGGGCCGTTTTTAGCCGCTCTGCTCCATTTCAGCCTGACTCTGATTGGTCATGTTTGGATCAGAGGCTCCTCAGCTCCCAGTGCGCCCGCCGAGGCAGGCACATAAACATGGTGCTGTCAAATCTGAGCCAACAGATGGCTCGTAACTAATTCTGTTACATGCATGAACACGTCTGAGCCTAAAGAAGTCTAATTCATGAATTTTAATCAGGAGAACTGGAACCAGTTAAAGTTTGTGTAGCCTGAGGATAAGTCTGATCACTCCTGTGAGTTTTGAGAGTGAAGCTTCTGTGTCATCCTGTCAGCCTCTCTGTCTTCATCTCGTCAGACTGCAGGTTTAACTGCCACCGGCGCTGCGAGCCGCTCGTCCCCAGAGACTGTCCAGGAGAGAAGAAGGCATTCAATGGGGGTGGTAAGCTGCACTTCTGTTCACTTTTATTCTACATTCTGGGTTCCAAGCAACAACAGACGAAGGCTGTTTCCATATTGCTCGGATCAGACAGGAAGTGACTCACCCAACTCCTCAGGAGTCATCACCTTTACCAGCAAAGTCCCATTTATATTTCTGCTAGAGATTATGATTCAGAGGAAAACTGGGAAAGCTGGATGATCCTTTTTAGCTCATCTGAATTAGTCACTTAAAGTCAGAGGAAGAAAATATGAAGGAACATAGAGGTTTAGCATTTGCATTCTTGGCAATCGAAATCATGTGAAATGAGCCAAAGGTGATGGTCATCCTGTTCTAAAAACGGTGTGGTTCCTTCTCAGCGGCCGACCATAGCTGCCCACCAGATCCTGAGGACGCTGAGTCCGAGCTCACCAGCCCAACACTAGACACCTCAGAGGACGAGATGTCCTCCGATGGAGACTCTCTGCCTGAGATAGTGGAAGAGGAGCAGCTGAGAGAGCCCATGAGGTTAGAGAGAGTTACCTGGAGGATGTCAGATAATTGAAGCTGATATGAATTAACTTCATAACATCTTCCTTCCTTCCTTCCTTCCTTCCTTCCTTCCTTCCTTCCTTCCTTCCTTCCTTCCTTCCTTCCTTCCTTCCTTCCTTCCTTCCTTCCTTCCTTCCTTCCTTCCTTCCATTCGTTCCTTCCGTTTTTTCCTTCCGTTCGTTCCTTCTGTTTGTTCCTTCCTTCCTTTCTTCCTTCATCCATTTGTTCCTTCCTTCCTTACTTCCTTGTTTCCTTCTTTCTTCCGTTCCGTCTTATGTTCCTTCCTTCCTTCCTTCCTTCCTTCCTTCCTTCCTTTGTTCTTTCGTTCTTCCCTTCCTTCCTTAATTGTTTCCTTCTTCCTTCCTTCGTCTGTTCGTTCCTTCCTTTCTTTGTTCCTTCCTTCCATTCCTTTGTTTGTTTGTTCTTTCCTTCCATTCGTTCCTTCCGTTTGTTCGTTCCTTCCTTCCTTGTTTCCTTCTTTCGTCTGTTCCGTCTTATGTTCCTTCCTTCCTTCCTTCCTTCCTTCCTTCCTTCCTTCCTTCCTTCCTTCCTTCCTTCCTTCCTTCCTTCCTTCCTTGTTTCCTTCTTTCGTCAGTTCCGTCTTATGTCCCTTCCTTCCTTCCTTCCTTCCTTGTTTCCTTCTTCCTTCCTTTGTTCCTTCGTTCCTCCCTTCCTTCCTTACTTGTTTCCTTCTTCCTTCCTTTGTCTGTTCGTTCCTTCCTTTCTTTGTTCCTTCCTTCCATTCCTTTGTTTGTTTGTTCTTTCCTTCCATTCGTTCCTTCCGTTCGTTCGTTCGTTCCTTCCTGGTTTCCTTCTTTCGTCTGTTCCTTCCTTCCTTCCTTCCTTCCTTCCTTCCTTCCTTCCTTCCTTCCTTCCTTCCTTCCTTCCTTCCTTCCTTCCTTCCTTCCTTCCTTCCATTCGTTCCTTTGGTTTGTTCCTTCCGTTTCTTTCGCTCCTTCCTTCCTTCTTTCCTTCTTAATTCTACTTGTTTACCACCTAAACCTACCTGTTGTAGAAATATCAGTCATAAACTCATAACAATAACAAACAGGAATGAAAAAAGTGTCAAATGAAACCCTGGAGCTGGGTTGTTGTTGCCCCTCACTCTCTCTGTCTCCTTCTCCTCCATCAGTCCCTGTTTCAGCAGCAATATTCCCCTGATGAGGCTTGTCCAGTCGGCGCATCACACTAAGAGGAGAGGAGGAGGAGTCCTGAGAGAAGGCTGGCTGCTGCACAACACCAACACAGACACTCTGGTGAGACGCTGGTGCTCCTCCTAACCAGTGGGTGGAGTCAGTGAGGCTGCTAGGTGATACCATCCTGTTGAATAGAAAATCCAGTGTAGGTGTGGTGGTGTAAGTTTGGTCCGATCTCTAATGCTTCTCTGGATATAATATCTACAGAGCTTGTTTCAACTTTAGATAGTTTTTTGCTGTCTTGCCCTTGCTGCCTTGGTTTGAGGGATTTCTCTGAGAATGGAAACTGAGTTTGGGATTATTTTCCTAACTAACCATATGATCACTTTATCAATTATCCTAACAGTAAATGGATCTGGGATCTGTCTTCTCTTTTAGTAAATTCTCAAAAATAACATAAGTTGAACTTTTTTGCTCTCAGAGGAAACGGCATTACTGGATCCTGGACTGGAAAACAATCACTTTGTACCAGAATGAGAGCAGCACCAAGTATTACAAGGTACAACTTGCTGCACAGCAGTGTAGCTCTTCAGATGTCCTCCAGCACCTTCACGGCGTTCCTTTCTTGCAGGAGATCCCTCTGTCTGAGGTGCTGCAGGTGCGTGGCCCCGCCCGGCTCTCCGTGCCCTCGCTGCCAGGCACCGATAGCCACTCCTTTGAACTGGTCACGGCCTCTCTGGTGTTTTGCGTGCAGGCTGGGGATGAGGGCGTGGCCTGGGAGAGCTCCATCTACCAGGCTCTGATGCCCTTGCAGAGCAGTACGGGACAAGCCGAACAACAACAGGGTGAGTCGGCCGGAAAGTTCCCTTCTCCAGCAAGGACAGTAGTCCCGTTTTACAAATCTGCTATGCTTCTGGTTACAGATAGAGATCTGCAAAGAGACAACGTGGTAAGCATCAATTTGAACCTTAGAGGGATTTTTCTGATAAACTTCAGAGCTCAACGCAGTTTTTATGTGTTTCAGGACATCAGCTCAGTGTACCAGATCTTTACGGATGAAGTCCTCGGGTCGGGGCAGTTTGGAGTGGTGTACAAAGGTGAGAAGGAAGGAAGTGTTTGATGTTCTGTTAAGTCATTTCTACAGCCGTCGCTGTCTAGTAGGGGTCTGATGTTCTGGCGCTAAGAGCTGGTTTGGATTCTGATGAATGATTGTAAATAACAGCATCCCAAACAAAACGACTCCTCATCCACCAGGTACTCACAGGAAGTTGGGCCGGTCAGTCGCCATCAAAGTCATCGACAAGACGCGCTTCCCGACCCAACAGGAGAGACAGCTGAGGAACGAGGTGGCCATCCTGCAGGTGTGTAGAATCCCCTACCAGGTGATTTACGGCTTATTGCTGCGATCTCTGATGACTTTACATCCGTTCTGTCGCTCAGAATCTCTCCCACCCTGGAGTGGTGGTGCTGGAGGCGATGTTTGAAACCTGCAGGCATGTTTTCGTGGTCATGGAGAAGCTCCATGGAGACATGCTGGAGATGATCCTGTCCAGCGAGAAGGGCCGGCTCCCTGAACGCATCACTCGCTTCCTGGTCATACAGGTAGAGCTCAACTCTTCCACATCCTCTGCGTCTCTTCCTGACTGTGTGCATTTTATGAAGGCTGTTGCTCATGTTTCCGCAGATTCTCGAGGCTTTGCGGTATCTCCACCTGAAACACGTGGCCCACTGCGACCTGAAGCCGGAAAATGTCCTGCTGGTCTCTGCCGACCCTTTCCCTCAGGTGAAGCTGTGCGACTTCGGTTTCGCACGCATCATAGGTGAGAAGTCATTCCGGCGCTCGGTGGTGGGAACCCCGGCCTACCTGGCCCCCGAGGTGATCAGCAGCAGCGGCTATAACCGCTCCCTGGACATGTGGTCCGTGGGCGTCATCATGTATGTGAGCCTGAGCGGGACCTTCCCCTTCAATGAAGACGAGGACATCCGACAGCAGATCACCAACGCTGCTTTCATGTACCCCCGCCAGCCCTGGTCCACCATCTCTCTGGAAGGTCAGACCCTGAGTTTGTGAATCCTTGAGTTTGTTCAATCAGAAGGACCAACCTGACTCCACGTGTCACTTCCTCTGCAGCTGTGAGCCTCATCAGCAACCTGCTGCAGGTGGCAGTGAGACGCAGGTTCACCGTGGGCAAAGCTCTGGGACACTCCTGGCTGCAGGTCTCAAACTTTTCCCTCAATTCTTTTTTTCTGGTGTTATATGATAGATCAACACTTACGGGTGTGATTGTGAAGCAGGCGGCTACGCTAAGTAAATACTTTGTGAAACCTTCTCTCTGCTAACATACGTTTCCAGAGCTGCCAGTGTCTCTTTAGAACCTCTACAATGACTCCTAATAATGGCCTTAAAATGATATAAAGAGCCAACTAATTTACTTTGATAACATATACCAGTCTTTAAAGATTTTCTGGGTTTTTTCAAAGAATATTTGGTTGAGTTTTTACAAAAGAATCACACTAAAATAACCAGAAATATGTTTTTAGATCAAATTTTCTTTGTTTTACATCAAATAATATCCTACAGAGGGAAATTCATGCTTCATCTTCATTCAAAGTTTTGTTCTTTTTTCCTCATTTTAAATGCTAAAAATAAAAATAACTTTTTATGTTGAAGATACTAGGCAATAATTATAGCTTATGTTTTATTTTAAGGTTATATCATTTTACCAAGTAGGACTCGGAGCAGGAATCTGCCGAGGAGCCATTTTACTCCATAAAATTGGCAGTTTCCTTAAGATTATTCAGATTAGATGGAAGTGCCCTTGAATATATAATTGCAGGCTACAGATTCCTGGCTGGACTTGGTTCTGTGCTTTAACTAGGCCATTCTAAAGCTTGGATATGACTGGCTGTAGCTCTGGCTGTCTGTTAAGGATCGTTTTGCTGAAAAGTGCTTCTAGTTATCTGCCTCCAGCTGATTTTTTGGGGGTTTTTTTTCTGGCCTGCCTCCATCTACCCATAATTCCCCAGCTTCCTTATTTCTCCTGATTCACCTTCTTCTTACTTTATGGCAAACTTTTCATAGCATTTCTCACTTTATTGCTATTCTTTCGATAGTGACTTTCTTCTTCCTGCTAATATTATTTTGACATTAAGTCTCATCCAGATTTAGTCTTTTTTTATTAATTCAATGAGGACAACTAAAGGAGTTTTTTCCCCAGGAGTATCGAAATGAAATGATACCCTACTTTCTGTTGGTCTACATTGAAATCCTTGTTTTTTTGTGAAAAAATGTGAAAAATCAGGAGATTTTGTCATACCCTGATTAAAAAAAGTGTTGTTTTCATGAATTGATTTTTATTTCACTGTGTTGCGTGCAGAACTTCCAGCTGTGGTGTGACCTTAGGGAGTTCGAGCTGAGGATGGGCTCCAGGTATCTGACACATAAAGGAGACGAGGAGCACTGGAGGAGCTACGCTGAGCAGAGGGGGCTGAGCTTCCCTTCACATTTCTGCTGGGACCCCGACAATGAAATGGAAATTTGATAAAAACAAACCAAAAAAGATTTTTTTTTTTATATGGTAAAGACTTTTCAATGGACAAATAATAGACTGTAATAAGTGCTGGTCATTTAAAGATAATTTGCAGAATTTGTCGTGTGCCAGAGTGCCTGAAATGATGGAAGAAAAACCACAAACAACGGCTGTTTAATAACATCATTATCCTTTTTTATTCCAGCTTTTTTTTTAATGTAGCTGTTTGAATGTGAGGAGGTTGTTTTTTTTTTTTAAGTATCAGTAATGATGGACAGAATAAACTGAGAATGAGAGGGGCTGAGGAGGTGAATGGAGAACAGGTGAGATAAAATGCCTCCCACATGCACAGAGGAGTGGACTTGCACTGTTTGTCGGTGTCGTTCCGGCTGATGTTTCATTGTGAAAATGAGACCAAAAACCTTTAGTTTCTCCTCACTGACAGGCCTGCTGCGGTCCCACATGCACAGCATCGATTCTTACTCTGTTTACAACTTTCCTGACACTCTGATGTGTCTCTCACTGCTGACATCTTCTCAGTCTTCCTTTAACAGAAAGGACAGAGGTGTGTCAGTCTTTCTGCTCCTGTACCTGTTTCTTTCTTTCTTTTGTAATTTATTATTTTTTAGCTCTCCTAAATCGCCATCGAGCCACGACCATCTTTGTCTGCTTAGCTTCTCCGTCTGCTTACGTGTCGGGTTGCTCTCATTCATCCTTCAGAAGTTCCTGAGTTATCTAAGATCCCCGGGTTCACGTGTCGATCTTCGCCTCAGCTTTCGCCGTGCGATGGCAGTCGTTTTTTTTCTTCACAAGTGAGATGTTTGAGTGTCGCTTTCCCTCCCTGACTGCTGCAGGCGCTGTTTGGGTTTCGCTGTGATTAGGGAAGAGCCGAAGACACGAAGGCGGAGTTTCTAAACCTTTAAAAGAAGCATGCGTCTGCAGAAATACACAACCAACCAAGCCAACGGACCAACCGGCTTTTTTGTCACATTTTCTTCTTTAATTACCCTTCTACAAAAAAAAAAAGAATCATACGGGACGAGGAGAACAGGAGGCTTTGCTCAAAATGTAACCCTCATAATATTTGCTTTTTTTAAAGAAGGTATTTTTCAGGTGCTGCTTGCATACGATCACTGCTATACCTGACTCTTCTTAAAGCTCAGTCCTAGCACAGTTTCTAAGATTTAAGCAAAGTCTCCTGCTCTCCTCCTCTATAAGCAGTGTTCCTGGCGTGAGGGGAGGAAGGGGGGGATTGTTGGAGGAAAAAGTTCAGATTTAACAGAGAGGGATAAAATAATTAGAACAAAGCATTTAGAGGGTAGGGTGAAGGGTTTAAAATCACTTTCTCCAAACAGGAGAAATAGAAGCTGGGGAGGAAGAAGAGGAGAACGCGAGGAGGAGCGGCTAGGTTTATAAGTCGCTCTCTCCGTAGAGGGCACTGGAGAAGGAGATGTAGTCCAGGGCGCCGGGGGGAGCGTCGGCTCCGACGTATCTGGTCATGCGGCTGATGCAGTACTCCGCCTGCTCGGGTGGTAGCTCCCTGCGCAGCTCGTCCACTGTGATGTAGTTCTGCAGCACAGAGAGATAGGCTTATAAAGACAGAAATAAACTTACATCACCTCATATAAAATTTATATAGCCTCTTATTTAACTTTTTATTTAACAAGTAACTTTTGCTTAATTTAATGCATGCAGTTCATATTCTAAGTATTTTTTTGTTCAGAGTTCCTTAAATGAGCCTAAAATGACAAAGAAGAACAAAAAACAGGCATGCTTGCTGCTAAAAACAAGGAAATAATTGTCTATTTAAAAAATGCAGTTTCTTTTGTATCCTCTAGATGGTGCCAAATTACCCCCATCTTTTGTAACAAGGGAATAAATGGTTATCGATTACATCCTCTCCTTCTAATCAATGTCATTTTTAAACCTGGCATACCTCAGACTGAACCTGAAGTACAACTTATATTCTATGCAGTATCAATCTGGAAAGGCTCCTGTAGAAAATGTTCACAAAAGGCAGGGAGATTCAGTACAATTATTTATAGCTGTTAAATAATGGGCCAAACTCTTAGCAAATCCAGTGAGGAAGAATGCGCAAACATCTTTTCCATTCACAAAGGCACAGATTGCGTCCTTTTGCTAATTTTCCAAAAAGAAATAGAGGGTCTTCCAGCTAAAACAGACTGAATAGCGGAGTCTACAGGTATTACTACCGGCGCAGCAATCTTTGTTTTGCTTCAGCCTTCTGCCTCTGGTTGACATGTTGACGTCACACATGTCCGTGCATTTCATGGGTTCCAAACATTTCTGTATCGAGGCTAAAGCATCTGTTGCCTTCTGGGAGGATGTTTTTTTCAGGAGTTTGTGAATTTGTAAATGTCGTGATGATTGGTCTTGGTTGAAAGGTCAGTTATTTCAGACGATCCTGCTATTTTCCATTGAACGTAGTCAGTGCTACATAACAATCCGTCTCGGTCTGTTGGCAGAGAAGAATGTTGCCCTCATGTGAAGTCTTTACCTTGTCTGAAGCCAGGATCTTGAAGGAAGCCATGACTTGCTCTGCTGTGTCGGTCTCTGCGGTCTCACGGGTCATAAAGTCAATGAAGGCTTGGAAGGTCACCACGCCAGTGTTGTTGGGGTCAACCAGGGTCATGATGCGGGCAAATTCAACCTCACCCTTTTGGTAGAGAAAAAAAGACAGAGTACATTATCTAAAGAGATCGGATGGTTCTTGTTTGATCAAGTGTAGGAGACCACAAGCGTTTGCTTGGTTTGAAATCTGCAGGTTGCACTCACCAGATCGTAACCCATGGAGATGAGGCAGGCACGGAAGTCGTCTGGATCCATCATGCCGTTTCTCTTCTGCAAAGATTCGAACCAATTGATCCGTTTAGACTCAGAACCGTCCACAATAAGGAAAATGCTTTAGGTTTGGGTTGCCTCACCCTGTCGAAGTGGTTGAAGGAGGCCCTGAACTCGTTGAGCTGCTCCTGGCTGATGCCCTTGGCGTCGCGGGTCAGGATCTGGTTCTCCACCTCGTTGATGGTTCTGGCGATGGTGGTGAGCAGCTGCTCCCAGCCCACACGGACGTGCTGCAGCGTTTAATGAGAGCAGAACCGATCAGAAAGTCCACCTTAAAGCGCAGACAGAGAGGAAGAGAACGAAGGCATTGGTACTGCACCTCCATGGAGTAGTTGGTGTGCTTGTTGTCGAAGATGAGGGACTCCTGGCTGAGCTGGTGGTCTCCCTCCAGCTTATCGATGTTGGACTTGTAGTTGATAATGTTCTGTTCATACTGCTTTAGACTGTTCATCTGTTCCTCCAGGGAGCCGGCGATGTCCACAGACACATGGCTGATCTCCTGCATGGGCAGAAAACAGTGGAACATGCAATGAGTGCTTTAGAGTTCTGATACCACAGTGGCTAAAACGATGGGCCTCATGCAAGAACCGTTCTTTTAAACAAATTTGTTTTCAAAACATTCAGGGGACTGGAGAAAATGTAACCTCCAGGATTTTTCTCTTATTTCTATTCTTCTCTCAGGGAACACATTTTCCCAATGCTCCAGACATAACATAGAAGTCATGACATAGAATCAGTCAGCTGCATCCAAACCTAGTTTTTTACTAAATGACTACATTTGTTTTACTTAGTAGCAGTTGTCCCTCTCTTTAGGCTAGGGCGGGGGCCATATTAGCGAACCGTGGTCCGGGTCCGGACCCACCTGCTGGCTAATGCGGACCTAACCTGATTTAAAACATTTATAAATTACCGCATATTGTCCGACAACAGTGTCTAACTTTACTTGCGCCTTTTCTCCTGTTAATACGGTAAACCCACCGGAGCGTCTGACACCAGGCTACATGTGATACAAATTAGCCAATGAGGTGTTTCAGAAAGGGTTGCTGCTGCTAGCTACTTTTAGACACAGCAGGAAAACCTTTGGCAGGCCGGGCGATGGGAAAGAAGGAGAAGACGATGAGAAAAAGAAAGCAGAGAACATTTAGACTGCTGGAAGAACCAAGGCGAACTGGTGGAAAAAAAAAAGTGAAATGGTGTGCTCAAAGATGACCCTGCACATTTTGAGTATGTTTTGCTCAACCAGCTGCTGTGAAGCAGGATTCTCCACTATAAACAGAATCAAAAATAAATACTGATCCAGGCTCACCAATGAGCACCTTGATATGTGCTTGATAATGGCTTTGTTTCTATTAAAACCCAGTTTTAAAAGCATTGCAGGGCAGCCTAAAGCCCGCTGCTCTCATTAAGCCAATAAAAAGGAAAGATAAAATAACAAACGGTCAGTTCAGGTGTTTTATAAAATATGTGAATCGGGAAATTGTCTATATACCAAACTGAACTATTGCTGTTCACTACTTCAAAAAATATTTTAGATTTTAAAATGGAAAAATGTTCCAGACGTTGATATTATTTGTAGTAATTTTTTCCCCCTTTAGTTAAAGTTAGTGTCCTGTATCTTCAGGTTCTCAGAGGTCGTTCAAATATCCACGCATATAAGGGATCCAACCAGCATGAACTAGATTTAATTGGAGTTGTAATTTTTAGTCGATGTTGCTGAGATGTACATGTCGCAGAGGGTTTGTACCTCCATCTTGGTTTGAATCCAGGGTCCAATGATGTTGGCCTGGGCAGCAAACTGGCGCCTCAGCCTCTCGTTGGCCTGCTGTCTGGCCACTTCCTCCTGCAGCATTTGGTCTCTCAGGGGTACAAGGTGCTTCACCTGCAAATGTTCATCATGCAAAAGTGGACATGCTGATCCTTTTCCTGCTAGAAACTTCACTTATAATGAAAAGAACTGAATTAGATTACTGTATTGAAATATATAGGATTCCTACAGCTTAATATCTGATCTAATTTTTCCTTACAGATGGTTTAATGTCTTCATTCCACCAGATCTGACAGATTGTTCAGTGTGATTCTTATTTCCCCTGATGGTTTACTTGCAGTGTTCTGTATCAGTTCAATCTAAACTTAGTCCTGACCCCTGTTTGGAATGTACCCCGCTTATTTTTAGCCAGATGACCAAATGCAGCTCACAGAGACACTGTATCGGTTTACCTGTTTGCACAATGCAGCTATAAGCTGTAATCGTTCGCATTAATCGTTCGTTTCCTGTTCTGGCTTTAAGTTGTGCTTTGACTCACAGTGTCCCACTTGTTGTTGATGTCCTGCTGGCTCAGGTTGGTGTACGGGTTGATTCCGGACAGCTTGATGCCGTAGGTCTGGGCAATCTTCAGGATCTCGTTATGGATGCCGATGGTGGCCATGCGCTCCTTGTCGGCCTCGGGCAGAGTGGCCTTGAACTGGTCGTGAGCTGTGATCAGACTCTGGAAGGGGAGAGAAAGAGCTGATAATATTAACACAAAGTAAGCTTTCCTGGAGCCAGTATTTACCATCTAGAACATGTAGATCTCTCTAGACTTTGACCTCTTTCTCTTGGATAATGTGTCACTGGCCAACAAGGAAAAGGAGGCATGGATTCTAAAAAGTGTGGGGTGCATTTAATGTCATCCTCCTAGAGAATGTACTTTATAAAACTACCTTTTATTTTCATTTCAACAAAATTATGTTCTTTTTTATGCAAAATAGCTCATTAAGAATCCAGCAAACTCTTATTTGGACCCTCTACAATGGCTCTTAATAGTGACTAAAAACACTCATTTTGAATATAGTTTGATAACAAATACCAGTCATAAAATAGATCTATTTTTCATTATCATTAGCTTAGATGTTTTGTTTTTTTTAATCAAAATTGCCCACAAATACCATCCTGAGGAGGAAACTCCATTCTTCTTTAAGAAACGTTTTACATACAGCAATAGATTTCCTATTTAAGACATCTAACAAAATAAGGTTGCTTTTATTCAAAGTTCGTGTAATATTTTTCCCCCTGAATGACTTTCTTAGTTGGACTCAGGATAAAACAGCTCTGCACCTGATTCAGAGGACCTAAGTTTACCAAAAGCCTGTTTATCAGCCATTACTGGAGATCAGGTGAGCCGAAACATTTAAAAAATGCAAGGCACTGACGTTGGACACCCCTGATCTAAACCATGCCTTTATTAAGTTTTTAATTTGTCGCTTCCCCTTAAATCTAAAAACCCACCTCAAGCTATTTGCCACCTTAACAACTTCCTTCTGACTATTTCCTGGTTTAGCTCCGCCCACTTCCCCACCTCTTCATGTCGAAGAAAAGCTTTCCCTCAACATGATCCTACCATCACCATGCTTCACCATGTGGATGGAGTGTTTGGGGTGATAATGCATTGTTTTTTAATTACACTTAAGGTTTTATGTAGTAAATAATAATAACAACATGGCTCATGTGGGCGGTTTCCAATAGTTACAGACATCACGAAGATGTTTATCAGGTTGATACCATGCATCATTTTTCTTCCTCTGCTTTGTGTTTGCTATCACATATAATTCTGATCAAACATGTTGATGTTTGAAGCTCTAAAGTTAAAATCCAAGCAGCTACCTGGATCTCCTCAATGCTGTGGACGATGAACATGTCCTGCAGGTCCTCCATGGCTCCGTCCATCCAGTTATTGAAGGGTGCCGCCCTCTTTGCAAACTCCAGGTACAGCTGGTCGATGGTCTCCCACAGTTTCTCTACACGCTAAACTCACAAAATAAAAACAAAAATAAAAACACTCTCCTTTAAGAATGTAAATAATTTGCAGCCTTTGAGGTCTAATGGCCTGATTTAACACCCATGCAGCAGGTTTGAAGTTGTTGTACTCACCTCCAGAGCGTCCCTCCTCTTCTGGGTCAGGGTTCCCAGGTTGTCCCACTGGTCACAGATCCCCTGGCAGCGGGCGTTCACTGTAGCAGCATCATGGTAGTCCAGCTCACTGAAGGACATGGTAAACCACACTATTTTTTTTTTTTTTGATTTATATATACTCTAATAATCCCAGAGGGAAATTACTTCTCTGCATTTAACCCATCCCCTTCGGGAGCAGTGAGCTGCCATTGTGAGGCGCCCGGGGAGCAGGGTGAGGTTAAGGGTCTTGCTCAGGGAGCCAGAGTGGCAGTCTGTGGGAGTGGGGGATCGAACTCACAATCTCAGGATTGAAAGCCCTATGCCCTAACCACTAGGCTGCCACTCCCACTATCAGTCATTCTAACTTCCTGCAGACAGTTAAATATTCTTTTCTTGACTTTACATGTAGTTTTGGAGCACTGTGACTAAAACCAAACCTTAACTTTGCTGAAAGAATATTCCAGAGGAGTTTTGAGACACAGCATAACATCCTATACACCTTATATACTATATATATATATATACTTATACATACATCTCCGTCTCTACAAGTTTCTAGATTATTCCTGGGGATCTACCTTAAACCTTTCTGTAAATCCCAGTCTGATGGCGTCTTACTTTAGCTCCTGAGCGATGGCAGCGATCTGCTCCACTCTGTCCTGGTGAGCAGCGAGGTCGCTTTCAAAAGCCTCGTGCTTCCTCATCAGGGCCCTGATCTCCATCAGAGAAGCCGACTCGTAGTCTTTCTGAGACAGAAGATCTTCCTTTCCTGAAACACAGTTGCTATGGTGAACACCGGTGCAAACATAAGGTTATCTGGCTTTTAAAAAAATGCTAACTATTACAAAGAGGAGCATTTACTGATGTAGAACCTTTCTACGTATTCTTCCTAAGCTGGATGGAAATCAGAGGAGCTTGGCTAACTTGTTGCATTCTCTCGCAGCATCTATTCTCATGATTCCTACCTCCAGTCCAGGCTTCATGCATGGCGCACTTCTGCTTGAACTTCTCGGCCAGGTGGTCCAGTCTCTCCAGACGGCGGATCTCGGTCAGCAGCCATTCCTCATAGCCCTTCTCCACCTGCTCCAGACCTTTCCAGGCATTGGCAATGTCCTGAAGCAAAGGTTTCATTAACATCTCAGATTGTGAGCTGTCTTTGACCTAAAAGGACAAAATATGCACGAAGCCAAAACACTGTCATTGGTGCTGAGTTAACAAAAATCCGCCCTCCTCACCGACACCATCTTGCCCTCAGAGGGCATGAAAGCAGGCCTGTTGCTGAGCCTCAGCTTTGTCTGCAGGGTGTTGAAGTTGATCTCCAGCTGACATTTCTCCTGCACGCGAGGGGGCTTGTGGACTCTGCGGTAGTCGCGGAAATCCTCCAGTTTCTGCTGCATTGCACGCATGGTCTGCTCTGCCACGCGGTTCTCCAGCCAGGGGATGGTGCGACGGATCCACTCCAGCAGCTGTGCAAAACAGGGCAATTTTTATCATGCTACAGTAGCTGAGTCTGTGAACTTAAATGTGATCTTCTCCAGATTAATTTGAAAATGATTGGAACATCTGCTGATCTATTTTCTAAATGTATTTAATCCGTCTGTATAAAGGCAAATCCAGTTTAAAGTAAAATGAAGTTAAGTGAGAAAACCAGTAGCTGAAACTGAAGGGGAAAAGCTTTTGCAACAAGGAAACATCGTTAACCTAAAATAGTTATGCTAAAAACGGGACATGCTCCAAAATATCTACTTTGTGGTCGGAGTCAGACATGTTTTAGCTTGACGGAAAATTAAAAATCTGATTTGTATTTCCTCTATCAGTATCAAATTGAACTATTATTATAAAAAAAGGAGACATTCAAACTTTAAGGTAAAGCACAGAGATGTAATGAGCTACTTAAAAGGATTTTCTCTGACATTTTCAGTCACAGGAACAGGCTTTAAGAGAGCAATGCTTTTAGCTGATAACAGGAAGGCTAAAGCTACTACTGCAGAGTTCATTGGTTGATCCTTTTGATTATTAAACTTCCTTAAAAAAATCCTATTGATATAGAAATAATGGCATTTTTAATTAAATAATATTAAGACTGATTGTTTGGTAATGCTGTCCACCGCGGCAGTGTTAATGATAAATACAGTTTTATATTAACATTTTTGTTGAAATTAATGATAAAAACCTGTCAGAACCTTCCTTAAGTCAATCTTATAATAGACAATCTGCTATTAAATTAATTTATGGGAGAAGAAAATAACATTTACATTGATTGGGCACTTTAAACTACGAACATGAAATATACCAGTTAAAACTAACCCTATTTTTGTAAAAAAGTTTACACTGCAAAAACAAACTAAAAATGAGTAAAAATGTCTTAAATTACGTGTTTTTACCCTTAATTTGAGCAATGAGATGATTTGTCAATGGAATGAGTATTTTTACTGTTAGAATAAGATAATTAGATAATATGCACTTGAAATAAGACAATATAATTGTTTTTTCTTATTTTAAATGTAAATTGTCTTGTTTCATTGGCAAAGTGTCTCCCTTACCTCCTTAATTCAAGAAAAAATGCACTTATTTTAAGAAAAAAATGACTTATTGAGATTTAAATTTTTTACAGTGTAACCAGTGGAACATAAACAGAAAAGAGTTGCTTGCAGGAGTTTCTCACCTCGCTGGCCAGCTTCTCGTACTCCTCCATCAGTTTCTCATTCTCCTGGTTGACAGCCAGCACCTTGCAGATGCGGTTAGCAGCCGTCTCAGCCTGCATTGCAAATAAAAAAATTAACTAAATACGCTTCAACCCCCCCAAAAAAACTGATTTAGCCCATGTTCTTATCAGTTCCTTTTCCATAGACTATTGCATACTTTTAGAAGGCAGCATAGCTTTATTATTTATTTATTATTAGCAACATGGGAGACTGGGACCAAACAATACTTTTGATTCAAATATATCTTTGTGCTTTGATCCAACATAAGCCTTAAATCTGACCTGCTCAGCTCCAGCAAAGGCGTGATAGAAGCACGACACGTAAGTCATGATGGCCTTCTCATCAGGTTTGGGTGTGTTCACAATATCTGATGAAATTAAAAAGTTACTTAAAAAAAAAAATCCCAAAACACAACAACTTTCAAAACCTTTAATATTAAGCACAGCCTTTATAATATAACAGAATCAGATTGGATCAGTTTTTCTGCAGCATAATATAAGATTAGAGGTCCTCAAATCTAATTGACCTAAAATAGAAGATAAATGGATAAGGGAAACATTACGATTCGTTCTTATATAATCAGATTATTCCAGCTGTTTGCACGGTTTCCTCTATTCTCAATAGAAATCCTGATTTAATAAATGCTGTTAACAGGATTCAAACTTCTGAGTTACTGAGTATTATAGCAGTACTCCTTTCCTGACCTTGTACCATCTGTCAGCAACGTCTATGGTATCAGAGTGATTTCATAAAAATCTGACGTTCTTGCTCGAGTTTCTCCATCATGACTTTTCCACAGCCTCACCTTCAGCATCCAGCATCTTGGGGATGTCCAGATACTTCTCGGCAACTTCAAAGGCCGTGTTCAGGTTACCGATAGGGTCGTCCTAAAGGAAGAAAGACAGGGACACAACAAACTAGCATGAAGAAGCATTTATGATGCAAAAACAACCAGAAAAAGATAGATTTGCATATCAAAAGAGATGGATCTTCATTTTCAGCTATAATTTGTGTCTAACTATCTGCTATCATCTTCTCAATTATATCCAGGATGAAAAAGCCTCTGAAACGAAAAGAAACTGACACATGGTATAATCCTCAAAGCTGATACAACATAAAACCAAATACTGATAAAAAAAAAAAAAGTCCAAAATACGATCTTGTAATCATTCAAATATGTGCACAATACTGTGTCAGAAAAACCTGACATCTAGGGGCATTTTTAGCCCTTAGATGATTAAAGGTGTGGCTCTCTAATGCAGGAAGAATCCATTAAACATGCTGGTTATTTCATCTGTTCAAGCATGGAACATAAGAGCCAACATTTATTACATTATAAACTTATTTTCTCAGCAATAACACTATAATCTCTGCTTTCTCTCTTTTAGCACATTGTGCAACTCCAAAGAATGACAAATCTGTATATAATAGATCTGTACATGATACTGAATATATATGTAGAAGCAGAGGACAGAAATATTAGCAGGAAAAGAAGATGACTGGAAAGAAGGATTTAAAGACTGAGGAGAATAAAGGGAAGAAGGAGGAGGAATATAAGGGGAGGGAGAAAAAGTGCACAGATTTAAGGAAAAAAAGAATGAAGGAATTAAAGAAGCACCTTTCTCAGTTTGGAGTAGTCAATGAGGTCCGGTCTGTGTCTGTGGATGAGGGCACACAGGGCCAGGCCATCCTTCCAACTGAGCAGCACAGAGCAGGGAAAAAAGGCAGAAGGTGGATCAGAAGGAATACGAAACACAGACAGGAATGTAAAGAAAGCATAAAAAGGTAATAAGAACAGAAATGCATGTAAAGAAAAGTATGAAATTAATGATTTGTAACCAGGAAGAGGCAATAAATTAAACAAGTTTTAACATGAGTGTTTGCAGTTCCCTATTCATGCCACAGTGAGGCGCTGCAGGCCAACCTGATGTGGAAGTTCTGCACATTGACATTCCTGTAGGGGGCAGTCTTCCTCTGGCACCAGAGCAGCAGACCTTCTTTAGCAGAGGTCTCTGGAACAGTTAAGGAGGGAGAAAGTGGGTGAAACAGGCAGAAAATAAACCAAATTAAAGTTGATCACAAAGTCTGAGGAGGAACAGAGGTCAGAGGTCAAAACAGAGAGAGATAGAAGGAGGGCGAGAGGGGGGGGATATTAAAACAAAAAACAAATATAGAGGTAAGCAAAGATGAGAAAGCCTTAGGGAGAAATGAATTCAGCAGAGAAACCTTCTTTCACTGGTAGACAGTGATATATTATCTGACTCCATCTGAGACTGATGACATTAAACAGCCTGAGGGTTAAACTTGTAATGAAAGCAGAGGAATGAGGAGGACAGGGAGCACAGGGTCCTGAACAAGAGTTTATTGTAAGTCTTATTTTTTTTTTTATATTTTTGAGAAATCATTGCTTTGTTAATTAAACGTGTTAATTTAAGTAAACACACACCTTCCACGGAGATGTCCTGGATAGCGAAGCGCAGGATGATGGTCCAGATCATACCCAGGGTCATTTTCACATTACCGTCAACAATTTCTGTACAGACACAGCAAAAAAGAAAAAGAAAAACAGAGACTTGAAGAGATGGTTCTCCCATATAATGCATTCAGGTTCTGTTTTCTACTGAAGTTTTCAGAAAAAGGTTTTCAAATAAGATTCAAAATGAAGAGTTTTGATGGGATAAAGAAATGATGAGGGCAACAAAACAGGAATCACTAAATCACATGAACCTGTTCCCTCAAAATAATAAACTTTCCTTTTGTCACAATTAAAAAAAACATACTGTTATTTGTTAAGAATAAGAAAAATATTAAAAAACCAGGCAATAATGTAACCATAGCGACACAATTTGTGTTAGTAAAAGGAGTTATTATTAGTTTAACGTTGCCAATATGCCCGTTTAGATGCATTAAAACCAAAGACAGAAGGAAGTCTGGTTTTTGATGATCAAATTCAACTTTTTCTTTGGTTCTTCATCTCATTTTGTCTATTTTGAAACACAATTATGCTAAATTAATCTAGAAAATATTTCCACAGCAAATATGATGGATGAACAGATGGACAAAATTTAGACAACTGTGAGCTGCTTATCAGACTACATCCACCTTGGATGAATTAATGATCATGTTTAAATTTGCTCATTAAAAATTACTCAACGGCTCATTTTTATCGTGCCTAAAGCATAAATTAGATTATTTCTATAGAGCTCCAAAAAACAGAAACCAACAAAGATAGCTTGTTGTATAAATGTGGCTATTTTAAAGCCAAGACACTTTAATTACAGGATCCAATTTTATTTCAGATAAGTGAACGCACCATACCTTAGAGCTGGCAAAAAGAAAATGCTAATTTAGCTCCTTTTATAATATCTGTGATGTGTTAGAAAAGAGAAAAAACGGGTTAAAGAAGCTTTGCGGATAGAAGGTTAGGGTTAGGGTTAGGGATAGGATTTTCTTTGGAGGGCTGTGCATTAAATAAGTTTCTCTGTCTTATCTCTTTTAACCCGCCAACCTCTACCGTGCATCAGGCTATATGAGGTCTGCTTATCTATATGAATGGATACATGAAGGGATTTAGCAACAATACAAATAGAAAGAGCCATAAAACACCAGAATGAGATGTTAGGTTTATTTCTATAAGTCCTCCCCATATAAACTACCTTATTGGTTAGTTTTTGTAGTTTTATTGACACAAAGAGAGGGAACTGTACCCTGTTTTTGACATAATTATTTTATTTTCTATAAAGTTATTATTAGGAAATCCACATTTTAATTAATGCATTTTTTTGGTTTTATTTCTAGTTTAAAAAAAAAAAGATGTGAAAAGGTTACGTCGCTGGTATGAGCTCTGAGCTTTACATAGCCGGTGTTTTGAAAATCGCCCCCAAACTCTCTGACTGTTGCATTTCTGTCTGTAAGAAAATCTAATGGTTCATGATCACCTATATCTATATAACTCCATGGTCTAAATTCATCATGTCTTTATTACTATTTTTCACTTCTTTCTTTTATTCTTATATTGCTTGTTTATGTTCATTTCCAATGTTAACTATTTGAAATTCCTTATTGGAATAGAATACACTTCCTATTTTATTACATATTTTATTTATTTAATTTTAATGTTATCAGTACCAATTTTTTATTATGAAAGTTGTCTGTTTTCTCTTTTTTCATAACAAATCAACTCAAAAAAAGCAAACTGCTCATATGAGGAAAGTTTTAAGAAATTCATGAAAAAAAATGAGAATATTGGGAAGTGGAACACAGAACACAGAAGTGGAACAATTAAACACGACAGTAACCTCACCCTCTGCTCCGATGGACACCAGTTTGACCCCCTTGCTACAGATAAAGTCCAGAGCTTTATTCACGTTGGCAATCTTGTGGAAACGCATCTTTCCTTTGTCGGGTTTGGGCAGCCTCTCGCCTGGAAGAATACATCCAACAACAAAAATCAATCCCAAATAAAACTGGATTGGATGTTAAACAGTGGTGCAGTCTGTAGCTGCCGCAATGCAGCAAGAAGGTCCTTGGTTTGAATCCTGGCTCAGGATCTTTGTGCATATAGGGTAGTTAAAATGGCGGCGCCCCTGGCGGCAGCGGCTGGCATACAGCTCCGACCAACTTGCGGAGATTTTCATAAAAATATACCGCCAAACCCGCTGCAAACTGCTTATCTACCTAGCAGATCATCACTGGACCGCCAGCGCCTGCTGGAGTTACGATCATGCAGTGTATTTGGACTTGTAACCACCACTACGCTCGACTGTTTACGTGACTCCGGAGTGCTCCGGGATCAAGCCCCGGAGGCCTGCGATGCAGCGGACCCGTCGAGCGGCTCACGCTGGAGGAGAGCCAAGCGAAAGCGGTGCAGCCGGCCGAGGAAACGCGGCTGTCGCGGAGGTTTAGCAGCCAAGCTAAAGGCTAACCCCCACAGACCATCGCTTCCATCCATCCTGCTCTCCAACGTACGTTCACTGGATAACAAAACTGACCATCTTCAACTCGAGCTCTCAGCAAAGAGGGAGTTTAGGGACTGTTGCGCTCTCATTCTGACAGAGACGTGGCTCACATCATCAACCCCGGACAACGCCATTAGCCTGGAGGGGCTAGCTACTTTCCGCGCCGACAGAAACAAAGAACTCAGCGGTAAGAGCCGAGGAGGCGGACTCTGTGTTTACATCAATAACAACTGGTGTAAAAATGCTAGAATAGTCTCAAGTTTTTGCTCTCCGGACATAGAGCTTCTGACTGTTAGCTGCAGACCCTTTTACCTGCCCAGAGAGTTCACTGTTGTTACCATCACAGCGGTGTATGTCCCCCCCAGCGCTGATACAAAGGAGGCCATGAGTGTTCTCTATCGGACTGTCTCTGAGCTGCAATCTACACACACAGAGGGCGTTTTCATCATTGCTGGAGATTTTAATCAGGCGAATATGAAAACTGTTCTCCCTCATTTTTATCAACACGTGGATTTTGCTACTCGTGGAGAGAACACTCTGGACTTAGTTTATACAAACATAAAAGACGCATTCAGAGCAGCCCCCCGCCCCCACATCGGCTCCTCAGACCACCTTTCTGTGATGCTAATTCCTGCATACAGACCCCTGCTGATCAGAGCAAAACCTACAGTGAAGCAGGTGAGGGTCTGGACGGAGGGGGCCATGGATGCACTCCAGGACTGCTTTGAATGCTCTGAATGGGACATGTTCAAATCAGCAGCAACATATGACAACAAGATCAATGTTGATGAGTACGCCATGACTGTTTCAGCCTACATCAACCACTGCATCGAGGACGTCAGCACAACAAAGACCATCACCACCCGAGCCAACCAACGGCCCTGGATGACTGAGGAGGTCCGCCACGCGCTAAAAGCACGGAACTCAGCCTTCAAGTCTGGTGACAAGGAGGCACTGAGGACAGCTAGAGCCACCCTGAACCGTGCCATCAGGTTAGCAAAGCGGAACCATAACCAGAAAATCCAGCATCTGTTCCACGACGCCAACAACACCAGGAGCATGTGGCAAGGCATACGGGCGATCACAGACTACAACACGCCCCCTGCCCCGGTGGATGAAGTTGATGCTGACTTCCTAAACGGACTAAATAACTTCTTTGGGAGGTTTGAGGCACTAAATCGCACTCCAGCAGTGAAGGCTGTCCCACATCAGGAAGAGGAGGTTCTCTGCCTTGACACAGCCGACGTGTGGAAGACTCTGAGGAGGGTCAACCCGCGGAAGGCCCCAGGTCCCGACAACATACCTGGGCGGGTGCTCAAGGAGTGTGCAGGTCAGCTAGCTGGTGTCCTCACGGACATTTTTAACACCTCGCTGGAGCAAGCCACAGTGCCAGCATGCTTCAAGTCTGCCTCCATCATCCCAGTGCCAAAGAAACCTCAAGTCACCTGCTACAACGACTACCGGCCCGTCGCACTGACTCCCATCATGATGAAGTGCTTTGAAAGGCTGGTAAAGGAACACATCGTCTCCAGTCTCCCCCCAACACTCGACCCGTTCCAGTTTGCCTACCGGCGAAACCGCTCCACTGAGGACGCCATCTCCTCTGCTCTTCACCTGAGCCTGGCCCACCTGGAGGAGAAGAACACCCACGTGCGGATGCTGTTCCTGGACTTCAGTTCAGCGTTTAACACCATCATCCCACAGCACCTGGTGGGAAAGCTGGAACATCTGGGCTTCAACACACCCCTTCGAAACTGGCTGCTGGACTTCCTCACCAACAGACCTCAGTCAGTCCGGGTCGGTCAGAACACCTCTGATGTCATCACCCTCAGCACGGGCTCCCCTCAGGGCTGCGTCCTGAGCCCCCTGCTGTTCACCCTGATGACATATGACTGCGTCCCCAGGTTCACCACCAATCACATCGTGAAGTTTGCGGACGACACCACGGTGGTGGGCCTCATCAGGGACGACAACGACCGGGACTACAGAGAGGAGGTGGAGCAGCTGGTGGACTGGTGCAGTGAAAACAGTCTGATCCTGAACGTGGAGAAGACGAAGGAGATCATCGTCGACTTCAGGAAAAACCGCCCCCACCATGCTCCACTGCTCATCAACAGCTCAGCTGTGGAGGTGGTCAGCAGCACAAAGTTCCTGGGGGTGCACATCACGGACAACCTCACCTGGACTGTAAACACTTCATCTCTAGTGAAGAGGGCACAGAAGCGCTTGTACTTTCTGCGGAGGATGAGGAGAGCCCGCCTGCCCCCGCCCATCCTCACAACCTTCTACAGAAGCACCATAGAGAGCGTTCTGACCAGCTGTCTCTCTCTGTGGTGTGGAGGCTGCAGAGCTTCTGACTGGAAGAATGTGAGGAGGGTGGTGAGGACAGCGGAAGGAATCATTGGGGCTCCTCTTCCCTCCATTAAGGACATTTCATCACAGCGCTGTGTGTCCCGAGCCCGTAATATCATCAAAGACCCCTCACACCCCCACCATGGACTGTTCTCCCTGCTGCCCTCTGGAAAGAGGTTCCGCAGCATCCGCTGCAGATCCACCAGGTTGTGCAACAGCTTCTTCCCCACTGCCATCAGACTGTTGAACCTTTGATCCACAATCCGAACTCTGCACCTATTGCACATTATCGGGCATCAAATGCTGCTGAACTTTTAACTTTTAGCCCTTTAAATTGTTCATCTCATTGTATTTTTCAATAACGCATTTTTTGCACAAATGCCATTTTGCACTGAACCACTGCAACTTGCACACTGTCTCTTATCCTCTGCACTGTTCACACTTTGACCACTGCTGCACTTTTTGTATTTTTCTATAACTCGTGCCATTGTGAAATATCAATGCAACGTTCATAAGCTGTATGTAACGCAATTTCGTTCTGTATGCACCCTGTGCATACAAAATGACAAATAAAGAAGTCTAAGTCTAAGTCTAAGTCTAAGTCATATGTGGGTTCTCTATGGGTACTCCAGCTCACACTCCCCCAATCCAAAAACATGACTTTTAGGTAAATTGGCGTCTCTAAATCCCTATTAGGATGGAGTATGTTTATGTTGAACGTCTCTGTGATGTCCTGCTGCTACGGACACCAAACCTTCTTTACAGTAGAAAATGGATGATTAACAGTTTTCTATTTTCTTGACTCATTTCTGATGGCCCAAAAAATCATTTAATAAATAAATTGTGTTTCTTGTTTGCTTGTAAATGAGATGTACCTGATATGACCTCCAGCAGCAGCATGAGTTTGAGGCCATTCCTGAAATCCTCCTCAATGTTCTCGATCTGTGTTCCAGCTTTCCTCAAGTGGGAGTTACACCAAGCTGTGAAGGTCTGAAAGGGAGAGACGAGGTGAGGCGGAGGGGACAGACGTTACACATGCGACTGTACAGGATGTTCTCCCACACACCAGCTGTGCACACGCAGCAGTAAAAGGTAGAAAACAAAGCAGGCACACATTCCCACAGCTGGATGGGTCCTTTTTAGGACCAGGTTGGATAATTGCTTAGTTAGGCTGTTTGAGACCTTGAGGTGACAACAGTGGCTGACTGTAAAAGGAACACACATGATGACATTTATATTCTTTTTATCTTTCCCCCTTTTTCATTATAGTGTTGTCCTATTGAAGTTAATTTTTTGGTTACCTATAAGGACAACAAATAAAGAGCTCCTCTTTTTGTAAAAGGGAATGTATAATAATATAAGGAAATAACATCATGGCTGGTGTTATGAGGTAGTGAAAGTCTGTTAACTTTTTTTTAGATGTCATTAATACATTTCTCACAGACTTAAACTCAACGCTATTTCTGACATTTTGAATTGAAAAAGCTTCCTGGATGGGAGGCGAAATGTCTTCAAACTTGGAAACGAAGTCCAATAGATTGTTTTTAACCTTTTTTGGAATGACTATGACCTGGATGACTGAGAATCTTCACCTGCATTAATGCATATATATATATATATATATATATATATATATATATATATATATATATATATATATATATATATATATATATAGATATATATAGATAGATAGATAGATAGATAGATAGATAGATAGATAGATAAAAACGAAGTACTTTTTTGAAAAGGTGATTTTTGTCGGGATTGGAGCGGTTAAACAAGACTTAGCAATGAAATAAGATTATTAATGTTTAAGATAAGAGCAAATAACTATATTATCTTATTAAAAGTGCAGCATATGTAATTTATTAGGGGCAGAAATACTAATTTCATTGGCAGATTACGTTAGTTAGCTGATCAAAAGAAAGACAAATACAATTTGTTTTTGTAGAGGATTTCAGGAAGCTTAAGTTTCTGTTGAAAATTAATAATAATAATTGAACTTTATTGATCTCACAATGGAGAAATTCCCTCTCTGCATTTAACCCATCCCCTTGGGAATGGGTTAAATTGAACCAGGTACTTGTGACCTCCTCAGAGCACAAGCGCACTGCTCTAACCACCAGGCCAACACTCCCCTAGAATAACCTAATTCAAAACTTAATGCATTAGCTTTTTGCATCAAAAAACAAACCTTTTATTATGTTTAAGCAGTCAGAAAAAGTCTTCTGTCTTTAATTGTCTTGCACTCACTAGTTCTTCACATGCACTTTTAGAGAAAAACCCAAAACATGGCAACATTAGGATACTGAGGGCCGGATTTATCAAGATCCAATTTTGCGTGCAGTAATTTGCGCTCGCAAACTGGAATTTTGCGCGAGGGGCTGAACCATGGTTTGCAGGTGATTTAACAAGAGTGATTGCGTAACTGGTGGCAGGTGCAAAACTGTTGGAGACGCCCTATTTAAATGATGGTTTTGCGCGTTTTGTGGTTTGCGGCAAAGTAGGCTAGTTTGTAGTTTGTACAAACTAGTGCTTTAAGAAATTTAAGTCTTACAGTGACACCCAACGAAAAAAATAATATATATATATATATATATATATATATATATATATATATATATATCAGTGGCGGCTGGTGAAAAATATTTTTGGTGGGGCTGATATAGCCTAGTGTATGTCTCCAACTAACCCGGAATAAGAATTCAAATAAACAATTGGACAATACATACAATTTAACAGTAATGATTTAATTTACTATATAATAACAGTAACAGTGATGATTTGGGTCACTGTGACGGGGTTCTTTGGCCTCCAAGAATCCAGTCTCAGTCGGGTTACCGGTGTTGGTGATTTATTGAGCTCAAAAACTCAAAACAGGGTGCAAAAGAAACTAAACATGTACAAGATACTCTGGGCCTCAGCCTCCCTCCAGTTACCAGCAATGTAACAAAGAAACAGAAAACAAAAATTGCCGCTTTTCTTCCCACAGCCCTCATTAAATAGTTTAAGCCCCTCACCTCAGGCTCTCTTATTTCTGATTTCTTCTCATTAATCAGTTTTGTCCATATATTACCTCCACAAACAATTGATGTACAAAAACAAATAATTTTTACAACTTAATTCTTTTACACAGATTCATTGACTTATTCAATTACACCAAACTGGGTTGGTGTAACACACACACACACACACACACACACACACACACACACACACACACACACACACACACACGGCTAACCCCACTGAAATATTAAGTGTGCACCCTCAATACGCCAGCAGGTAACCAGGAACAGCTTGTGTGTTTTAAGTTAATAGAGCTACTGATCTCAGCGCGAGTGTATTGGTCCTCACAAACACAGTATAACAGGAATGTGTGTGTGGCGCGCAAAGTTAGAGAGGTTGTTTTAAGCGACGAGGTGGATTCGTCACAGTCACAATAACCATGACATGAAATGTTCATATCATACAACAGGGATGTTCTTCTGGCAAACGGGTAGATAAATAAGGATCTCACCGAATTTGGTGGAAGCTGCATCTCGCTCGTTACATTCGCCATCTTCCCTCTAATTGTCTGCACCTGCGCTTGGGTTCAGAAGCCTGTTAAAGCGCAGTATTTTCAGCGCCCCAAGACCATAAAGTTCCGAGACGCTGATTGGCCATTAAATTCACCTAGCAATAGTACATGATTGACAGATTCTCTGCAAATGTGGGTCAGTCTGATCACAGCCCCCAGAACAGAGACGGTAGGAGTCTGTCTGTGGAAATCCACAAATTAATGACAGTAGATAGGGAAATGTAGTTTATATAATTTGTTTTGCTTATAGTTACACAGTCTAGAGAGTAAAACAGACATTTATGAGTTAATTTCTAAAAATATATTTTACGTTTCTCTCTTCTTATCAGGGAGGGCGGTGCCCCAGCGCCCCCTATGGGCCGGCCGCCACTGATATATATATATATATATATATATATATATACATATATATATATATATATATATATATATATATATATATATATATATATATATATATATATATATATATATATATGTATATATATATATATATTGGCAACCTTTATTCCCTAAGGTGGTATGTGGCTGAATTTCTACTTCACTGCAGTAAAAAAAAAAAAAAACTGGTGTTTTGTATTGGCCTGTAGAAGAATGCACATACCAAATGGCTCACAAGAAGTGACTGTGGATGAGATTACTGCGCGTACGCATCCCCGCAGCATTGGCATGTTGCTCCACAGGCGCAGGGGGAGGTCGGGGTTCTCTGGTAGGGCGTCAGGGCGACATGGCATTTAGAACGTCGGACAGCACTTCGGACAGCACTTCTGAAAAACGAGATTGGGAGATCCCAGCTCTCGCTGCAACCGTACGCTGGAATGACCCAGATGCGAAAAAGTGCAATGCTGCAAGGAGTTTTGTGATATCTGGTATTGCGTGGGTCCTCCTTTTGGCTGGCTCCAAATCCATTCGGAGTTCCCCCAACAGCTCCAAAATGGCAATGCTGGATAAACGATATGTTTTGATGATCGTTTCCTCCTTTATTCCAAAAATATTCACACGGAGTGAAAAAATGTGTTCTCTGCGTCTCCTTGCTTCATTTCGATCTCTCCTTCTTGCGACAATAACCGCTGCCATGTGTGCGCAATTACGCATACAGACCATTTGCACCTTCTTTTGAAACACGTTAAATATAGAGTCAGATACCGTTAGCAAAATTGCTTTCAGGTTTGATAACTCACTTTGCGAGTGCTAAATTTATATATTTACATGTTCTCCTCCCACAAGACGCACTTTTGCGTGTAAACACCCCATATTGCATATTCATTGCAGAAAAAGTACTAAATGGATAAGAGGCGCTATTTAGAACGTTTTAAAGACAAAATCCTTTTAGCACGCTGTTGATAGATCAGTTTGTACATTTTTTAGCGTGCGCAGTGAAATAGCTCACGTTTTTATACACGCAAACCTTTGATAGATCCGGGCCTGAGTGCAGAACAGATATGCTAAACTTAACTTCACTCCATTTCCAATTCTCTACCCAAAATAATCCCTGAGACTGGAGAGAACTAAACATTTGTGTTTTCAGACTCCAGACCTCGAGGGCAGAGGCGATTCTAGAGTCTGTGGGGGCCCCAAGCAAAAAATTCTAGGGGGCCCTACTGACGAGTGTTCATCACCATTATGTTAGGCTATAAATAATCTGACACCAAAGAAAAATGTATTAAATAAAACTTTTTTTTATTCCAAATGTTCTAAACATGAACAACCTTGTTATTTTGGAAAATATAAAAGAATAAAAGTAAAGAATAAACTAATACATTAAAATAAATGTATAATAAAATAAAAAAAAAACAGTAAATTACTTTAAAAACCCAATATAAACGTTGTACAAAATATAAAGTATAGTAAGTGTAGTGAAATTATCGGGGTCCTATACTGCTTCCAGAATTGTTGCTTATGGGCCTTGGCTTGTGCAAATGCAGACACTGAGGCCCCGTCCACACGAAGTCAAACCCTGGCCTACATGCACAAATTTTTTACCAAACCAGCCTCTCATCAATTCGAAGCCGGCGTTTCGGGGGTCTGTAAACGATCTTTTTTTTATTAAGCCTTCAGAGTGCGAAGATTTTGAAACGCCGTTTTCGCGTTTCCATCTTTAAGCTCTAACTGCATTTTTTTTTACACCCATGCGTCATACTGTAGCGTCGCCTCTAAACACGCATGCGCAACACAGTATCACAACAACAATGGCGCCGTACTGTGTTGAATAGTTGCTGCTCATGCTACTCACCCTGCTGTCGGGCTTACAACAGAATCTTCTTCTTCTGGAATATCTCCAGGAAGAACAGAGCAATATCGACGACATAGTTCAGCACCTGAATTTGACTGAACCACAGAAATGGACCCGCAGGGCAACCATGTATAAATATAAGTGCGCATGCCCAACATTTCGTTGCCTATTTTT